CCACCACCACCATCACCACTATCACTACCAGGTATTATCATCATCATCACCACTATAACCACCACCACCATCATCACCACTACCATCAGCAGCTTCTAGTAATTTCCTTTCCCAAATTCATAAAGGCAATCTTTTATATTTCTGTTGCATTTTAGAAAACGCTTTCCTATCCAAAGTTTTCTTTTCATCAATGAGAAAACCAAGGCTCAGAGAGAGGCAGTGATCTGTTCAAGGTCATGCAGAGAGTGAGATCAAGGTCATGAGCCAGATCTTAACCTTTGGACTTTGGGTCCGGGGCTATTTCTGCCGCACACTTTTGCCCTTTCCACAGTTGGGATACTCAAAAGCTCCCTAAAAAAGGGCCCCTGGAATGTCGGGACTCAAAGTGATCTCAGCACACATTCCTTCCAAATCCTTCATCAGACCACGGGCAGGACCCAAAGAGGGCAAGGGTATGTGGGAGGTCACACAGCAAGTTCCTGTTGGAGAATCGGGGCCAGCGTCCCTCCCGCTGAACTTATCCTGTTAAATTCAGTGTGGCTGATGTGGGGGTTGGGCAGGATGTGGTTGGTGGGGTAGAAGGGGGCTGGTTTGTGCAGGGTTCATGCTAAAGGAGTGATATTACTCTCGCGGTACTGGGGAGCCATGGGAGGTTAGGCAGGAGAGGGAGGACCACAGCAGAAGACCCTGAGGTGCCTGCTGCCGAAAGGCCTCCCCCCCAACTGCCTGAAATAGGCACGAATGTCATTTGCCCCCAGGAGCCCTCTGTGTGGCACGCAGCCATGTACACTCACCCGGACGCCAGTGATGCCAGGCGGGCCAGGGGGGCCATCCTCGCCCATCAGTCCCTCCTGGCCCTTCTCGCCACGCTCACCGTCAGGCCCTGCGTCACCCCTGTCCCCCTGGGTGGGAAGGGAAGGAGGAGAAGAGAGAGAGAAAGAATAAATTAGTCATCAAGCCCAAACCTCAGGGCTCACTCAGACGTCCACAGCTGACCAGCTTCTGCATTCATTCTCTGACGGTTCCCTGAGCTGCCAAAGGATTGTGCTGGCACAGCCCCATGGCACAGGGAACATCCCTGACATGGCAATTGCTAGTGTCCGTACCTGGGCCCGGGAGGGGGTGGCTCAGGAAAGAGAAGACCCTGACCAGCAGCCTCCCCGCCCGCCGCCCCCATGAAGTTCACAGGAAGGGGCCAGGACGGGGAGACTAGGGTTCTCTCTCTCCAATGTAGGCACACGGGGAAGACAAGAATCGTAAGAAGCTGAAATAAATTTTTCTAAAGGAAAAAATTCACCCAATTCTGATTCTCAGAACTTCCCCATTTTCCTGAGTTGCATTTTCGACCTTTGCTCACCTGCAAAGTTTACAGCGTTTATAATGAGAGGTGATGGTTTTGATGGCTAGGAACCAGTCTCAGAGCAGCTCAACAGTGGTTCCAAGATTGCACAGCCAGTTAGCAACGAGCTAAGCTTTAAAGGCAGAGTCCAATGAGACTGCACGGTTCTATAGTTCTTTTGTTAATATCTTCCTCTACTGGGAGCACGTTTTCCCATTGCTGTCTGCTCTGTGTGGCTCTCATTCTCACTGGCCCCGAACACTCCCTCTGGCGAGTGGACGGCAGCTAGCACTTGTACAGAATCGCGCCGCCCATGTCCCGCTGTGTCTGGCAGGCGGGCTGTGCCAGAGGGGGCATGGGCTGTTGCCCTTGGCCCCATGGGCAGAGTAGGTGCGGGGGGTGCAGCCTAGGCAGTGGCCGCAGAACGCTGCCTCCATTGGGGCTGGCAGGCCCGGTGGGACCTGTGGCCGGTCTGAAGGTGGCTCACTGTGACTATCAGAGAGACCATAGGGAGAGGGTATGACGTCATGGGTGTAGGAAGGGTGGGTGGGGAGCGGGCTTAGAGAAGCAGTGTCTTTGCCAGTTTTGTTTCCTGGCGCCACACTTTACGAGGGACTCGATAAACTGGTGTGCGTCCCGGAGAAAGAGCGGGTGCAGAGGGCATGAAGCCGGAGCCTGGGAACAGGGTCGCTGAGAGCATGCACTGCAGGCCGCTCCTGCTGGGCTGGGCTCTGGGTGCAGGGGGTGGCGTGGAGGGGTTGCTGGGCAGTTACTAGATCACCTAGGAAGACATCTCAGTTCATAAAGATCCGAGATGACACAGATGAGGGAGAGAGACTCCAAGCTATCGTGTGGGCCAGCGCGGAGCAGACCTGGGCTCCAGGAAAGAGAGGCAGGTTGCTGTCTGAGGCTCCTTCCTACCGAGATTCTCAGATCCCAAGCGGGGCCTGGCGTGGAGACAGGGGTGGCCTGAGGACACTCGTGCAGACCCCCCTGGCTCCAGGATTCCCCTCTGGCCTGTGGTCCCTGGCGACCAGCTCTCCCGGCTCTGAGAGGCAGGCAGCCTGCTCAGGTGGCTGAGATGCTTTCCAGCCAAGGGCCTTGGCCCAGGCCCTGCAGGGGCTCTGGCTCCAGAGAGCTCCCACACCCCCACATCTGGGCTCCCACACAGCTGGGCGGGCGGAGCCGGGGGAGTCCTGTGGATCCCATGCAGAATGGGCTCTGGGTTCTGAGAATCCCAAAGTCCTAGGACATCTGCCAATGCACAGAAGAGGCTTGCAAGTTGCCTAGTCAACTCTCCTCACTTACAGATGAGGAAACTGAGGCCCAGAGAGAGAGGCAGAGACTTCCCAACACCACACGCAAGTCAGCGGCAGGGCACTGGCGAGAGCCAGGGTACTGGCTCCTTCTGATGCCAAGGTTCAGTGCTTGGGGGACAACACCTCCCTCACCTCTGGGGTTACGCTGCCTACATTCCAATCTCGCTGCCACTTCTCACCAGCTGTGTGACCCTGGGCAAGCCCCCTGGTTTGTAAACTAAGCACATGCTGGAGAAAGGCTCGCTGTGACTAAGAGTCACCGCCACCGTCCTCAGCACCATCGACGGGCTGGCTGTCAGCTCTCTGTTCACTGTGAAGTCTGTGCACCTCCCAGGGGTTGTTTTCACCGGGAAGGTGATTGTCAACAAACAAACGCCACAGAGAAAACGGGTTCTCCCCTGGGATACAGGCGGGGACCCGGGAAGACACTGCACGTGGGTGTGACTCCTCTGGCCCAGGGACTGGGGAGGACTGGCCCTTTGGGGGGGGCGGGGGGTGACAGAGGAAGCAGCCCGGGCTGAGGAGCCACGGCAGGTGCTGGAAGGACTGTGTGGGGCACCAGACCTGGGACCCTCTCCCATCCCACCTCAGCCACGATTCCAAGGAGCGGAAGGTGGCTGCCCAGAACCGGGCAAGCCTCCGTGTCCTGCCTGTTTTCTCGCCTGTGCCCTGGGGATGCTAAGGGATCTGGCCCACAGGGCTGCTGGGGGGATTACGTGTGTCCACTCAGTAAAGCTCCTAAGGCGGGTGGTGCAAGCACACGGTGGGTACACAAAGCATTTTAGCCAGAATGTTCTTCAACATTACTGACAGGGAACTGGCACTTGGCACAGGGCGTGGAGGGGCTGTCAGATGCTCCCGTTTACACCCTCGGTGCAGCTGGGTTGAGAGAGGCAGACAGGGGGCGCTCTTGCCCTTGCAAGATAAATATAGGGCAGGTAGATGGAAGCCAGCAGGGACCTGTCCCAGAGGCATCCTGGGAGAGGGGGAAGCTCTGGACCAGAGCAACTGCGGGGACAGGGAATGGGGGTGTAGGTGTAGGGGTGGGGGAATACCGGCCCAGAGAAGAGGGGTGCTCATCATGGAGAATAAATGGATGACAGGGAAGCCCGGGACATGGCACGTGGGAGCCTGGGCTGGGGCGGGAGAGGGGGGCACTCACACAGTGTTACTGGTCAGCACTGGGGAAAGCCCACTCTTGGGTCAGGGATGGAGGCCAGAGACAGGCCTGAGCAGAGGTAGGGCTGGTACCGGAGAGCAGCACCAGCACGTCCTAAGGTTCTAGCACCTGCGGCTGACAGATGACGTGGCGGGTCTGCATTAGGCCCACAGGCTTTGATGCCCATGAGCCCCGGGTTTGAATTTTGGATCCTCCACTCACAGCAACAGACACTGGACGAATGCACCTCTACCTCCCTCTGAGCCCCAGTCTCTTCCCCTTTAGGGTGGGTACACGGTGCAGAGAGCAAGCCAAGGCTTGGGTCTTGGCTGTGCTAATCATCCGCTGTGTGTGCTTCGGTAAGTTGGCTAAGCCCTCTGAGTCTCTCTTCATCTCTCTGTTTATCTAAATACAGGACTTAGCCCATAGTGTTGATCAAGGTGATCCATGTAAAGGGCTCAGCAGAGTACCTGGTACATGCGTGACTAGTCCTCCATAGGTGGTGCTCATAGGTCATGGGTGGTGATGATGTTTTCCCTGATCTTTTAGGATGTTTGGAAGATAATCGATATCAGAGCTGCTGGTGTTCAGGCACCACCCTTAGCCAAGAGAGGCTGCACTTTTGAGGAGAAGGGAAGTGGGGAGGAGTGGAGTGTGGGATGGTCCTCAAACCCCCCCCCCCCCGAGCAGGTGGGGACAGTGGGCAGGGCTCACCCTCACCCACTCTCCATGGGAACAGCCTGAGGTCTGCTCTCGGGGCTTCAGGAGAACATGGTGTTTCTGGGAGAAAACTTAGGGACTGGATGGGAGGGTAGTGGGAGGACAGGGAGGGGCAGTTCCAGGACACCCCTCCTCCCCAGACCCTGCGCCAGAGGACACTTACCTTCAGCCCGTCTGGCCCTGCAGGACCACTGTCACCTTCGAGGCCCGGCTCTCCCTGGAAAGCGTGGTGGGAAAAGACGAGGAGACATTACTGGGGAGGGGCCCCCTACGCTTTTCCTTCCTCCCCCTCCTTGGAGCAGGACCCCCAACCCCTGATCTCCGGGCAGTGGGGCCTGGTGCACACACAGTGGGGGCTGACTCTGTGAATGAGCAGCGGGGTTGAGGCGTCCACTCAGTTTCAAGAAAGGAGAGGCAGACGCCCAAGCACAGCCTGCCATCTGCAGAGTAGGCTGGGGTGGAGGCTGCATGAGGTCTCGAGTTAGAAACTGCTGGTCACATCCTGGTTGGTTGGCTAGACCGGGAGGCAGTGCGGCCTAATGGCTGAGAAAGGCCTTGACGTCAGGCAGACCTCAATGGCCCCACTGGGCTTCCCAATCATTGACAGTCTGACCACAAGCAAACTACTCAGCCCTCACAGGAGTCTGTTTTCTCATGTGAAAATGACGAGCACCCACAAATGGTAATGGTTGGAGATGCTATTCCTGGAATTGGAGCGAGTCCTCACGGAACTCCTTGGTGGAATCCCATTTCTCAGATGAGGAAAGTGAGGCCAGCCCTCAGGCTTTCCTGCCAGCAAGTCTGGGAATGATACCCAGATCCGGATTAACCCAAAAGAAACCGATTTCTTGGTTGCAGGCCTTCTCAGAGCCTTGAAAATGCTACCGCTAATATGTAAGGGGGAACACCGAGCCTGCAGTGAGTCCCAAACGTGCTGACCACAGAATGCTTTTCTTGGAAGCCCACCTCTACACTGTGGAAACACTGCCCCACCAAGACAGACTGACGGAGGCTGTAGAGACTCATGATCTATTTCTGCAAGTGAGGAAACAGACTCAGGGAGGCTGAGCAAAGCCCTTCCTCACCCCAATTTGTTGCAACTTACCCGCTGCCCAATGAGGCCTTGCTCCCCAGGGGTGCCCAGAGGCCCAAGGTCACCCTAGGAGAAACCAAACACAATCCATGTGGATGGGTAGGGCCAGCCCCAGCCCTCTCTAGCTCTGACTGGGGGTGGGGCTCCTTACTCCCAAGAACCAACACGAAACTGACGAACGCCAACCAGAGCCCCTGTGGCAGCAAGCCCTGGCCACCACCCCCACCATCACGGCTCACACTTCTGTAGCGTGTTCCAAGGGCAGTGGGCCCTTTAACAAGGCTCGGGTCAGGGGCACAGTGGAAGATCTGCATGGAACTAGTCGCCTGGCATATGCAGGTCCCTAACCTCGGATCTGACCCTTGGACAACGCAGGTTTTACCGGCACCGTCCATCGAAAAAGTCCTCCTGTAAACGAACATGCACAGTTCCAACCTGCGTGGCTCAAGGGTCAGCTGTACATTTTTATTTCACACATTGAATTCACACAACAGCTACCAGGAACGGCATCTCCTTTTTGTAAGTGAAGATGCTGAGGGGCCCCGGGGTGACGTAACCAGCCCGTGTTCATGGCTAATAAGGAACAGTTCAGGTGGTCTGGCTCCAGGGAGTGACAGCTCGGAGATGGCAGCTCTGGCTGGCCACCGCGTTTACTCTCCCCGAGAGCTTTGAAGAGCAACCCAACAAGGAAGAGGCCCTAAATAAGCCAGAGTCAATGTCACCCCCTCCAAGGAACCCCAAAAGGGTCTCTCTCCTGCGGTGATTTCCAAGCTCTCTGCCTGTAACTCTCTCCCTGCTGGTGTCTGGGGCACAGGAGGAAGCCAGCTCTGAGCCCTCAGCCCTACCCAAACGGCCCCACATCTATCTGTTTTATCGACGGGGTGGTTTTCTGCATTGTTCGAGCTGAGACTGACAGTCCCAGGCCTGGCCCGACTCCCTCTGAATGGCTGGGAGATGCAAGCACAGATGGGGGTCCCACAGCCTCTGGAGGACTCCCCCAGGCCCTGCCTCCACAATGGCCTCAGGCCACCAGCATTGCATCGCTCCTCAGCTGGGGGCCTGCTGAGGGGCAGCGTCCTCTTCCAACAATGGAGCGGAAGGCAGCTCTCCGGAGCCTCGGTACCCCTGGGCGCTTATTCCCCAGCAGGTGATGAGGAGCATCAGTGCTGAAATGCAGATCATATCGGGAGCCAGGAGGTAGGGCCGCCCCACCGTGGGGGTGGGGGCAGGGCGGGGGCTCTGGGCTGGCTGGGCCCTCTGCTGTGGCCACGGCCAGGCCCAATCCCCAGCCAGGTGCACGGAGAACCCACTGTCCTGAGCACAAGAAAGGCCTGTTTCTCTTCGGTGGGGTTTCAACTAGTCATTTGGCTCTTTCATTCCTCCTCACCTTCATCCCGGCTTCCCCAGGAAGGCCCGGTTCTCCCACTGCCCCCGGCGGCCCCTGCAAGAAAATGCCATTGGTCCCTTCTAGAGGAAAATGCCATGCCCCCCTCTGGTTGTAAGGGAGGCGATACTGAAGGAGGCTCAGAGAGGGCGAGGGCCGTGCCCAGCGTCACACAGCGTGAGAGGCAGAGGGGTCTGGGAGCTCGGAGCTGGGACTAGGGGAATGGAGGTGATTGGGCTCGGGCCGCTGAGCTGGGGCTGCCCAGAGGACGCCGAGCCCTCTCCCTCTCCAAGAGTGTGGTTTACCACATTAGGAGCCCCTTGGCAAGCACGAGGAGGAAAATTTCATGATTCACATAAGGCCAGGGGAGGAAGCCAGCAACTGCTGTGCTCGGGGCTGAGTGATTCCAGCCCTTCTCTCTGCAGCCGGCCAGGAGGACAAGGGCGGGAAGCGGCCCTGAGTTATCGCCATCGGCATGGCTGCAGCCCTCGCGTAAACCCTGGGGCTCAGTCTTCTCCTCTGGATCAGGCAGGGGTGTCTGAGGCTCCTTCTGAGCTCCCGCTGCGTGACCTTAAGAAGGCTGGTTCTGCAGTCAAACCTAAGCTGGGTCGCAGTCCAGCAGGGTAGGGGCGGGGCACTGCTGCTTTCCCTGGTGCCAAAAAGAGGCACTGCCAACCCCCACCCCCCGAGGGTCTTGGCGCCCTGCATCCCACCCACTGCCCCTGGGAGTCCAGCTTCGCACCCTATGCCATTCGAGGGCACCTACCCTCTGCCAGGGTCCTACCCTTCAGTCTCTGCAGTGACCCCTCAGGAGGTCAGCTGGGAGGGGCTGACACCTCCTTAGCAGCAGCATGGGACAAAAAGGGTCCCTCAGCACTCACCTTGGGTCCCATCTCTCCTGGAGGGCCAAGTGGTCCTTGGGGTCCCTGAGGGCCCTAGAAGACAGACAGACAGACACACAGACAGTTGGGAGAAGCCAGCCTGGGCCTCTTTGGGGTTGGAGGCTTGATAACGCCGTCTGGAGGAGTGGGTGAGGGTGAGCACCCACAAAACTTGCAACTCCTGCAGCCCACGCCCCACCATGGACCACACTGAGGGTCCACCCCCTCCCATCCATCTGCACACCCCTGTTCACCTGTCTAAAGCCCAGGGGGCCCTCCCTGCTCAGAAACCTTCCCGCTCTGGGGCCTCGCTCACTCTGTTCCCTCTGTCTGGATGCCCTTCCACCTCAGATCCACTTCTGGAAACCCCCACCCAGGCCCTGGCCAATTCACTGTTCAAAAGGGCATCTGCTTGGCCCTCAGGATGTGGGGCTGCAGTGTGGCCTGGGGACAGGAGCCACCTGTGCTCGCCCTGTCCCAGTGGGGACTCTTCCTCCTGAGCCCCTGGAGGCTCTGTCCTCTCCTCTCCATCCCGGCAGCACCGCTGCACAGCCTCCTCGCGGGGCCCGACACTCGGGCTGTCCCCACCGTGTCTGGCTCCCCCGCTCCAGCCGCACTGGGCTCTGAGGTTCCCAGGCAGCTTGTTAGTTTAACCTCACCCTCCCCCGCTCCCGCCCTCCCACCCTTCTTTGGCTTTTCACTGTGCTAAGCACTGTACACACATTTTCTCCTGTCATCTTTACGACAGGATGGCAAAGGCATGAGGAGCCATGATTCCCATGTTACTAGCAAGAAAACGGAGGCTTAGACCCCACCCAGAGCCCCTGAGCTCCCCAGCCAGTGCTCTCCCCACCAACCGAGGCTGCCCCATCAGCCCAGCACTGTCCCTCTCCGACTTCTCTCCAGTGGGACCCCCTGGGCCATGCCATCTGCCTGAGCAAAGATGCAGATCGGGGAGGGAAGGGCACTTACTGGTTCTCCTGGGAGGCCCTTGGTACCAGGTGGGCCCGAGGGGCCGGGGATGCCCTGCAGAGACAAGCAAAGGTGACTTTCGTCCCTCGTGGCCTTCTCCACCCTGCCTGTCCCCTTGGCCTCCGTCAAGCCATCACAGCTTATGAGGGTCCTACCCCCTTCTCTGCTGGGTGACGGATGGGCACACTGAGCCCCAGGGAGAGGCAGGCTGCAGGGTCTCCAGGGCAGGGAGTGGGCACCTAGAACCTCTGGAGCTTGCGCAGCAGGATGGGAACTTGGCTAAAGGGGCTGCCATCCTCCCGCACAGCCCATGAAGTTTCCAGAACTGGTGATACTTACAGGAAAGCCTCGTGCGCCCAGGTGCCCTCGCTCACCGGCTGCACCCTGGAAGCACATTTGGGTTCATTAGAGGCACGTGTCACAGAGCAGGGAGCGGGGAGGGGTTGGCAGCCGCAGCCTGACGTACCTGCTGCCCAGGCTGGCCCAGTCTGCCCTGCGGTCCTGGGGGGCCCTGCGGGAAGCAAAGCACTCGGAGGTGGAGAGGGCACTGGGAGGCCCTTCCCAGAGGAGGGACCCGCATTCCCGCCCCTGGGATCCACCCCACTCCCAGGGGGCAGGTGGGGACACTAAGGGGATTGGCTTGCCGTAGGTGCTTCTGAAGGGAACAGAAGCATCCTGGGCTCTCAGGGGCCCTGGAGGGGTTTGGGGTCCTCGGGAAGGGGCCAGAAGCCACATGTGCCTCCTCCTCCCTCACACGCTCTGCACTCTCTCTCATTCACATGCTTTCTCTCACTCTCACTCTCAGCCTCAAAGCTCCTTCTCCCTTTCCCTGACCCGTGCCAGCGCTGGGGAGAGGGGGCTGGAGGAGTGGTCGGATAGCTCTCAGGAACGACCCCACAGCCGCTCAGGGACCCCTGGCTGTCCCCAAGGGGTCTGGTGCTGAGGAGGGTGTGAGCTCAGGTTCCTGGATTCCTGACCCGTCCTGGGAGGTGAGAGGAAGGGAAGGCCACGGGGGTCCGTACCTTCAGACCCCGGGACCCCTGCTCCCCAGCTGGTCCATCTGGTCCTCGGGGGCCCTGGAATAGGGAAAAGGGACTAGCACAGTGGACAGCAGGGGTCTCCCTCGGGCTGGGAACCAGGAGGGTGGGGCTGCCTAGAGCCCTGGGCTTTTCACTGCTGGGACCTGAGGTGCCCTCCTCCTCCCATTTCCTGCTCACTCCCGCCCTGAGGTGGGTGACCCTGGGCAGTGTGCCTGCAGAGAGGACTCTGCGGAGGGCTCGCCTGGGTGGACTCAGCTAGAGGCCTTGCCATTCCAGAATGGGCTTGGTGGTACATTTAAACCTTTAAGGAGACCTTAGGCGGTCAGCCAGCCAACCCATTTCACAGACGTGGAGACTGAGGGCCAGAGCCGAGAAACACATGGCCAAGTCTCCACAGACAGGTCTTCAGACTCTGCTGTCTCATGCTTTTCCCAGAGTGCACTTGGGCATAAACAGGTATACGAACCACAGTCCTTGGGGAAACTGACAGAGAAGGACCTGGCAGCTCCCTCCCCAGCCAGAAGTACAAGATAATGTGGCCTAGCTCACAGGAGGAAGGGCATGAGCAGGACAGGGCAGGCAGCTGTTCCCTGGAGTTCTGGGCTCAGGTCTGAGCCTTGAGACAAAATTCTTGGTCTTATGAGAGCAGGCAGAATTCCCCCTTGCACCCACTGCACAGATGGGAACACTGAGGCCAAGGGAAGTGATTTGTCTAAGGTCCCTTCACACATTAGCAACCGGTATCCCTTCAGGATGCCACCCACTGCCCGTGTTCCCCTCCATGGGCTGGGACACAGATGGGAGGGGGTCCCCTGGAAAAGGCCCCGTGGAGAAACTGTGGGGTCAGTTCTGCAGGGGTCAGAGGCTGTGCTGGGGACACACAGAGGACCCTATGAAGGAGGCTGGCCCGCCCAGCCTGGGAGCTTGGGGACCGGCCACAAAACAAGGCTGGGGAAGTGTCTGGGTGGAGGGAGGGTGAGGGATGAGAAAATTGAACAAGAAGAAATTACTTAAAAACGGAACAGGGAACTTTTCAATTACTAACTGAGCTGGAAAAAGTGACGCTTCCTCTTATCAGCTGCCCGGGGTTCCGGATGCTTCAGCTCCACACCACAGCCTTAGATAGTGTCTCACGGGCCAAATGAGCTGGAATGGGAGGTCCCAGGGTGGTGGGGGTTGCAGCTGGGTGGTTTGGCTGGGAGCCTTTGTTCCCAGCGTCTCCACGCTTAGAGCCCAGTGGGGTCTAGTGCTACACACCGTGGTGCTCAGGAAATGCTATGTCTTAGAGACAAAGAGCTGCTCCTCGCTCAGCCTCGGTTATCTCAGCTCAGAAATGGGGATGAGAAATCTTTGCCGCAAGGCAGGAATAATGCCACGGGCAGCTCAGCAGCCGGCCTGTATAGTAAATGCTCAATAAAACCTGGTTCTGCCAGAGGAGGCTGCAGGCTCCCCAGGGTCAGGGCACAGAGGCATGGCTCAGTGAATCTGCATACAGTTCCTTCCTCAGAATAGGAAGCTTATATCCTGCTGTGCAGAACCGGCTGAGGGTTTTCACAGGTTCAAGACAGCGCTTGGTGACAGGGTGTGTGGTGCCAGTTCTGGTTTTGCTGCCAGCTTGGGGTGCGACCCCAGGAAAGCCCCTTCCCCTCTCTGGGCCTCAGCGTCAGGTGGACACAGCCAGACCATGTGATAACCTGACTCGTGGAGAAGGCTCTAGTGGAGATGAAGCCAGATTGGGTCATGCAAGCCAGGACAGAGGCTGGGCAGAAGGGTGGGCTTCTGGACCTTTCTGAGAGATACCTTCTGGCCGCCGGCCTCCGTCTCTCGTTGAGGCATAAACCTCCCTGGAAAGGGAGAGCTCTGGGAGTGGGGCAGAGGCCCAGCAGTGCCGAGGGCTGGGCCGGGATCACACGGCAGCCTGCTTATCCTAGGAATCGAAGCCTTTCTGGGAGAAAGGTTATGTGATCTGTAATCATAGTAACAACAAGAGCAGCTGCAGCCATAATAGTGAGAGCTGTTGTCTTCCTTTTACAAGTAAGGAAACAGCCTTGGTCACACAGCTGGAAAGTGGGAGAGCTAGAAGTTGAACCCAAGTTAGCCAGTTGCCCATCTTTCCCCCTCCACCACTATTCAACACTGTGTATCAGTGTGAGAGTGAGCTCCCCATCACAGCAGGTGTGCAAGTCAGGGCCTCGAAGAGCCTGCCGGGAAGGCTTTGCACTGGGGCAGGGTGTTAGAGAAGACACCGTCTAAAACCCCAGTTCCCCAGGGGACTCTGCTATCCCCTGGGAGCACCAGAGAGCTCCAGAGCCGGGCTGGCTCGGGAAGAAGAGGACCAAGCTTCCTGTCTGGAGGGAGAAGGAGGCAACGGGCCCCAGCCTCCCTCTCTCCCCCGCTCCACTGTGCAGGGCAAGGAGCCAGGGCCGCCTCACACCCGCACCCTTGCTCTGGCCACTCTGAAGCTTGTTCTGCGTCCTACAGGTCCCCCACTCCTGACCCTCCTTCCCCAAATGAGCATGACTGACCCACCCCACTGGAGGCAGGCCCGGGTTTCTATCGAAGCCACATGTCCGTTCTCTGGGAGCCACTTCCCAGGAAGATGTTTGAAGTCACAGCTGGGGCTTGGTGGGGAGGAGCCCTGCCTGGGACAGAAAACCTGGCCAATCGCAGCTCTTGTGAAAAAGGGATGGATGATAGAGAGGGAGTGAATAAGTGCCAAGCACATTCTACACACTACTGCCTGCCAGGAGCCGACCTGTGTGAGGCACTGAGGAAGGGATGTAATCCTCACGGTTGGTTCTGCTGCTGACCCATTTTACGGAGGGAAAAGTGGAGGCTCACAGAGGGGAAGTCAGGATTCAGGTCTGCTGACCTCTAAGCCCCACTCACAAGAGCAGAGCCCAGTGTCAGCACCTGAATCTCAGGAGCCTCCCAACTCCCTCAAAGTGGATGTGTGGAGGGAGAGTGGAGTCTGCCATTGTCTTCTCCTAGCACGCAGCTTCCTGGCAGCTCCTGTAGGCCAGACCTGCACACCCCTGTGATGGGGAGCTCACTCCCACACTGATCAACAGTGACTGGTAGTGGAGAATAATAGTGGGCAACCAGCTGACTTGAGTTCAAATTCTGGATCCTTGCAACTTCCTCCTAACATCACCCACCACGCCTTAGAGAGGTTAAGACACGGGACTGAGGTCCCAGAGCTGATAAATGGAAAGACTGAGATTTGCCCCTATACCCACCTGTCTGACCCCAGAGCCTCTGCTCTTTCAACTGGGGCCCGTGGACCCGAACTCCGTCAGCAATTCTACCAAGAACAGAGGGTCTGGGGCTCATCCTGCCTCTGGCCTCCATCCCTTAGCCATCATGTTTCCCAGGGCAGGAGGGTGGAGGACTGGGGTGGACAGCAGGGCCCATCTGCATGTGGGCAGGGAAGCAGCAGGACCTTGCAAACCTCCAAGGCCATTCTCCACGGCGCATATGGGGAAACTGAGGCCCCGAGAGCAGCAAGGCCTTGCTAAGGTCACAGAGCCAACCGGGAGCCGTAGGGGCCGGGGATGGGGGCTTCTCAGAACTGAGCTTTTTAGCAGCACAGTGGGTGCCTCTCTAGGTCCCCCACCTCCTCAGCTACCCCATCTGAAGTGGGCAACAGAGGCCTGTTAGGCAGGGGACACAGGGGGCAGATCCCACAGGGTTTTTTATAAACTATTTTTTATAAAAATGCTCCTCAGAAGAGAGGCTTCAGGCACCTATGAAAAGATGAGACTTCAGATTAGAAATAGACAATAGGCCAGGATTTGCTAATTCACTGTTAAAAAGTGCCTCATATTTGCTCTTAGGTATTTTATTTATTTATTTTTAAAAATATATTTTATTGATTTTTTACAGAGAGGAAGGGAGAGGGATAGAGAGTTAGAAACATCGATTCAGCTGCCTCCTGCACACCTCCTACTGGGGATGTGCCTGCAACCAAGGTACATGCCCTTGACCGGAATCGAACCTGGGACCTTTCAGTCTGCAGGCCGACGCTCTATCCACTGAGCTAACCTGGTTAGGGCAACCCTTCGGTATTTTAAAATAAATGAGTCATCCTTCTATGTCACACATAAGACAGGTGCTGCTTTGCCTACATTAGAATGATATAAACCTTTAGATGTACATTTAAATGGTTTGACTTTGAATCTTGTCAGATCCCACAGGTTTCGCATTCCTGCCAAACCCAGCGGGGGAAGGGACTGGAGTTCCTGAAGCTCCCCTCCCAGCCAGAGCCTTTGATGTGGCTGGGAGCCTGGGCTTCCTCAAGCTGGAGATGCATTCTTCCAGCCACTGCTGGGGAGGGGTGCTGGTGAGGGCGGGTGGGGGGGTGCAGGGGGGAGTGTGGAACTCAGTGAGCTGAGGGGGCCTGAGCCTTCATCTGGAGGGAGGGGGCAGGGCCTGGGCCAATGTAGCTCAGCCTCCAGCTCCTGTGGCCTCCAGGAGGCAAGGTACACAGGCTGTCCATGGGCCTCGGTCCACTTGCATAGACCCAGGGCATGCTGCTGGGAGGGGCCCTGCCGGCCTGGGGAATGCCTCTCAATCTCCCCTTTCCTAGGCTGACTGCTCAGGCCATCTGGTTCAGGGGAAAATTTAAAACCGCTTGAAATTCAGCCAAGGGAAGCATAATCGTCACCGATCCCCGGTATGGCGCTTGGCTAGCAGGCCCCGGCTGCCTGCACTACCTGCGCCATCTCGTTTCCTTTTTACAGGCTGCACGGCCTGGCCCCTGGACGCCAGTGGGTGCCGGAAACCCCTCCATCAGCCCTCCCTGCATGACTGAAAGTCAGGCTGCATTCAGCGTGCAAAAGAGCCAGATCCACTGGGTTCAAATCCCAGCTCTGCCACTTTCTAGCTCTGCACCCTGAGGCAAGAGACTTAACCTCTTTGTGCTTTAGTTTCCTGGTCCGTAAAATGGAATTAAGAGTAACACCTACTTGATAGGGTGGCATTGAGATTAAATGAGTTGATGTATGTGATAAGATGGTGCCTGGCACATAGTAAGTACTAGAGATTACCTCTTGCTACCGTGATCAGACCAGCCCTTGCTTAAAACTCTCTATGGCTCCCCACTACCCTTGGAGCAGAGCCCATAAGCCTAGCTCTGGTGTTTGAGGCCCCGCTTGGCGTGGCAACCGCTAATTCTTGGCCCCATCCTTTTCCCCTGTCCCTCTGTTGGGGATCCCTGAACATGCCACCCTCCTCTTGCCTGCGGGCTTTCCCTCGGCCTGGAATCTGGGACCAGCTCAAGCACCGCCCTCTCCCTGAAGCTTCCCTGGTACCCTGTCCAGGTGAGGTGCCTCCTCCAGGCTCCCAAGCTGCCCCATGCTTCCACCAACTACATGCCAATGACCCTAAACTGGCTGTTTGACCAACTTGATTGAATCAAAAGGCAAGCAGGCGTCATGCCTGTCCTGGTCTCAGCGGCCGGCACAGAGTGGGTGTACATAAGAGGTGGCTGGACGAACAAATGAACGCACAAAGCATTGGGACCACAGAGCCCATCTGTGCCCACTGGATGGCAAGGCCTGGTGCTCAGAAATGGCTTGGAAAATGGGTGGGGTCCCACAGTGAGCCTGGAACCCTGCCTGGTGCTGGGAAAGTCAAGGACCTCAGCACGGGGTGGGGGGCGGGGGGGCAAGGTACAGGAGGTGGTCTCCCCAGCAGGGGACCAGTGCCAGCTCCCGGGGGCTGGGCCTCACTTACCCGGCGTCCCTTCGCTCCCCTCATGCCCGGTGGGCCTCGAGATCCTGGAGGACCCTGTGGGGAGAAGAGTTTGGAGAAGCCCTTTGTCAGGGAGTGAGTTGGCACTGAGGGTGAGCAGCAAGGGGCACAGCCTGGCCTCAGGAGCGGCCCCCTGCCCAGCTCAGCAGCCTTCCCGTTAAAGGCTGTGGCCCCGGGGGAAAATCTATCCCACTGGGAGAAGTGGAGGAGAAGCTGCAACCCTGAGCAGGACTCCGCCTGGTTCCTGAGCCTCAACCCTTTCTTCTCTTCGCGAAGAGGCCTCCCTGCAAGAGCAGTTTCCTTCTTTATCTCAAAATCAACAAGCAGAGGCTACAGGACACTTCTGAGAAAAGACTCTCCTTAAATTCCCATTTCCTCTTTTTTTGTCCTTAATCCTCACCCAAGGATCTTTTCTCCATTGCTTTTCAGAGAGAGTGTGGAAAGGCGGGAGAGAGACACATTAAGGGGTTGCCTCCCCCACATGCCCCGATAGGGAGCAGGGAGCAAACCTGCAACCGAGGTATGTGCCCTTGACCAGGAATCAAACCCTGACCCTTTGATGAGTGGGCTGATGCTCTAACCATTGAGCCCACCAGCCAGGGCCCATTTCCTCTGTCTCCCCCTATCAGCAAGGAGAATGTGGCAACCCAAGTTCTGTCCCACACCCTGACCCCAACTATCACCGGAGAGCTCCCTGAAAGCCTGGAAACAGGCCTGGGGGGACCAGACCACAGCCTCGAGGTGAGGGAGGGGAATGCAGGCTTGCACAGGGAAGGGGGTGGTGAAGAGGTGCAAAGAGAAGGGCACAGGCTGGCCCGAGGAGGATGCCAGTTATCTTGGTTTGATGTTGGAATGACAAGAAGAGGCGCACGGGAGAGACAGGGCGGAGGGACAGAAAGCAGGGCTGGCTTTGTTCCTAGCACTGGCCCCACACAGGCCTGTGGCAGGGAGTTAGGAATCTGTTGAAGGAATGATGAATACGCAAACAACTGAAGAGAACAGAAGGTTGGGAGGGAGAGAAAGGAGGCAAAGAGAGGGAGCAGGCGGTCTCGCTGCCTAATTTCTCTTCCCGGGTTCCGGCCCCAGCTATACCCATCAGGCAGCAACTGCTCCCAGTGGCCGGCCAGGACCCCTCCAGAGCTACTTGCAAATCCCAGCTCTGCCACTTACTTATTCTGTCGCTTAGACAAGTGACTTAAACTCTTTGGCCTCGGTTTCATAAACTAAACAATGGGGATAAGAGGATAGAGCAGCTCAGCGGCCAGTCGCAGACTGGGCCTGCTCCTTTCACAAGGAAGAGGGGGGCGGCGGCCTCAGCCCCCTCTGAATACCAGAGAGCCCAGCTCCGTCTGTGGCCTCAGCAAAAACTCCCGCAGCTCCCATCTCTCTCTCCCTATGGCCTCGAGGGGTGCGCACCCTCCGGCTGCTGCTGGGTCCCAACCCGACCCCTGGTCAGCAGAGTAAGCAGGGTGAGAAGCCAGCTTGGCCCAATAGAGGCAGGTCTGACTCGCAGACGGTGGAGACCACGAGGACTGGTGAGAAGGGACCACTTTATGGAGGGAGCTCAGACCGCAGAAGGCACGCGATGCGTCCCTGGGAAATCTCAGGAGCCAAGTCTCAACTTAGCGGCAGTAGAGCCAAGTGCTTCCACGGGCCAGCTGCTCCACCAGAGACCGAGGTTCAAATCCCGCTCTGCCGCTTACTCATTCTGTCAGTTTGGCAAGTGGCTTAAACGCTTTGGCCTCAGTTTCATCAACTAAAAAATTGAGATAAGAAGAGCCTCGGCCTCCTAGAGCTGCTGAGAAGACACAGTGTCCTGGCTGGTCCCCAGGAAAGGGTAGCAGCTACCAGCTCTCTTAAAGGAGAAGGCCAGAAACTGGAGCTCTCAGGACCTGACTGTGTCCCCGCCCCCAGCCACGGGGAGGATAATCTTGACGGACCTCAGGGACTGCAGAAAAACATGGGTGTTAAAGTGTTTGGAAAAGTAGGAAAATGCCAATCAGATGCGAACAATATTGCCAGTAATGTCCCTGTACTAGTAATAGTCTTATTAATACTTGTGGTAATTAGTGTAGCTAACAAGTAGTAATTATTATTACTAAGACCATTCATAAGCACTTAGTATATGCAGGTAGTCTGCTGAGCAATTAGGTCATGAACGAAATCATTTGTCTCACAGCAATCTCGTAATGAAGGTAGTAGTATGCTGGCTTATAGATGGGGAAGCTGAGGCTCAGGGGAGCTGTGGGTGTTGCCAACAAGCACACAGCTAGTAGGTGGGGGCCCAGGTTTGACTCACATGTGTCTGATTCTACAGTCGGCTTTCTGACCTTGACCTTGGTGTTCTCTGGCTTCCCCAGCGGCACTAGGGGCAGCCGGCTGGCGGAAGGAGCCCCATCCCAGGCTGCAGCAGTGAAGGGTCACTGGCAACCCTGGGCTCTGATTTCACTCAGTCTGGGCCAACCCAGTGAACAGATGGAAGCACTGAGGAATTGGGGCGGGAGGACGTCAGTTGGGCTACGGGGGTAGGGAATTCTCAGGAGGTCAGCACCTTCCTCCTATGTGCTACCCTGAGGTCCCCACTGTTGGCCCACCTCCCACTGGCCTTCCATTTTGTCCCAGCAACTCCTTTCCAGGCTTTCTTCTTCCCACTGGACAGATGGGGAGACTGAGGCGCAGGGAAGCCACAGTCCAGGGGTGCCAGAGCTGGGGTTTGATCATGGTCCCTAGCATCCTTGTACTTGGTCTCTGACCCTGGGCACCTCCCACGCTGATGGGTTCGCATCACTCTGTTTCCAGGAGTGTTTCCTGGGCCCTGGTGCTCAGGTCCTGTGAACACTGGGGAGGGAGGTGGGACGTAGCCTCTGGTTGGGTGGCTGGGCCCTTGGATTCCAAGCTGGGTGCCTTCGCCGGCAACCAGCCCCTCCAAAGGTGGCTTTTCCTCCTCCTCATGAACCGGGAAGAAACATGCCATGGGGGGCTCCGAGTGCTGGCTTCTGACCTCAGCTCTGCATTCTGAGAGCTTTCTGCCTCATCTAAAGGACTGTGGCGGGGGGGGGGGGGGCAGGCAGAACCCACTGTTGCCTGTCACCCATGTTTGGATGATGGTCACTTGTGGCCAGGTTTCTCACACCCAGCACTGCCTGCCACATAGTAGGTGCTCAGTAAAGATCTGTGAATGAGCGAGAGAACGATTATACTCGGCACCCCCACTAGACAGTGAGAATCTTAAGAGCAGAGCTATTTCTTACCATTTTGTACCCCTGGAGTTGGGCATAGGCTCCGCGCACAGTAGGTGCACACAAACGTTTGGGAACTGAGCTGGCCTTGCTTCCCTAATTGGCGCAGAGATCTGGTGTGTGCACACTTTCCTTGGGTTCAAATCTCCAGAGGCTCCCGTGGCCTCCTTCATCAGACCCTAGGGAGCCCCTCAATCCGGCCCTTGGAGGGACCTGGGCAGCCTGAAGTTATCCCCCTGCCCTGCCTGGGGGTCCTGACTGGGCTGGGTGCTTCCCCTCACGCCCTTTCCACCTGCCTGAAGCCCATCCCTCCATCTCCCAGAGTGGACCCCTAGCCCTGAGCCCTGGCCTTGAAGTGGGTGCCCTTGCCAGTCTCCACATCCTCCATCAGCAGAGGCAGAGGGACCAGACGGTCCATGTTCTAGGTGAAAGCCAGCCCTCCCTACACCCATATCACCCCACGGGGAGTAGAAGGGGCCTCTGAATTTGGGTGCTGCTACCACCCCCCTCCCCCAGCCCTCCTGCCTCTCCCATCCCTCCCTGCCTTGGATCCTCAGGAATATCCCAGGTCCCCCAGTCATTGCAAGAAGCCCAGGACCCCTGCATCCTCGGCTCTAATCCTCAGCTCATTTGTCCCCAGCGTTTCCCATTTCTCCCCTCCTTGCCCCATGGTTTCTTATTTATTGGGTTTTCTCTCTCCCCCTTACACCAGACTAGAAGCTCCTAAAGGACAGACAGGGACTGCTTTCTGCCTTGTGAATGGCTGCATCCCAGCTCCTGGCCAGGCCCCAGGCACAAATTTCACAGTATTTCCTGAGTCAATGAACAAAGCCATAATGGTGCTAACGACCAAGATGCCCCGTGTGATAAACATCACTATGGAATGAACGTCACTGTGGAATGAACGAACATCAGCCGCATGGTTTCATTTAGCTGTGCCATCACACTATCATGACCACAGTTATTTTCTTGAGGGCTCTGCTTACCGGGGGTCCAGGCTCTCCGGGGGTCCCAACACCACCGGGCGTTCCAGGATGACCCTACGCAGAGGGAAGAAAAGGAAGGACTAGGCGGTGGAAGGTGTCTCTTCCTCCTTCAGTCCCTCCCACCTCAGCCGGCTCAGCCCCAGCCCAGGGACACAGAGCAGCAGCCAGGTCCCCCCGCCCCCCCCCCCGCCCCCCGAGGGAGAAGGAGCAAACCATCCTGAATGTCTGGAGGAGGCAGAGGCAGGCAGAGAGCAGAGCTGCCGCCATGGCTGGGACGGGAGAGGGCAGAGGGATGCAGACTTGCTCCTTACCATTGACCCCTTGGGTCCAGGTGCTCCTGGGGGTCCCATCATGCCCCGGTCACCCTGTGATGGAGACAACAATTCAGGGAGGTCACAGCTGTGGGGTGGCTCTGTGGGGGGCAGGTGCAGAGGGCCTTCCGGAGGCCAAACAGGGGCAGGGACTTGCCCAAGGTCTATAGAGAGTCCTTGCCCGGCTCATGGCCACCTCACTCAGGGTGCTGACAGGGGAGGGGTGGGGGTCTGGGATGTCACACAGCAGAAGTTAAGACCCTGGGCAAGTCCAGGGAGGCCTCAGCTCCACTGCAGCATGCCACACAGGGGCTTCCCTCAGGCAAGGAACGTCCTGATCAAGGATACGCTAATTGCACGTCCCCTTTGGTCTGGGCCTAGGGCAGTAGTTCTCAACCTTCTGGCCCTTTAAATACCGTTCCTCATGTTGTGACCCAACCATAAAATTATTTTCGTTGCTACTTCATAACTGTAATGCTGCTACTGTTATGCATCATAATGTAAATATCTGATATGCAGGATGGTCTTAGGCAACCCCTGTGAAAGGGTCGTTCGACCGCCAAAGGGGTCGCGACCCACAGGTTGAGAACCGCTGTCCTAGGGCCTAGCTCAGGGGTCCTCAAACTACGGCCCGTGGGCCACATGCAAATACAAATATTGTATTTGTTCCCGTTTTGTTTTCTTACTTCAAAATAAGATATGTGCAGTGTGCATAGGAATTTGTTCATAGTTTTTTTTTTTAAACTATAGTCCGGCCCTCCAACGGTCTGAGGGACAGTGAACTGGCCCCCTGTTTAAAAAGTTTGAGGACCCCTGGCCTAGCTGGTCATGCTGAGGCAGAGATGGCAATGGAAGGCATGTCTTTCATTCTCCCCACCCCCTGCCCAAACCTAGATGAGATGCTGGGAACTCTTTCTTGACAGACGGGCAGAGAGGATGAGTGTAGCAGACAGAGCTGTGGCCGGAAGGCAGGGGCTCTGGGTTCGAATCCGGCTGTTTTTGTGAGGCCCTGGTTCTTGTGTCCACCCTCCCGGCCATCAAACATCTATTGAGCATCTACCATGTGACTAGCACGATATGCTGGACCCGGAAGACGAAGTGGTGAGTAGACATAGGCAGATCCTGCTCACAGGGAGTGAGACCCAGTGTTGTGAGGAGATGGACACACAATCGCCAAAACGGATGTAAAGTGGGGCCGAGCAGTGACGGAGAGGGTCTCGGCGCCAAGGCCTTTTGACAGGGGGTGTGACCCACTGGGTGCAGGGTGTGGTGGGAAAAACGCCCCTGAGGAAGCACAGCTTGACCTGAGCGCTGAAGGGTAACTGAGTCATTCAGACAAAGGGTGGAGGGATGAGAGTGGAAGCGTGTACCTGGCGTGGGAACAGCATGGGCGATGGTCTGTGGGCGAGGAGGGGTGTGGAGCATTTGAGCAAGAAGAGAGGGCAGAGCTGGCCTTGACATTGCACACAGTGACGCAAGATGTTACCCCTGACGGCAACAGGGGAAAGGGCGCCCTGGGCCTTTCTGTACTCTTTTTTGCAACTTCTTGTGAATCTATCAGTATTTCAAAATCAAAAGTTAAAATAAAAAGGAGAGAGGGAGGAGGAAGAGGGGGAGGGGGAGGGGGAGGAACACGTGTGGCCAGAGGGTCTTGGACACAGGGAGTGCTGAGGAGGGCGGCTCAGGATAAGCCTGGGGGCAGGTGGGGGCAGATGAAGGTAGATGCTTCCCCTCTCTGGACCTCAGTTTCTCCATCTTCCCAATAGGAGTACCATCAGCTCCTCCGAGGGCCTGCCGAGGATGAGATAAGCCCCAGGAAGGAAAGTGGGTGCCCTCCAGGGTCCATGGGCCGGGGTGGGGGGTAGCGGGGGGGAATGGGAAGCCACAGGCTGTTGGCCACCTGGGCCAGCCCGAGGCAAAGTGTGGCCTTGGATACTGAACCTGGTTCAAATGCCAGCTCTGCCACTTCCTATCTGGGTGACCTTGAGCAAGTCACCTCCCCAATTTGAGCCTCGGTCGCAAAAGGGACAAAGGTCCTTTGAAGGCCCGGATGCCAGGGCAATGAGGAGAGCCCAGGAGAAAGAAGTCTGAACCCCCCAGGTCAACCAGCCCCTTCATCTTTTCAAGATTGCAAAACACAGGCTCTGTTTGTTTAGAAGTTCCCTTCAACACAACTTACCTTTTCTCCCACGATTCCTGGCTCCCCGACCAGACCGACAAAGCCCAGGAGCCCCTGTAAGAAACATTTATGAAAGCAAAAGACAGGAGGGAGCAACGTGAGTTCAGGGGCGCACCGAGGTTCAAAGGCAACCTCCCGCGGCGTCCTTCCTCTGGGGCTGTCTCCCTCCCTCGTCCCCTGCCCCGTGCCTGGTAATCCTGCCAGCATGGGGCTGCCACCGAGCGAGCAAGCAAGTGGAGCAAGCCGCCTCTCCCGGCTCTGTCCTGACTTCCCTCGCCCGCCAGATGGTTCTCATTTGGGAGCCAAGCGGTGGGCCGCTGCCAGCATCCCTGGGAGCGCCACACATTCTTCCCGCGCCAGAATCAGGCTGAGAGCGGTGATGGTGGGGAGGCCCTGAAGCTGTGCTGGGAGGAGGCCTGTCTGTGAGGAATCTGTCCCCATCTTTCGGGGCTGCGGGGCTGTTTCAAAGAGAGAAACGACCTCACTGGCCAGGACAGAAATACCGTAGCAGCCTCTGCCAAGAGACCCGATTGAAATCTGGGAAGCGGAGGCCTCTTCACTGTCTTGTGAAAGGCTTCCTCTCCGCTCCGAAAGGGCACACGCGCACTCACTCACACACACACACACACACACACACACACACACACACACACACACTCTGGTTCCCGCTGCTCTTTTTCACTCCGCTGGGTGATAACTCGCCTCCGAGTTCCAGTGGTTCCTCTAGGAGGCCGCGGGTCACGCTGCTGCCCCCTGAGCAGGCAAACAGCAAGGGGAACCACCTAGAGGGGTCACCCAGGAAGGCGGACACGTCCTTGTCCAGACCCTGCACTCTTCTCTGTTAAGGAAAATTCAAACCGAGGATTCAAAATTCAAACTGTGTGGCTGGGGGTGTCAAAATGCCCTGGGAAGAACCAGGTTTGCAGCCAAGAGTTGAGTTTCTGGGAGCATTAGGGAAGACTGAGGGGTGAGTGGGTTTGTCCCATCCTGTCTGCTCCCTGTCCCCAAAACATATGCACAGAGGGGACCTTGAACCTGATTAGAAATAGATCAGAAGCTATGCCCTCAGCCAGTAAAGTGACAGAATGACACCTGGTTCCAAAGGGTTAGCTCTGTGGGTCTCAGAGCCAGTTTCAAAGCGGCACCTCGGGCCAGGACCACGTGTGTCTGGCTGCTGCAGCCTGGGGCCAAGTGGTTCCGAAGCCCAGCACCAGGGCCTCCAAAGCATGTGGCTGTGAGCCCCCCTCTCCCCCCCCACACACAGACACCATCACTACTCACGGAGGGCCCTGGCTCCCTGGGCTCAGAGACCCTTCGGGGTTGAAGTAGGAGGTGAGAGAGTGAGGTACAAGGTATGAGGTCATAGCTAATAAGCTATAGAAAAGAACTGAGTATTTGACTTTTGCAACAACGTACTTAAAAAAAAAATCAGAGTACTTTCAGGTGACAGCAATATTAATAACAATGGCTGGCACCTAGCACTATCGGTGTCATTGTCATTGAATCTTCAGGTTGGTGGGCCCCAGGCAGACCACAGAGCCTCTCTGAGTCTCATCTCCAGAACGGAGGACTTTACATGAGGTCCCGCCCCCTTCCCGGGGTTGTTCCGAGTTCTGGAGATAATTCGGGGCGCACGTCGGCGCTCAATACATGTGAGTTCCCTCCCATCCCATTCTAACTTGTTTTAAAAGGGCACGGGGTTAAGACAGAGGCCGGAGCGCCCCACAAGGGAGCAGTCAGACATGGAGAGGACGCGGAGTGCAGGGAAGAAAAGCGGCTTTGTTCGGAGGCCTCTGCCCGACTGGCCCAGGGAAAGAGAAATTTCATAGCTACTTTAAATTTATGGGTTGTTGGGCCCTGGAAGGCAGGCAGGTCATAAACCTCAAACAAGAAGCCAAACAGGATCCTAATGAATAAGGGCCATACAGCAAGCGCCCCATTCCCCGGCCCTGCCTCTGCGGCCTCCCTGGGGCACTGTCCGGAACATCCTGGCAGGCCCGTCCTGCGGGTGGGGCTGAGGCTGGGGGGTAGGGGGGGGCAGTGCCAGATGCCCAGGGCTTCCACCTGGCGGGTGGAGAAGCAGCTGACAGCACGGGCGCGCTGGCTCCTCTCGGGCTGGCGGAGGGCACCGGGGAGGAGGCAGTATCGTCACCTACAGTGGGCTCTGCACAGGCAGGATCGGAGTCCTTGATTTGGGGGAGGAGCTGGCCTGGTCCTCGGTGTCTACAGATAAAGGGCCACTGTCTGCTATGGGAGTTTTTCTCCTTCCCTCCCTCCTCTCACGTGACATTCCGCTACATGCTGGGGAGGCAACTAGGAGAGACAGCTGTGGGTCCTCCGCTGGACCAGGCACCTCAGAGTTAGGTGTTTACATGCCTGCCCCCCCCCCAACCCCCCGCACCCCGCCAGAGCTTCTCTAAGGCAAGGCCCATGCCTTGGAATCGTCTGGGTGTCCCCAGCACCTAGGACAGGGCCTGGCAAGCCGGCTACACTCTAAGTAGCTGTTAGAAGGCCAAGGGGTTTCCAGTCCCTCTCGCAGGTCCCCGGGATCCCTGGCAGCTTGGACAGTGATGTTACTGCCTGGGAGACCTTGGGCAAGTTACTTCTCTGAGCCTCATGCGCAAAATGGGGCAATAACACCTTCCACCATAGGGCTGCTGGCGGAATTGCAGGTGATGGTGTAGAAAGTGGCTTAGAGCCTCGTACCGAACAGGTGCCCAATAAATGTAGCCGATACTGTGACTCTAGGAGCTAAAACTGTCACAGATATTGACATGTCATATTACTGCAGAAGCTTCAAGAGGTATCCTTAAGTCTTGTCACCCCTTCGAAATTGAGGTTATTAGACCTGATGCTAGATCTTGTTATTAATAAAGAAGCATACCTATGAGTAGATCACATTTGGACATATTTTCCTAACTGTCGTCTGAATAGAATCGATTTTCCTTCGCCTTGTATTTTCTGCATTTAAACATTCTACTCTGAGAAGGGGCCTATGAGCGTCTCCAGCCTGCCAAACGGGTCCGAGGCACAAAGAACACTGACATTCTAGGGTTCTGAGTGTCTATTTCCTGAGGGCCCTACCATCAGCATAACTATGAAATTAAATTTGCTGATCGGATTGCCTTTTTTTTTTTCCAATCAGGAAATACGTCCAGGCCGCAGCAGCCCTTCCAAACTCCTGGGCTTCCCGCAGAATGCGCTCAAATGACACTGGAAGCGTTTCAAAACACCCACTCCTCCCCCTGCTCCAACTCCTCTCTCCCCCCAACAGATGGTGCAGACCTGGTGAGGGAGCCCATCATGCCCGGCTCTCACGCCATCCACGGTGCTCGGTGGAGACAGATTCTTCTGCGTCCCCACATCATTCCTCCTTACAGGGTGTGGGGACGGGGTCCTCCTTAAAGGAGTGGAGGAGACTGCTACCTCCGCCCCGTCCGCCCAGCCAGCACTCAGAGCTGCGTCTCTCCAGCACCAAGGCCCAGGACCTTGATAGTGAAGGAAGGCGGTGGTCCTTGAACCTCCTTCTTCAGACCTTGATTGGCCTGGCTTCCCGACTAGCCAGAGCCCCTGGTTTGAATTTCACTTGCTCTAGGATTTAGGGACGCCTGACCAACAGCCCCTGGCAAGTGGCTACGCTCCTCTGGTCATCAGCTTCCTCATCTGTAAGTCGAGTGCAGGCAGCTACTGTTGAAGGGCTCTTCCAGGCTGAATGTTCTGGGAGACATGTCACGCCACCCCTTTGGGCGAATGCCCCAGAGACAGCCGCAGAGGGGCATGGCCACTGTGACTGTGATTCACGGCTCAATCCGTCAGACTCCCCCTCCCTGAGACTCAGCGTCCAATCAAAGAAAGAGGGAGACGAGCGAACCCACCTCTGCAGCTGGGAAGGGACTGAAAGGGGGGTGCATGTGGACTGCTTCCCAAAGGGCTTGGCACAGAGTAAGTGCTCAATACAGAGCCGTTCTGCTCAGAGACCAGGGGGGGACTTACCTGCTCACCCACGGGCCCCGGCCGTCCAGGGTTGCCCGGCTCTCCCTGCGAAGAAACAGAGGAGGGTCACTTGGGCTGAGCGGCGGGGGTCCAGGCCTCCTGAGAGCACCCCCCGACCCGACCCGCCTTAGTCCCTGTGGTGGGGATGGACGAGGAGCCTCGTCACCAGAGTCTGGCCTTGGAGGCTCTACACCAATGGCAGGGACACTGGGACAGACCCTGTGGCCCTGGAGGTCACCCGAGTCACCCGTGTCCTCCGAGTGGCCCTGGGCGGCTTACTCGGCACGCTGATGTCTACATCGCCTGTGGGCCCTTCACCAACCCACTGCATTTTGTGGGGTGGAAACTGAAGCTCGGAGAAGTGAGCTGTCGGAGGTCATACAGCCAGCAGGAGGTAGGGCTAGAGCTGGAACGTAAGTCTGACTGATTGAAACCCCCATTCCTCCGGCACCAGACCCCCTCGCGGCAGGACGGGAATGGTCAGAGCCAGGGCCCCTGGGTCCTAGACACCGACCCCCCCCAAAGCTCTGCCTCCGGTGACCCTGCTGAGTCTCGTCTCTGCTCTGGGCTCAGCCTCCTCAGCTACAAATAAGGGAGATCAGACTCATTTATCTCCAAGGCTGTTGCTAGCTCTCTAGCTTGGTGGTCTCTCACAGCCTCAGCTGTCAGCTTGATCCCAGGCCGGGGTGGCTCCTACACCTTAGACAGTGACAGCTGCCCTGGCCTCCCCACAGTGTGAGCTGGACAGAGGGACAGGGGCGATCATGGGATCAATCGACCGGGGCTATGTCATCGCTCCCACCACAGAAACCCAACTGGTATCCGAGGGAGCAAGGCCGAGACCTCAGAGGGCAGGACAGGGGCCCAGACTAGCCAGGGCTTTGGCTCAGAGATGGATGTGGCTCATTGCAATCCCGGGCCCAGCCTCATCCTCCCCCAGCTCCTCCCTCAGACCTCAGCTCATGACACCAGAGGGGCCAGACGGACATGTGGGCCATCTCCCCCTGGGGGAAGAGGACAAGGGGAGAGAATACGGACAACCTGCCTGCCCGCCCCTCCTCCCAGCCCTCGCTCTGTGCTAATCCTCTGTAAATGTGCCCAGCTGTAAACTTGGCCCCACAATCCCTGTCCCTGACGGCTGGGACAATCCAGCCCCAAGGGGAGTCCCCAGAAAGCCGTGGAGTGAGGCTACCCCTCTGCTGAGTGAAGGTCATGACTCTCCTCCCCAGGCTAGTTCTTTCTTCATAACTTAAAAGAAAATCATAAACAAATGTATTGCACATATGGGGACATACAGAGGCCCAGAGGAGGAGGAGGAAACCTAGAATCCCAGCCCCCGGAGATAACCTGCCCACATCCCAGCCTCTGCTCTGAGTACCCAGGAGCGCGGTGCACCTGGTCCCTGCCACGGGCTCAGACCATAAGGCGCTGATTCATACCTGCCTCCCACCACCACACCCACAGGCACTTCCTGTATAACATCCCACCACTCCATCTGTGGTGGCTGCGCTGTGTCCGTTACTCGAGTATCCCCCTGCAGGACATTCAGATTATGTCCCTTTTCCTTGGATTACCAACACCTGGTGATAAATGGGGACTATTCCCCACCCCATCCCCACGTCACAACTGGCCATGGAGTTCAGGGTTCGCCCTGGGTCTTCACAAGTTGACTTCCTCTCTCTCCTCTCTTCCTCCCCCGACCCCCCTGACCCCCTGGCATTTCCCCCTCCCGTTCCTCAGCCTAGTCACTTCCAAGTCCCCTCACCTTCAAGCCATCAGGGCCGGGCCTCCCAGGAAACCCTTTCCTGCCGGGTTGACCCTGCAACAGAGAGAGATGAATGAGAGGAGCCCGGTGGGCAGCACGGCTGGTCCCAGGACCTGGCACAAGGGAGGGCCAAGGTGCCTGGGGTGGGGGCAGGGATGCAGAGCCCCACGTCAGCAGGCTGTTCGGGGGACGCGGGGAAGGTCTGCAGCTGTGTGACCTTGGGAAAGTCCCCTTCCCTGGCTGACCTAGTTCATAATGAGGAGATGACACCTGCTTCAGGGAGTGAGGAAAGGGAGGGGACTGAACGGGAGATAAAGGGCCCAGGGGATGGGGAGTGTATGCCAGTGGTCCTGCCAGTGTGGTTTGGAGGCCCTGCGGGTCCCTGCAACCTTCTCTCGATCCATGTGGTCAAACCGTTTTGATAACAGGACTAAGATGTCATCTGCCTGTGTCGCTCACACTCTCACGAGGGCCAGCGGAAGTTTGCAGAGGCTACGTGACATGTGGGATGGTCAGCAGATTGAATGCAAAGATACTAAAGATAGTAAAACGATGCCACTCTTACCATGAGATTATTTTGATTTGGAAAAATGGAGCTACTTTTTGTTAAACTAGTATTTCTGTGAACATGAAATGGGTTCATTATGAGTTTTAAATGGATTAAGACATTTCAAATGTCTCAGTTTTGATGACCAATATTGCTAGATGTAACCCACAGAAAGAAGAGCATTTTGGGTCCTCCACAGATTGTAAGAGTGTCAAGAGGTCCTAGACCAAAGCATTCATGAACTGCTGATGGATCAGTTGCAGGGATGGGGGGCGGGCAAGCACCTTCCGGAAGGCCGCTGTGAGCAGTGGGGAGGACAGAGGATGCAGGGTTAGGTTCCAGGCAGGGCATCCGCTTCCTGGCTGTGAGACCCTAAACCCCTGAGTCTCTGAGCCTCACCGGCCTCCAGTGACACTAAGCAAAGTGGTTGGTGCCTCTCATGGGAGACTCGAATGAGAAAATGGATGAAGAGCACCAGCACCCAGCAGGTGGGCGAGGACGGAGGTCAGTGTCCCGCCTCCCGTCTCTCTCCTTTAAGGTCTGTCCTAGTCCCCCCTCTGGCTGGCCCAGGCCCCCACCCATGACTTACCCAAATGGTGCCCAACTGTGCATAGCAGGCTCAGTGCCAACAAAACCCCCGCCAGCAACACTTACCTCCAAGCCAGGGGCGCCAGGTGGCCCCATGGGTCCCTCATCTCCCTAGAGTCAGGAGGCAAGAGAGAGGGAAAAAGGAGAAAGTTAATCCAGGGGGGCTCTTGGAAAACCTGTCCTATAAGAAGGCAAAGGGGTGGACAGAAGAGTCCTTCTGGACCAAGAAAAATGGCACACCCGGGCGCCCTGCCTGGCCCACCCCAGGCAGGGGCACCACCGTCATGGCCTAGAGGCCGGGTCAACAGGGACTTCCACGTGGATGGGGCCCTCGGTGTCCTCGGATGTGATCGCCTGGGTTCAGGGCCGTGCAGGGTAGGAAAGTGAAACTCCATCATGTGCTGTGGGAGCAGAGCCCCGACTGCAGCTCAGAGCTACGGGTTCTATTCTGAGCTCTGCCCTTTACTTGCTGGCAGACCATGGCCTCACGGTGCCTCAGTTTCCCTATCTGTAAAATGGTGCATCATCCCAAAGTATAATGACTGGCTTAAGTTATGTTCCTGGAGGACGGCGATGATCTTTTATGCTGTAGTGAAGCCACCCCCAATATCGCTCTGGATGGGGGTGCACAGAGTCTCATGGATGTGAACGGAAGGAGGGAGGAGGCCATGAGAGGAACTGTATGAGTGGAAGAATGAATCGATGAAGAGTGAGCAAGTGGCAGGCATATCCAGGGTTATTTGGTAACATGAGTGTAGATGGGAACACATGGCGGGCGCCATTTTTCTCTTCTCTACACACCCCCCACTTCCCACTTGTGGCCCTGGAGACTCTCCAGGCCTTCCCGCAGGCACAGGCAGCCTCCAAACCCATCCCTCTGGCCTGCCAGGCCTGACCAAGGGCCCCTCTTTGGAGCTCTCCCCCCCCACCCCCCCGCCCCAACTTCCAGGAAAGCAGCCTCATGTGGCGGCTCCCAAAGCCAGGGCGGCCTGGGACCCCGCCAGACCCAGGCCCCGCTGGATGCCTGCCTGTGGGCGCGCTGAGTCTGGCCTCCTGCACCCCTACCAGGGCTGCGTCCTGGGTCCTGGGGTAAAATGTGGGGCCTGCCTGAGTGTGCACAGCGTCCAGCTGGGGCTTATAGTGACTTTGTCAATCCCCTTCATCACGTGTGAGTAAACAGCAGATCTCTCTGCCACTTACTAGCCATGCTAGTCACGTGCTTCTCTGAGGATGCCCCAGGCGGCTCCCAGGAGCAGGAAGTGAACAGCATAGGGCAGTGATGGCGAACCTATGACACGCATGTCAGAGGTGACACTCGAACTCATTTTTTTGGTTGATTTTTCTTTGTTAAATAGCATTTAAATATATAAAATAAATATCAAAAATATAAGTCTTTGTTTTACTATGTTTACAATTATCAAAAAATTTCTATATGTGACACAGCACCAGAGTTAAGTTAGGGTTTTTCAAAATGCTGACACGCCGAGCTCAAAAGGTTCGCCATCACTGGCATAGGGTCTATGTCATGGTATCCATGGGCTTCGGGCGCCAGCAGACCTGGCTTTGAATCCCAGCCCTGCCTGCCACTAACCACAGGACCGGACAGTCTCTTCACTCCTGTGAGTCATGAGGCCTCACGCGTAAGACGGAGCCGACCATTCCTACCCTCCCATATTAGTGCCCAAGAAACTGTGCCACCGTGAGCAGGCGCAGTGGCAGTGGCTCCGAGGAAGAAACCCCAGGCAGGCGGGTGCAGGCAGGTGCCGCGGAGGCAGGGAGTGGCCCACCTGGCAGGCCAGGGCAGAGAAGGCACCTGGACCGGCCGCAGAGCAGGGCTGCCAGGAATGAGCTGGAGGGTGTGCCTAAGGCCTGCAGGACACAGCACGGAGTGGGCCGGGGGTTGGGGGAGGATGGACAGGAACAGGGGCAGGGCCAGATGGTCTTACCTCGGGCCCCAGCTGCCCAGGGGGTCCCGGCAGGCCTCGAGCTCCGGGCTTCCCCTGTGAGAAGAGAACAATAAAAAAAGGTCACTGAGGTGGCACCTCCATCCCCATCACAGGCTGGCAAGACTCCCCTGCAGGCAGCCAGCCCAGGAGGCCTGTGGTTGCCACAGAACTGTCAGGGACTCACCTTCACACCTTCTGGGCCGTTGTCCCCAGGGGGGCCGATGTCTCCAGGGAATCCCTAGGGGGGAGGCAGAGAGCAGGGGTCACCCATAGGGACTGTGAAGAGAAGTGCTAAGAGCATAGGTCCTGGGGGTGCCGACCTGGGTCTCCATCCCACCCTGCGCAGTTCACTGCCCCGATTTTGATTCTGATTCTAAAACGGGGATGGTGGTACCAGGCCTACGCCTCAGAGGGTTGCTGAGAAAAGGCCATGAAACAATGCGGGAACGTATGTAGCACAGGAACAAACACACACCAGGGCGTCTCCACTAGAATTTCTCCAGTCCTGAGCCGGGATGAGCCGGGGCCCAGAGCCAGCCCCCTCCTGCTTTGAGAAGTGTCATCTCTGACTGCAGGGATCCCGCAGGTGTGAGTATGTTCTGGGGTTGCTGTGACTTTGAACAGCTTGAAAGGCACTGATCTAATTGCTCTCGGCTCCTCCCACTACATCCTGGCCAGGCGGGTCAGACTCCCACACCCTCCATGGGGGCTCACTCTCCCAGACCAGTCCTTCCAGATGGATGACTGGGCAGTGGAAGTTCCTCCCTGACATGGAGCAGGATCCCTCCTTTCCTCCTCCACAGCGTCACGCTGCCCTTTGTTTTAGGTGTAATGCCTGTGAATTGAGCTTAGGACCCCACTCACTTCCGGGCAGCCTCCCTCCCTCACGTTCCCGCCAGCTAGAAACCAAAGAAAGTCTTTTTTTACATGAATCACCGAAGCCAAAATGCCTCCTCCCATCTTGCCTTCATAAGGCGCCTTTTCTTTTCCCCCTTCTTTTGACAATTCCTATCAAAAGAAGGAATTGTTTTGGTAATTCCTGTTCAATTGCAGCTCAAACATCCTATCACCCTTGTCACCGGCCAAGGCAGGAACGGTCCTGAATTTGGATGTTTTTTTCTTCAAAACGAGGGGCTCCAAATCCTACTTTGCCACCACCTCCAAGCACCGTGTGACCAGGCAAGTCCCTGAGCCGCTTCCTCATCTGCAAAATGGTGAGCACCAACACCCGCCTTACAGGGCTGTTCTGAGCCCTAAGGGGAGTTACGTGAGCAAGTAACAGCACCTGCTGCCTGGTGAGCACTCAGTAAAAATCTGCATCCAAAAGGGTCTGGGGTCCGGATTCCTAGGAAAACAAGTCTGCTTGGGGTGGGCCGTCCCCAGGGAGAACTTGGCAAGGGGGGCACAGATCAGGTTCCGGTGCCCACATGGATCGGCCCACTAACGAGTGAGAGATCACTGACGGGGGGCTGGGAGCTGCAGCTCACACCCTGGTCCCCGGGAAAGGAGGAAAGGCCCCGGGAGGCGCTGACAGGCTCAGCAGCTTCTGTCTTCGGCTGAGCAGAGCCATCTTCCGAGTCGGCCAATCCAAACAGAACCCAACGCCGGAGAGGCAGGCCCCGGCGGCTTCCAGGACCTTCCTCGCTGCAGAAGCAGGGACACCGAGGAGGTCCCCTCCCTGCTCTGGGGCTCCCTGTCCTCCCGTGGAACCCGTGGTCCTCATGCCTCCCACACGTCGTGGTGGCGCATCAACAGGTTCTCGCCCCAGAGACGCTGCACAGCCTCCCGGCACGAGGTGGAGCCTCGTTAACTGCGAGGGAGCTCGCTTTCCGCCCGCACCGGCCGGGCCGCTGGCAAAACTGGGCTCGCAGAAGAGCCTTTTTCCACCGTGACCAGGGGAAGGAGTCAGGGCCACGAAGGCAGGCCAACTCCATTTGTCTAAAGATAGGACGGTGTCACGGCCAAAGTCAAAACAGTGGAAAGTCAGAACGCGAAGCTCTCAGGAAACACTCCCTCATCCATCCGGGCGTTCCCGGGAGTGATCTTTGGAAGGGTCTGGGGAACCCGGCAGAGCCAGACTTTTGTCTGTGAGACCTGGCAGAGGAGCAGGCCCAGGGCCGGGGAGTCGAGGGCGGGTGGGACTGGGTGCTGTTGATCCTGAACAGACAACGGCTCTGGCACTGCTCGCCCTGCTCTCCAGAGCGAGTCCCCAAAGTAGAGAGAGGGGGGCAAGCAGAGCTCCCCCAGCCGCCTCACTGGATCTCCTGAGGAATGTCTAGCATACCTATGCTAATTCCCACAGGGAGCGGACAGGACACTCGAAGGGTTCTGCTTCCCCGACTGGAATTATTATGTTAATAGCTAAACCATCCTTCATTGTTTCTCAGTCTCCACTCCAATGCCAGGATTTTACAGTGGCTTCTCACTTCTCAGACCCCGGAGCTCTGAGCCTTGAACTTTCGCAGGGTGGCTGTGAGTGGCTGGAAAGGTCCCAGGGCGCAGACGGGAGAGAATGTGCAGAGCTCCTATTAAGGGTACAGGCAGCAGCGCTCAGAGGACTCTCCTGGTATTTTTCCCTGGACACTGTAAAGGCGGCCACAAGGCTAGGGAGGGTCTCTGAGGCCAGCTTCAGTCCCGCTTGCCACTGACCGAGGGCAGAGGCAGAAAAGATGGCCTCCCTCGGAATTCCTATTCTCAGCCCCATCTCTCATTTGCTGTGTGACCTCCGACAAGTATCTCCCTGTCTCTGGGTCTTGGTTTCCCAAGGACAATACCCAGTCCCAGTTGCAACCAGATATAGAGAAATAGGGTATCACATACCTCAGGCCCAGGGGGCCCAGGAAACCCAAGGGATCCTTTATCTCCAACCTTGCCCTGTGGAAGAGAAGAGATTAGGGGGTGGGAGGGCAGGCAGGGGTAAGTGAGGGCTCACCTTTTCCTGATCCCTTGTGTTACCCCCTGGCTGCAGGCGGTTGGAAAGCTCAGGAGTATACAAATGAAATCTGCCTAGATAACTAGAAGGAGCTATTACTGTTCAAACCCCGCCTCCTACACCTACTAGCCATGGGATCCTGGAGAAGTCATTTCATCTTGTGAAACCTCAGTTTACTCATCTCTAAAATGGGAGCAAGAATAATTCTATAACCCCTGGGGTTATTAGAAGAATCTGACACACAGTGATATTCAATAAATAAATGGCACCTATTGCTATCATTCATTATGTTACAATTATTTATAAGGTATCTGAAGCCCAAGATGCTTGCCAGTGACTGAGGCCTATCTATGATGCTGGGTAAGTTCCTACCCTCTGGGCCTCAGTGTCCTTATCTGTGAAGTGGGAGAATCTCCATTCCTGCTTTGCCCTGCTCATCACCCGGGGCTGCTGCAGGAGGAAGTGAGGTCCTGGATGACCTTTTGGAGGGTGTGAGGTTTGGGGTCTCAGAATAGAAGGTACTTACCAGAGGCCCTGGCTTCCCTCGAGCACCTGGGAACCCCGGCAATCCCTGGCTGCCCTGGAAAAGAGCCAGAGCAGGCTGGGGTTAGTGCGGACCAGAAATAGCCAGAGGAACAGCTGCTGGGTCCTCCTGGCCAGGCTGAGGCCAGGAGAACAGCCACCTTTGAGGAAGGTGGTCCTTGCCCTCACGTTCCCTACTTGCAGGGAAATGGACTAGCTCTGCACCCTGAGCGTGGGGCCCCAGGCAGGCAAAGGTGGGACAGCAGCCTGTCCTCACCAGTCGTCCTGGACCTGGGAGCCTGGGGCTCCAGCAGGCCCTGCAGTGTCCTTTACGTCCAGGGAAGTCTGAGGCCCGGAGCCCAGCAGGAGAAGCAGCCAGGCCTGCGTGTCTGGCAACCCAGAGACATCCAGGCTGGGTCAGGATAGGCCAGCCAGGAGAGAGGGAAGGGGAAGAGGGAGAGCTGGCCAACATCTGGGCCTCATTGAGTGACAGGGTGAGGTCCAGATGCGGCCACATGGTACGGGACACAGGCAAAGAGGAGCCGGCCTGGGCAGGCCGCCTCAGTTCATCAGTTAGAAGGCCAGTTACTCACTCACTCACTCACTCACTCACTCAAACATGCCCTCACTGTCCACTCTTCTGGGCAGGAGCCTGGGCCCAGCTGTGCAGGGGCAGCCTGGGGACATACTGCCTGCCCGGAGGCCGAGCACATGTCCCATCAACCAGGGGAGAAGGGCGCTGTGGCAGGTTAGGGGCAGACAGGCTGCTCAGGCCACTGAGAAAATGAAACAGCCACACCCCCAGCAGATGGAGAGAATGGCTCGGAGCAGGTCCTGGGGGAGAGGACAAGGTTGGGTGAGCAGAGGCCGGGCAGAGGGTGTGCCAAGCGAGGCAGCAGTGTGTGCAAAGCCTAGAGAGGCAGTGGGGAGTTCAGTGGGGCCGAGCACAGGGCTGTAAGGATGAGGGATATGAAAGTGTCAGGGGGGCCCACTCACTGGGGTCCTGGGTACCAGGCCTTCACTCTTGGAGCAATAGGGAGCCATGGAGAGTTTGTGAGCACAGTGAGGCAGACAGAGAGGCGAGAGGCAGGGGCGGGAATAATTCAGGAGGCCCGTAAAGTCCAGGGAAGAGATGCTGAGGGTGGACGAGGACAGGGAATAGGGCTGTTTGGAAGGAAATGATCTCGAGGTAGGTCCTAGGCTGTGATGGGCCCTGAGACAGGAAGCAGGAAGAGAGGAGCAGGATGGGGTGTGGGGGGGGGCATGGAGAATCTGCTGCAATTACCTTGTCTCCTTGGAATCCGGCATCTCCTGACACACCTGGAACCCCTTGTTCGCCCTAAATACACACCAGCAAAGAAGGTTACGATGGAGACCACAGTGGGTTCTGGAAGCCTCCCCCACCTGCAGCCCCCTGGTAAGGTACAGCTTTGCCGAGACTGTTCCCAAAGTCCATCTGACCAGCAGCAGCCTTGTTAGAGGAGAAGGCAGGCCCCGGGCGGGGAAGGCAGGCCCTGGGGGGACCCAGTCGGCCTATTTGCAGACCTGCCTGGGGTTGCTCGGATGGCCGAAAACTCTATCAACGGAAGCTGAACTGCCAGATGCCACCCGGCCTTCCCTGCAGGTGCAAGGAACTGTTTCTTGACCCTTGAGCCTCTTCATCAACCGACGTCGCACAGCGGCGAGCGCAGCCGGTACAATGGTGCCCACTCCGTGGTCTGAGTGCTGGCATCTGTCGCTCCAGATTCCCCACCACCAGGCTGGGAGCTGTCACTTCTTCCTTCTGTGGAAGTTTCTATGCCAGGAACCAGCTACCGTCTACTTCTAATTAGCTGCTTCAGACCAGCCCACCAGGCTGAGAAACCAGAGCGCCCGGCTGGTGAAGACCATTGTAAACAGAGAGTCGGCCGGTCTCGAGTGAGGCCTGTGTGTTTCTTTTCTAAGACAGCACGTGGCATGGGCGAGGTGACACCGGTTCTGGCTGTGGGTGTCTCTTCTGCGCGCTCCCCGTGTTCAGCCACGTCCTGGGCAACGAGCTACCCAGGAACCCAGTCAGGAGATGCCTCCTTAGAGCCGGCACCACCCTTTCCAGCTCTCCGTGGAGGTGGACATTCCCAACAGTGCGCTGGCCCCAGGCTCAGAAAACATGCCCAGCCTGGGAGCAGCTGGAAGAATGGAGCGTCTCAGAGAACCATGCCATGCAGCTAGGGCTGTGACCTCCAGCAGAACTTCCTTGGTAGAACAAAAGCCAGAATTTAAAACAAAAAAAATTTTTTTTGAAACTTAGCTTTAGTTTTTCCAACTTGGAAAACCTGTACGGCCTCCCAGAGTCGTAGGAACCAAGGAACATTTTTTTTTTCTTTAATATCCAAAGGAGGAGTGAGGGAGTCACTACATATTTTCAAAGGCACCTAAGAAATCAGGGCGATGGATGTGGAGAAAGCTGGACCTGGAGCAGGAGTCTTGGACCCAGAAAGAGCCTCCACGCAGGCGGACGGAGCCAAGTGGTTGTAAGTGGGACGGAGGCCAGGCTGGGTCATGGAAAATCTAATATTCCAGGCAGGACGGCCACGGAACATGAGGCGATGGCTCCACCACCCCCGGGAAGGGCCAGGGTGGCGGGTGGCGGGGAGAGGGGCTGATCATCACCCGCTTCTCCCAGCATTAAAGCCCCTCCCCAGCCAACGGGGCAGAAAAGAGACTTCTTTGTCTTTTCTTCTTCTCCAACTTTTTTTTAACCCTAAAGATTTATTTAATTGTCCTGAACACGATAGGCAGAAAAATAATTTCTTCCTCCTCTTCGTCCCCCCAGAGCGCTCACATCTCCAAATGTCTCGGGCACCAGCAGTCCGCAGGCCAGCCGAGTTGTATGTAACACATTTATTTCCATGTTCCTGAAGAAACAGTGAGCGGAGGCCAGCGCTGCCTGTAAAAAGCTGACTGCCCACATTCCCATTTCCCCCAGGCGGCTGATGTCTCCACCTCAGGGTAAACAGGTAGCTGTGGGAGGGCCCGCCTCCAACAGAAAGCTCCCCCATCTCGAGGGGGAGGGCCGTGGGGGTGGGGTGGGGGGGGCGGTCAGCAGGCAGCAGGGCAGTGTCAGAGGGTGGAGCTGGGGGGTGCAGCTGGAGGCTTGGGTATGACAGTGGGGGACAGAGGAGGAGGAAAGAGATGGAGAAAGGACTGGGGTTAGCATCACACGCCTGGTGACCTGTAAGTGGGGGCTGGGAGGGACGCTGCTAAGACAATCTGGGGATGCCCATTACAGCTCGGCAGTTCCAATTTCCTATGTGTCCAGGGGCCCAATAGACCACCGAGCGCCCTTGACAAATCTCTTCTCTTTGGCTCTGCTCGCCCTGCTGTGCAATGCAGGCGCTGGAGGAGGTCGCCTCTGAGGACCGTGTCCGCTGTGCCCTTCTGACCTCAGTCATGCTCCTGGTTCAGGTGTCTGGGTTTGAATCCTGACACTACCTACCAGCTGCATGGCCTCAGGCATGCTTCCTATCTCACAGGGTGGGAGGTGGGGGGGGGGATTGGAGGATGGATGGGTTAATGCCCACAGAGCGCCCAGATGGGGCCCAGCACTGGTCCCTGCTCCTGTTTCCCAGGTGTAGGAGGAGCAGCCATCCGCAGACAGGTACAGAAGGAGCCTGGCCTCTCTCCGCCATTCGGGCTCCTGGGATCACGGATGCTGCCAAAAGCCCCCTCCCGCACTCCCTTTGGAGTGCCTGGTTGGTCAAGGAACTGGTAGGGGGAGGAGGGAGGCAGATGGCCAGGGGCAGAGCAGAACAGCCCCCATGGCCTTGTCACTCAGGCCCTGCAGGACCCAGGCCAGGTACTGTCCACCTGGGCCCTGGGGACCCATCCACCCACTTCCAGCTCTGCTCGGACACAGGGGAGACGGTGAGAGCTCGGCAGCAGGGCTGTGCAAAGGACAAGTGGCAGGGGTGGCGCCCCCATGGTAACTGGGAAAAAGCGGGCAGGGGCTCAGGGGCCCATCCAGGTTTTTCTGTTGTGCTTTCAGACCATGTGGTCTCTGGGATGGGTTCCCAGTTCCAATCGGACAGTTTATGTCAATTTGTTTCTTCCTGTGCCCGGAGAGGTCTGGACCCCACATCATACCTGCGCTGGGACCCATCATCTCAGCATCACTCCTCCTCTCTTCCCCACCCCCACCCCCACCCTCTTCGTTCCATGGCTTTGGCCTCAAAGCCGGACCCTGGCCTCAGCTTTGCACTCTGAATTCAGACACATGCCTTGCTTCACTCCCTGCCCACGCCTCAACAGTCTTCCATGCTCTATCTGCCAAGGTCTGCATGCCCCCAGAACCACCTGTCTGAGCCCCACCCAGAGTGACAAGGGAGAAGCTGGGAGCACAGATTTGGGGGGGGGGGCAGAGGGGAGGCAGGAGGAGTGCAGGGGAGTGGACCTGGCGAGGTCAGCAGCAGCCGAGGCGGAGGGGGGTCGCATGCAGATAAAACACAGTGCAATAAGGGAGTATTCAGATCACCTTATCACCTTTCAGTCCGGGCTCCCCCACGTTTCCCATCAGCCCCTGCAAGACAAAAGCGGGGGTCGGGCTTGAGGACAGCTCAAAGCTGCCGGCATCAGGAGCCCTGGCTTAGACCAGGGACCTGCTGTAGCCACTTGCTCGGTTTTCTCATCTGTAAAAGGGGCGATGGCCCCAGCTCCCACGGCAATGGTGTGGACTGAGGGAGCATGAGAAGGGGCGGAGGACTCAGGAACCACCGCACTGGAGCCGGGATGGCTCCATGAGCCGTGTCACACACACTGGCAACAGGGTCGCCCCTAACATGTCCCACCAGTGTCGGCCCATCTTCCTCCTGGACGCTCGCCCCCCCTCAGGATGTATGAAGCTCAGTGGTTTGCCATTAAGCTCCTGTGTCCCCAGTGATGTCCCCACTGGACTTTCAGTGTCCTGAGGTCTGGAACCAGATCAGACGCATGCTCAGCTCCAGGACTGCTGTCCAATAAAGACGCCTGGCATTGAGGGCCTACAGATAACCGGCTCTCTGCTCACTCCCCCCCTCCCCCCAGCACCTATGGCCTCCCCCTTCCCCCAGCTTCATGTCAGGGCACCCTTCCTTTCAGGCTGAAATGGGTCAGGGGGTGCCTGGATGGGACGAGGCCTGGGATAGGGAATGGCCCTGTTTACCTTCATGCCTTTAGGTCCTGGGTAGCCAATCGGACCCAACGTTCCCACGTCACCCTGGGAAGAGGAAGAGAAGAGGACGCTGTGAGAGGTGGCCCCCAGGAGGCTGGCCTGGGTGCCCAAGGTCCCCGGGGCCGGGTTTCCAAGGATGCGGCCCCGCTGGGCTGCTCTCAGAGCGAAGAACGCTCTTCGGTCTGTTTGCATCGCTGAAGTCATTGCTGGAATACATTTTACACAGGCCCTTTCCCAACTCATTTCTTGATTGCTTTCCCTCCCCCACCACTTCTTGCCATTTCGCTTTAGATATCAGACCTTTCTCTCCCGTATTAGATTCTTTGCATCCCTTACTAGCTCAGGGACTCTGGGCATTTCATCTGATTTCTTTGGACCTCCATCTACATAAATATTTGTGAAATAGGGACAGGGATCCTTCTCCTTGAGCCAGCTGCCGGAAGGGTCAAGTAAGCAAACAGGGGCTTCGGTTCCTCTCGCGTCTCGCGTAGCGAGGGGGAGGCGCGTCCTGTTTCCCAGAATCTCGCTGGGCCATCTCCTTGGGAGGGCAGCCAGGAAGGAGTGGGGCTGCCGATCTCAGGCACCCCGGAGTTAAAGACAAGACCCAGGAGAACCCGGAGATCCTGGGCCCCCAGGCTGGAGACCCCGCTTCAGATCGGATGAGACTGTCCCCAGTGGGAACAGCCAAGTCCCTAGACCAGCCGTGGGCAAACTACGGCCCGTTTGAAATGAATAAAACTAAAAAAAAAAAAGACCGTACCCTTTTATGTAATGATGTTTACTTTGAATTTATATTAGTTCACACAAACACTCCATCCATGCTTTTGTTCCGGCCCTCCGGTCCAGTTTAAGAACCCATTGTGGCCCTCGAGTCAAGTTTGCCCACCCCTGCCCTAGACCCTAGAGAGCTGGGAGGCAGCGCCTCAGTGTACACTGGAGACCACCTGGTCTCATCTCTCCTCTGCTGCCCACATACTGATTTGGGGGTGGGGGGGAGGGCGGGGAGGCTAACCATTCTGTGCCTCCGTTTCCTCCTGCAACAAATGGGGACATGTACCTCCAGGCGTTGTTTTGAAGGGTTATGGACTTACATGTCTGCTGGCATTTTTGGTTGTCACAACCAAAGGGGGTGCTACTGGCATCCAGTGGGTAGAGGCGGTGTGTGTGTGTGTGTGTGTGTGTGTGTGTGTATGTGTGTGTGTGTGTTAAATATTCTACAGGCCAGCTCCACAACAAGAATTATCTGGCAAGAAACCATGGTTCATGGAGTGACTGTATTTTCTCTAAACAGGCCCATCTTTCTCTCAAATCTCCTCACTTCCCACCCACCCTTGTCACTACTGTCAACCAACGATAGCCATAATATTAAGCCCACGCCAGAGAAAGGGAGCCCCCAGAAATACCCTCTTCTCCCCCTTTTCTATCGCCTGTGACAGGTCTACATGTCTGGCTGCTGCGTGAGCCCATCGATGTGCGTGACTTCTCTGGGCCTCAGTGTCCCACATCCCTGGGACAGGCTCCATGGAGGCCCCTGGAGGCACTGGAGGAACAAAGGCTGCCCCAGGTAGCCAGGCTGCCAAGAGGTTCCTGTCCAAGCTGCCTGGAGATGTCTCGGAGGGAGGCCGTCTCGGAGGGAGGCCGGGCAGAGAATGAAAAATCACATTCCTGCCTGGCTCCTGCCCGGGGGTGTGCAGTGGAGCACCCCGAGGGGAGAAGGAGGAGGTGCAGAGCCAAAGCCTGGGCACGGCCTGGCCGAGGCCATGCTGATTCTCACTCGCCACCCCAGACCCCTCCCCCGAATGACTTAGATTAGCGGAGGCAGATGCTGGAGTCTGGCTGTGGTCCTGCTGTGTGATCTTGGGCAAAACTCCTTCCCTCTCTGGACCTCAAGATCCTCACCTGACTTGGTCAAACCAGACCTTCTAGTGGAGCCTTTGCGAAGAAAACCTGCTCTCAGTTCCCATCTAGAAATCTTGTCGTTGAGGGAGCGAGGTGTCATGTCACAGGTGTAATAGAAACACAAGCGGCCCTGGTGGCTAGGCCCTGCGCTAAACACCTTACCTGTCTCAATTCAATTATTCCTCACTCCGGCCCTTAAAGATCCCTTCTGCTACAGTCCCCACTACACAGAGGAGGAAACTGAGGCCCTGAGAGGTTAGGGCTTGAGCAAACCAGAGCGGGCGGAGCCGGGATTTATACCGGGCAGTCCGTCTCCAGGGCCGCTAGGCAATTCTGAAGTCCCCTTTGGGGAAGGGGGAGTGAAGCCCGGATCCCTGGCCACAGGCACTGGGGCAGGCCAGTCTGGCTTCTCTCACTCTCTTTTCCTGGATGAAGGGAGAGAGGGGTGGCCCGCCCCACGCTCCCCGTGCTGCACAAATAAACAGCGGGCTCTGCTGGCACGCTGGCTCCGACGCGGCCCCAGGCAGGCATGGGACCAACGGCAGCTCCAGGAACACAGGCTCCTTCTTCCCCGCTCCAGGCTCAAAGTGGCCTGTTGTGAGGGGACTGGGTTCAACACAGGCCTGAGTGACGCCCGTGTGGGCCCACGGGAGCCACCGCACTCACCGCCCTGCAGGCCTCTCCAAGGGGGTCTGTGTGTGGTGGGTCGGGGCCCAGCGTGGGCATCCACCCCCGGGGCCAGGCATCACGGGAATGGGACTCAGGCTGCAGGGGACACGGGGAGCAGGTGGTGCTCTCTGAGGGCAGGTCTTCCTCCTGTCGACGGGACCCCCATGCTGGGATATCAACGCATTTGGGGGAGGAACAGAGAAGACTCCAGGCCACTTCCCCTCCAGTACAGCCTGAAGAACACCCGTCTGCTGTGCGCTAGACACCCTCACGGGCAGCCTGGCCGAGCAACACACAATGTCATGTCCCCACAGGAAAGAACAATGAGTAATGCCCTTAATTTGGATCCTGTTTCCACTTTGCCTAAGCTCCCAGACACGGCTTTACACACTTTGCCCTCATCTCGCTGGCTCCCACCAAGAGCACAGCCAACCACATCTGCAACCACTTACAGAGCTCCTACTGTGTGCCAGACTCCACGCTCGACACTTCCAGTCTCATCAGATCCTCATTAGCAAGCGCGTACGCTGCGCCAGGAACCCCGGTGAGGGCAGCTCACAGTCACCCCAGGAGGTCAGCACCCCTCTCAGGTCCACTCCTCTTCACAGAGGAGAAAACCGAGGCTCCGAGGGAGGTGAAGCAACTTGCACAAGACTAAGCCAGGAGTAGGGGGCAGAGGCAGGACTAGAACCCAGGCCCATCTGTCTGATGCCCCATGGGCCATGCTCACTAGCCCTCGATTGACTGTTCACTCCATGCAGGGCCAAGGATGCCTTTCTCATCGCCATCACCCGTAAGTGACAGGGCCTGGGGACAGGCTTCAGATGCAGAAACAGGCACGAGTTCCGCTCCCCCGAAGTACGCCATGGGGTTTGCCAGGGACCCCTGAAGACACAACCCAGGGTGCTCCCGATGCCCGCCCTTCATGGTGAGGTGCTGGCCGGGCCTCCCTCCCTCACACGCCTTCACCTTTCTGCCCTGCTGTCTCTCTAGCTGTGACACCCTCGGCCACTGTTTCCTATACCGTGTGCTCACACTGTTAACACCCACTTGTCCTTCTGGGTGACCAGACTCCGTAGGCAGGTCAGGCCCCTGCTGTCCGGTCTCAGAACCTGACACGGCTTTCACTCCAAGCCAATTCCACGCTGATGGCCATCGATGTGTGTGCCTATGTGGCCACCACTCCCCCCACCGTCCCCAGCCCCAAAGGAGCCACTAAAAGCAGCCTAGTGAATGGATGAAAAAACAAACAAAACAAAACCAAAATCCTTCAAACTCTTATTTACAAAACCCCCAGGGAAAAAATCCCTGGAACTGCCTTAAAGGCGACAAGCCTCTTTCCTGATCACTGATCGAGGGCCCCCAGCTTGGGGACAGGGACCTGGGCTGTGGCCAGTCTTGGTTCCTGGGTGATCTTAATAAGCACCATCTCTCACCCAGAACAGCCCAGGCACTCCCAGTGCGTGCTCTCACACCTTGGCTGTCCCCATTCAGCTCAGAAGTCTTGCGGAGCTGCTGTGGGGTGTCACGTGAAGAGCATGAGCTGTGCGCACAGGCCCAGGTCCCGCCTCTCAGCTGTGTGACCTTGGGCAGGGGCTCCAGCCTCTCTGAGCCTCGGTTTCCTTACCTGTACAATGGTAACCCCACTCCCTACCCTCAGAGACTTGCTGTGATAATTAAGTACTGGGCCCTCGGTTTGGCAAATATCAGTTATTGGGGTTCCTGGCCTCACTTTATAGACAAGGAAACAAACCCCGATGATGGTATTAGTGACAGAATATGGCGGACTTGTCTACTCTCCCCCACATTCTGGGTTTGGGCCAGATCACATATTCTTTGGGTCTCATTAAATGAGGAGCCAAAATCCCTCTGTGTCACTCCGAATGCAAAAGACAGAAATCTTCTTTGTTGGGCAGATTCTGGAACCAGGCACACTTTTCTTGAGGTCCAGCCAAAGGGTTTCAATTACTCAAAGGAGGCTGTTTCGAGGCAGTCTCACCTCAGAGGCCGCAGGGGGCCACCTGGGCCTGGGCTGCAAGTCCCTAGTGGTGACCCCGGGCCCCAGCCTCCCCATCCGGGGGACCAGGCTGTGCAGCACCTCAAGTAGCTCAAGGCTCCCGCAGCCTAAGGTATGTCCAGCACACACAGCTGACAGGCGTCCCGTGAATGTTTGTCTGTTCTCTCCGGCCCTTCCTCCCGGCTGCAAAGACCCGGGGGACAGGGCAAGTTTAGCTTCAGTCTGCATGCAAATGGCTTCAGCTGACTAGACAGAAGGTCTTGAATAAATGTGAATCTCCGCTGAAATGATATCAGTATGTGGAATTCCCATGTGCTCAGCTAAAAACCCACATCCTCTAGGAAACCGAAGGTGACTCACAGTCCACCTCCCCTTCTAACTCCTGCTTAGAAAATTCCTTTGTTTCCCACTCTTTGGGAAAGACAACTATTCCTCCAGGGACAGAAGCCAGTGTTCCCCAAAATCCAGGGTGGGAGTGGGTACCTTGGGTGGCAGGGGGCTCTGCCTGGGGGTGGGGGTTGAGGGGGGAGGGGCAGCAGTGACTTAGTGGTCTCGGATACAGCCCTGTGATCCACAAGGAGAAAGGGACCGTCACCTCGGCAGAAAGGGCATTTAAAAACAGCAGAGGTGCCCTGGCTGGTTTGGCTCAGTGGATAGAGCGTTGGCCTGGGGACTGACGGGTCCCAGGTTTGATTCCAGTCAGGGGCACATGCCTGGGTTGCAGGCTCAATCCCCATTAGGGGGCATACAGGAGGCAGCCAATCAATGATTCTCTATCATCGCTGATATCTCTCCTCTCTCTCTCTCTCTCTCCCCCCCCCTTCATCTCTGAAATCAATAAAAATATATTTAAAAAAAACAAAACAGCAGAGGCACAAGGAAAAACTCATCAGCTCTTTGAAAAGGGACATCATGAGCAATGCTGGGATGCCCAGGGCTCACCCCCAACTAAGACCCCTCAGAAGGGAGCAGGGAGAGGAGTGCCCTGAATTAGGAGTTGGGAGACATGGCCTCCGATTATGCCTCCATCCTCTCCTGCCTTGTATGTGACCTTGACCAAGGGCCTCAGTTTCCCCATCTGTCAAATGGGATTCACCTAAGAAACCATGCGAATAGGGTTGCCAGACTGAACAAATAAAAACATAGACTGCCCCATTACATTGGAATGCCAGGTAAACAGTGAATGATATTTTAGCATAAACGTGTTCTAAATATTGCAGCTGACATTCAGATTTCACTGGGCGTCTTGTATTTAATCTGGCAACACTAACTGGGGAGAGAAAGGGGAGCACAGGTGGGCACGAGCTCTGTAGAGTCGGGAGGGCCCAGGGCTGTGATGGCAGCGTCTCCATCTCCAGGATCTGTGGATACTCGGCCAAGCACTCTTCTTGCCCCTCTGAGGAGTCCATCTAGTGGACGCCAGGACAAGGACAAATAGGAATCCGTGCCAAGGATGACAGCCAGGGTACATAAACATCCCCTCAGGAAAGCTTTAGGGGCTGGATCATATAGCCTGAGGAAGGAGCCTGGGGAAGAACAGACAATGACCGCCTTTACATCCCCAGCAGCCTCTCCCGGGCAGGGCCAGGCCTTGGCTCAGCACGCAGGAACATCTGTACAATGAGAGCTCTGTGGAAATGGTAGGGCTCCCACAGGAGGGCGCGTCTAACACCAGGGTGTTCACCTTGGAGTTTAACGACCGTATGACCAAGATGCTCCAGAGACCTCTGCCTCGCGTAGAGGTTGGACTCGGACCCTCGGAAAGTCCCCATGAATCGGGTTCTCTAACACTCGGCGCACAGATTTATTTTTCCAACGCATCTAGGTCAGTGCCTCGTGCCAAACAAGGTGCCCGGCAAAGGACAGCGCGGGTGACAAATGTATGACTCAAGTGTCGACACGGCCTCATCCCAGGCCAGGCAGGCATCACCAGTCAATCTCAGCATCCTCTCTCACTAAGTTCCAACGTGACTTTGAAATCTTTCTCAATGCAGCAGCCTAGACAGCTGCTACCAGGGACAAAATACCTATGTATGTGTGTACAATCATCAACACCATCACCAACTATTATAACTATATACTAGGCATTTTATATGTACTAGTTTCTTTAAACAGTCCTCCAAGTTAGGTACTAATATTATCCCCGTTTTACAGATGAAGACATTAAGACTCAAGGAGGTGAAAAATGTACTCAGAACTGCCATTAAATGAAAGACGGAGCTAGGATTTGAACCTCAGCGATCTGGTTCCTTCTGAGCCATGGGACTAGACTGGATGTGTGTATCTGTGGTCCTCACAAGAGTGGGCACAGCAATCCCATCTTACAGACGGGGTCCCAGGGGTTCAAGGAAGCAAAGACATAACAGAAGCCCACAGAGCCAGGGGGAGGGGAGGCCCCCACTTGGGGGCAGGTGGATCTGAGCCTCCACCCCATCCCACCCACCCCACCTACCTGAGCAGGCGCACAGGACTGGGCCCTCTTCACAGGACTGGCCTCCCCAGAACAATAAGGCTCCACAGCCCCCCCCCTCCCCCCCGCTCCCTGCCCCTTCCCCTCCCCTCCCCAGGGCCTTCTCCAGCTTCTCTCTGCTAATCCTCACCCGAGGACATTTTTTCCCTTGTTTTTTAGAGAGAATGGAAGGAAGGAGGAGAGACAGAGAAACATCAATAGAAACACATCTATTGGTTGCCTCCTGCACGTTCCCTGAACAGGGACAGGGACCAAACCTGTAACCAAGGTACGTGCCCTTGACCAAAATCAAACCCTTCAGTCTGCAGGCTGTCGTTCTAATCACTGGGAAAAACTGGCTAGGGCTCTAGCCTCCCTCTGAGCAGAATTTCTCAGCAAAATTGCTGGAGTGGCCGAAGCACTAAGGAACAGTCTACGGTGACCCCCAAGGGCCCCCAGACTCAAACCCCACAAGGAATGACTCCGAGGACAGAACAGAGGAGGCACCAAACCCTGGGGAAGTTCCTAGAGTCTTTTCCCAGACTCAGGTCTCTCATTGGCCCTTGGGGCCAGGCCCAAGGCCAAGGCTCACGCTTAAAGAGGGGGCCCTGGTTTTGGCTAACAGAACCACTCGCTCCAGAAGGCCTACCTCAATCTAGATGGAGAAAGAGGTCAGATTGCCTCCCACCTCCCTGTGTACAGGCCTCTCTCAGTCCCAGGCACATCAGGAGGTAATAACGGTAATTCATAGAACAATATTTCCCACTAATTGCACATTAACTGAGTGGTAGACCCCATGCCAAGGACTGTACATGCAATGCCTCATTTAATCCTCACAACCACCCCAAGAAGATTCTACTACCATCCCTATTTTAAAGATGAGGAACTAAGGCTCAGAGAGGGTAAGTAACTTGGCCCAGGGCACACAGCCAGGATGTGGCAGAGCGGTGACTTGAACTCAGGTGGTCTGGCTCCAAAGTCAGTGCTCTGAAGAAAAGGATGAAGACGACTGTCCATGTGGCCCAGAGCCTCAGCTCCTCTGCCAGTCACTTCCTTCTCTGGACCTGACGCACCTTGTCTGTCAAATGGCCATGCTATCACCTGTCTACACCACCTTCCAGACCGACGGGCAGGCAGCAACGGGCTCAGAGAAGGCAGGTAATGCACCTGAGGCCACACAGTACGACTGTCCTCCCTCAGGCCCCCCCCAAGGCTGGTCTGTCCTGCTACAGCAGCTCCTCCTGGGTTTGATGAGAGAGGGGCCTTTTCAGCAGGTCTTATCGCTTGTTCCCCACACCCTGCTTCCTGCCTCTCCCCTTCCCAGGCATCGGTGTACTTACAATGAGGCCGGGGACTCCCGGGGGCCCTGGCAGGCCCAGCTCTCCCTGCAAATGGAGAGAGACCAAGGTGGTTAGTTGCCCTTCTCCCTCCTGGGCCACCCCCTCCACACCATTCTGCACGTGCATGCCTAGGGGAGTCCTCTGAGCTGACCATTCCTCGTCCCTGACCGGTGAGTCTCCAGAGCCTGGTCTAAGGTTTGGACAAGACCCTTGGCCCCCTCTGGCATCAGCTTTCTGCATCGGTAAAATGGGGAGGTTGGATTTCCAAGTCTGGCAGCTTCAGATTGTTAAGTGTGAAGGACTGCGCCATCCTGATCATGGTAATAGGATGTGCAGGGTGCTCGACCCAGGTCTCATTTCACCCTCACCCTATAGATGGCAAAACTGAGGCTCGAGAGTTAAGTGATTTACTCAAGGGCAAGTGCAAGAAAGGAACAGTGGTGAGGGCTGCCAGCAGAGAGCCACCAGGCTAGCTCCCCGCTCTCTCGGCCAGGAGGCACCGGGCCCCTGGACCCCCACAGGCTCACAGGTTTCAGCCTCCCAAGGCCTCCGAGATGCTGGGAGAGCTCTTGCCCAGGAGACAGGTGTGTCCGGGTGTGGCAGTGAGCAAGTTTCTCCTTCCTCTTCTCTATAAATGGACCTTTCCCAGAGAAGAAGGTAGAGAGATTTGGATCAAGTTCAAAATGCAAAGATGCGAATAAAAATAGGGGGCTTGAGGAATGGTGATTGTCAGTGAGAATTGCCCACAGCATCCGGGGTTTGCCTGCCATCTGTGCAACCCAGGGCTGCTCAGATGGAGGTCACGACTCCAGCCACCACGGAGAAGAGGAGGCGGCGAGAAATAGCCTTGGCTTTCAAATGAGGGAACCGAGGCTCAGGGGAGGGACGTGACTTGTCCAAGGCCACGCAACAACTGTGTGGCAGAGCTGGGACACACATCCGGTCCTCTTCCTGCTCCTCGGGGCCATGAGTATGAAGACATCCCCGCCCCTCCCTAGGGGGCCTGGAAGGACACCACATGTTATAACCGATAGTCCGAGGACAGATCCACTGAAGGACAGGCCCTGGCTACTCACCCTGTGCCTTTGCTGGTACTCCTTCCTCCACCTGGAAAGTCTCCTCACCTCTTTCTCCAACCCAGTTCTAATGTCACCTTTCCCCAGAGTCTTCCCTCCTCCTCCCCCTCCTCCACAGCACCGGGGACCTCCTGATCCCACCAATCTACTCTCCGCCTCCTGCAGTAACTGGGGAGACAGCCACGAGCTCCTCGAGGGCAGGAACTGTGCCCTTCCATTACACCCCCGACTAGGAACACTGGTGAACACTGGTCATGGGCCGAACCCCTTGCCCTCGCATTACATTCTCACAGCAGCCCTCTGAGGCCGGCATTTTGACACCCTCCCCCCACCCCACCCCCTGTTTTACAGACAAGGAAACTGAGAGCCAGAGAGGGGAACGGGTTTGTCCAAGTGCCACGCTGGCGAGTGGTGTGGCAGGATTCAAACCCAGGCCCACCTGGCTCTGAGGCCAGGGCTTCAGCTCCCAAGGGAGCCCAAGGGTAGGCCCCAGGGAGCATTTGTGGAACAGAAATGAGAACAGAATCATGGGGTTAAGGATGGATCCAGCAGCCACCTCTGCAGAAAGCACAGCGGGCACAGCTGCTCCGGAGGGAAGCCCCATGGAGAGGTGGGGGGCAGGGCAGGTGCTCCAAGGAGCTCTGAACATGGCCTGCACCCCCAGGCCTCCTCTCCTGCCGAGCCTGAGGCTGGGACAGGACGGGGAAGGCAGGGCTCAGCTCCGCAGGGCAAGCTGACCTGACTTCTCTGACTATTTACAAACCCTATAAACATGCCTGCGCTGGCGATTTCCTTCCAACTCGCTCTCCTCTCACACGGGGCCTGCAAACTATCTGCTCCCGGGCTGCTGCCGTCCCATAAGCATTTCCGGTGCTTTGTAAGGTGGCATAGGCCTGGCTTCCCCCGTGGGGCGAGCCTTCCTAAGTCCTTGAGGATGGAGCACAGGCCGGGGCTTTGGGACCAGAGGCTCAGGGCTGGGGGCTCTTTGGGGGGTGGGGTCACAGGGCATCCACAGTAGACAGGAGCCTGGGGTTCAGAAGAGGCACCAGCTAGTAGGTAGCAGGGCTAGGGTTTGACAGTCATTCAACCCCAAAGTTGGGTTCCTAAAACCTGCGTGAGTTCCCTCGGAATCTCTCTCCTGGTCCCAAAGACTTGAGATACTTACGGGGTTTCCATCCAGTCCGGGTGGGCCTCTTTCCCCAAAGTCTCCAGGAAACCCCTGAAGGCACAAGAGAGAACAAACGTCTATAAATTAGTGTTTATGCTTCCGAGTGGCTGCGATCCAGATGGGGGCGGGGGTCGGGGAGGGAGACACAGGACATGTCCATGCAGTCTCACTCCTTGGTTCTGGGATCTGGGCAACCAGTGGGGTCCCGGATCACCCCATGCCCTCAACAAACACTCCACCTGGAGAATTTCTCAGGTGGGGCCCAGGGACATTGAGCCTCTTCTTATGTCCCCAGAGTCTCTGAAAAGAAACCGGTGGCTGGCTCCCCAGAGTGGAAATGCCACCCCCAATCTGAGACCTGGTCCCGATGGAGTGGGGGGTCAGGAACCTGGGTCTAGGCCTGGAGACCGGCTGCTGACTTGCTGAGTTATAAAAGCATCCCTTTTCCCCTGTAGGCCTCAGTTTCCCCTCTGGTCAAAGGGAGGCCTGTGCAGCATTTTCCAGCTCAGACCTAGTTTGATGGTGACATGCTCTTCAAAAGCCACCCTGTGGAATCATGATCCCTATTTTACAGATAGAGAGAGACTCTGAACGGGTAAGTGTCAAGGTTATACTGCAGTGAACAGCCGCACCATTGTCACAGGTGAGTTTCGGCAGCTGAGAGAGAGGTCATTTTGCCCGCCCCAGGCAGGTCTGGCCTCTCGCCCCCTCCCTGACCCTACTCCACGCTCTCTGGGGAGACTGGCAGCTGGGAAAACATCAGCTGTGGGGATGTTCCTGGCGTGGCAGGGGGTAACTCCATTTTACTTCAAAAGGAAAAGAAAGCCCTCAAGCTTGGAACTTAGAGAAACCTGTTCTCCCCTCTCCTTGAATTCAAATCATAGTTTTTTCAGGGAAATGTCATGTTTTTCTGACCGTGCTCAGGCTGGAGTGTGTGATCGCTAAGAACCCTTCCGCTTGGCCCAATTCGTGGATGAAGCCTCGAGGAAGGAGCCCGGAGCCGGATGGAGAGCCTGACAGCATTCCCAGGCACCGATCCTGGCGGCCATGTCCAATATATTTGCAGCCAGCAGGCCCCAGGAAGGTCTCAAACCCATGGGTCTGCACTCAGAGGCCACTCCAGGCTGGCTCAAGGACTCCTCTCAGCCCCTCCGCCAGGCCGGCTGACCTGGTGAGGCTTTGCAGCCAGAGCAGCCCGATGCCAGTCCTGGCTCCACCGCCCACGGGCCTCCCGAGCTGCAGCACCCGCTGCTGTGCAATGAGGAGTCCCGAGGGATGAGCTGAGATGTCGCACCGAGGGCGAGCCCTTGCTGCCACACGGAGGCAGCGGCCAGGTGAAGGCACGTCTCTGAGGCATGAGCAAGGCAGAGACCATCAGAATGGTCGCATCCCAAAGGGAGGCAGACGAAATGCAGCCGGAGGATAGCCAGTGGGAGGTGACAGTGAGGTGACCACAATGACAGGAAGAGCAAACTCCAACAGCCCAATGAGCTAGGTCCTATTACTGGCCCATTTTAGAGATGAGGAAACTGAGGTCCAGAGAGGTTAGAGCACTTGTTCAGAGTGACACAGCTATGGAATAGCAGGGCAGGGATCTGAATCCAGGCAGTCTGACTCCAGTGCCCATTCTCTTGGCTATGACTGGACACTGAATACAGAGACAGGACTACAAGCCTGGGTCTCTCCTAGGGCTCAGGAGGACCCTGGCTGATGCACACGTGGGAGTGGCATGACTGATGCCCAGGACTGGTTCTGCTGGTACATGCTTGGTGGCTGCAATACCCAGCCCTGTCTCCATCTTCAGTCTCCCTCCCTTCAGGAGTCCAGCAGATGACCCTTAGGAACCTAGGGTTTGTAATTAAGAGCACAATGGTTGTGGGGGAAAGATTGGAGCAAGCTTTAAAAGTGCTGGAACATCCCTGGACATTAGAGCATCCACCCTCACACCGAAGAGTCATGGGTTCGATTCCCAGTCAAGGGCACATACGTTGCAGGTTCGATCCCCGGCTGAGGTTGGGACGCATGCAGGAGGCAACCGATTGATGTGTCTCTCTCACATCAATGTTTTTCTCTCTCTTTCCCTCCTCTCCACCCTTCCACTCTCTAAAAAAGTCAAAACAGGAAAAAATATCCCCAGGAGAGGATTAACAACAACAAAAAACGTGCTGGAACAAATCCTTGATTGGAACAATCACGATGGCCTGAGACAAAAAGACCCTGACTCCTGACATTCAGCATTTCATTGCCGCAGTGGGGAGACTGTGGCCCAGCACACGCCCAAGGCCCCAGCACCCCGCTAACTTGCCTCATCCCTCCACCCCTGATGGACACAGCCCATTTCTGACACTCGCCCTACGGCCCCCGATGGCCTGCTTCCCTGTCTGGCTGCATCCGCTCGCGCATGGCATGCACTCCCAGCCTGGCCAGCAGGGACCTTCCTCTGCAGGCCGGAGCTCCTGGATACAGCAGGCTGGCCTGAGGCCCAAGCCATGAGCTTGGCACCCTGCCGGGGCCTTAGCCACGTGGTTTCTCCATTTCCCCAGGTCAGGCCTCCCTGGGGAACTGAACGCCTCGTACTTTGAGCAGAACAAGGCCCAGGAGAAGACAGAAGCTGGCTCTGGGACGAGACGATAGACGTGAAAACAGGGACAGTCCTCGTGGCCACATGCATGGCAAGATGTTGAGGGCTGAGGAGGCCCTACTTCCCCAGTGTCCACCCAAATGGTCTGTTCCAGAAGGTGGGCTGTAAGGGCAGGGGGAGTGTGCAGCTTGAAGATCTGCAGTCCTGCCAAGGTCTCAAAGGCTCAGCTCCCTGGCCTGAAAAATGGTCAGCCCTGCCCAACTCACCTGGCAGAGCTGGGCTGAAGAAGAGGCCAGATGTTTGTAATCCAGCCGCTGGCAAACTCTAATGTGCTATCACCACATGCTGGTTAGGGTTTGCATCAATGGTGGGAATACGTAATGATCTCTAGGAAGAGCCTGCAGAAGGATCTTGGAGACCTCTTTACAAGGCTGCAATTCTCCGAAGTCGGCAAGTTCCCGCCTAAGTCTAACCTGCATCTCAAAGCACCGCGTTCTTTTCCAGATGTGCGCCCACATGGAGAGACCAGAGGTCCCCAGCTCTTTTTCATGATGCTGAGCATGCTTTCTCCCGGCCCTTTTGAAGTCCACTAGGGAAGCCCCCCAAAAGTGACCCCAGGGAATAAGAAGGAGGTGGGCAGAGTTCCCAGGATTCTAGAGCCACCGGTAGCTCTGGGACAGCTCTAGGTCAAGTTGGGGACACTGGGGACCACATCCCCAGCCCACAGTGTGACCACAGCTAAAAACTCTCATCTGCTTTGGCCTCAGTTTCCCCACGTGGAAACACGAGATCCCTCTCACTTTGCCCCCTTCTCCCTACAGTCGGAGAACTGGAAAGAGCCCTGAGCTTGAAACCAAAATGCACCGTGTTAGAGCCCTGCCCGCCCTGGATGGCGTGTGGCCGTGGGCAAATCCCACTGGCCCCCGAGCCACACACACCAAGGGAGTGGAAGCCAGGGCTGGGCCTTTCCAGCTCTCAGTTCTAGGGTCTGCCTGCCTGACTCACGACACAAGACCCGCCTGGGCAGGCCTGGCCAGAGACTACAAGAGGAGCTGTGAGTGGCGGCTGGCCAGGTCAGGCATTCCAGCCGCTGATGGTAATCCACAGTGTCCGACTAGAGGATTCACTGTAGCATCTTCCCAGCCCCGGGGAGAGACCTGTGGCTGAGAGGCATGGCTCGGACCCCAGCTATGAGTGTCCCTGTGCCGGGCCCCCAACAAGCCAGGATAGTCCAGAAGAAACCCCCTAGAGCTCATAGTTCCAGCCAAGTTGGTAACATCTTATATCTGGACCCCTCAGAAAACCATAAGGCATTTCTCTTTCTAACAGGTGGTGTGAGGAGGAGAGGAGAGCTATAGACTAAGTCCTCCTTTGGAGGTTGAAGTTGTGAGCACAGAGAGAAGTGATTCTTACTAGCAAGCAAGAGTCCTGGGTTCGAGTCTTGATTCTGTCCCCACCTTATTGTATGACCTTGGGAAGTTCCTGGCCTCTCTAAACTATGCTTATCTGTCTGACAAAGGGGTTGGGCCAGCTCATCACTAAGGTTCCTGCAGCTCCGATGGGATCCGACCTCCACTGTCTCTTTCTCGGCTCCCATTTGAAGACTCTCTTGCATTCTCCTTCCAAACCCAATGCCGAGGAGGCCGCATGCGTGGGCCTGAGGTTTTGCTGGCTGGAGAGAGATGGACTACAGCAAGATCACCACCAGGCCCGCCAGAAATGAGGCCAGCTGCAATCTGGCATGAGGGAACTCAGCTCGTTCCCTCGACATTTCCTCTTGTTAATATGTGCCTAGAAATTGCCTGGCCCAAGGCTTGGACAAGTGGAAAACCCATTCACAAAAGAATCCCCCAACCCCACCAGCCAGATCAAGGGCTAGGGAGCCCTGGCAACAGGGGATGGCCTGTAAGACCACTCAGGAGACCGTGGGCCGAGGGCACGGAGGGCCTGGAGGCTCAGCAAGGCAGAGACAAAGGTTAAAAGACAGGGAGATACGAAGTCCTAGTCCATGCATATTCTGTCGTAGCCAATGCAGACCCTGCCTGTTTGGCGGCCATGGTGGCTGGGCTAGAATTCAGGGGCTTTCGTAGCCCTCAGGCATATGGTATGACCACAGGGCGGTTTGACTGGAGGGAAGGGGCTTCCTCCCACCCACACCTGACACCCCAGCGCCAGGGCACAACCCCATCGTGGAGCATGGAATCTGAGGAAGTCACTGGCACGGAGCGAGGAAGCAGGCATGAGCTGACAGCTATAAGGGTTCAAGACCTTGGAGGACTCTGGGCACATGGCTTTGGCTGTGGAAGCCTCAGTTTCCTCATCTGAAAAATCAATCTCACCTCAAAGAATCAGTAGAATCACATGCAGTTCAAATCCCATGCAGGTAAAGGGGCCTCAATAAATGTTGCTTTTGAGGGGGTTGGTTTTGGCTACAGTGCTATCCCTACTACCTGGCACATAGTAGGTGCTCAATAAATTTTTGTTGAATGAGAAATGAGTGAGAGGCCTCATCTCACTCACGAGAAATGAGTGAGAGGCTTCTTCTCACTCACAAACCTGGCGCTGCCTTCCCAGCCGTGAGCAGGAGGTTTTCAGCTCCAAGAAAAGAAAATAAGTTCAAGGAGGAGGCAGACGAAGGGGCTGCTGGAAGTAGGAAAGTGATGGGGAGGCTGCAGGGGAGGGGGTGGAAGAGGACAGCGGAAGCATGGCTCTGTTGACAGTCCTGGTTGCAGCAGGCGAAGAAGCCACTGGCTGCTGCATTCTAACAGCTCTGACCCCCAGAAGCCACACGATCTTGACCACACCATTCACTGGTCTTCTCATCTTTAGTGGCAATGCCTGGCCCTCTGGGAGGCTCCCAAGATGGAGTCAGAGCAATCCCCCATGGGGGCTCTGGAGGTGGCCTCGACCTGGAGTGCTCTACCTCGGATAGCCACAGGGCTCCATTTTCACCTCTTTCAGGTTTCTCAGAAAGTGAGGTGGACTTCCCAGACCAATTTCTCCAACAGCCTATACCCCAAGTACTCCCTGTCCCCCATCCTCTCTATCTGAATACTCAGCACCATCTGCCAGTCCATCATGCATTCTCCGTTCCCTCAAACAATCACTGTCTGTCTGTCTGCCCATGAGAATGGGAGCTTTGTCTTGTCCACTGCTCAGCACCAAGCACAGTGCCTGGCCCGTAGTGCACACCCAGAATTCATTGAATGAATAGATGAATGAATGAATGAGCCAATGAATGGATGAACGAATGAGTAATGAATGAAGCAGTCTCCTTGCCCCAGTCACCTGGCTTGAGGAACAGATCCAAATGCCAGCCCAGCTCTCGCAGACTCCACATCCTGGCCTGAAGCCAGGAGCAACATGTGCTGTTTCTTGCCCAGATCGGGGTGTCAGGTGTCAGACCTCAGGGCACAGAGGGGGCTAGGTCTGAGGGTGAGGGGCTCCTCTGTTAGCGCCTTATAGCCAGGACCTGGATCTTGCCTTTCTTTGTATTCCCCATTTGGCCCCAGAGAACCCAAGTCCATATAGGCAAGGTCAGTGCCTGTGACCATGCCATCAACCCCAGAATCACAGACAGCCCCCTCTGGCCACCTGGAGTGCTCCTGGCTCCCTCCCAGCTGACTCTCAAGTTCTAACTCACCATCCCTTCTCCATCAATCACAAGCAAAGGCAGGTACAGACCCAGAGCTGATGATGGGTCCAAGTCTAGGCCTGACCCTGCAAGGCACAGGCAGGGAGCCTGAAGCCAGCAACAGGGCAGGGCCCGGGAGGAAGATGCCTCAGTTACAGTCCTGGGTCTCCCCCAGCCTAGCAGTGGGACCCTGGACACAACACTCTGCCTCTCGGAGCCTCGGTTTCCCCTTGTGAATAGCAAAGCATTGGGATGAATGGCTTCCCTCCAGGCAAAAGTCCTAGGGAATCCACGTTTACAACTTCATCTCCAATCAGTGGGCCTGGGCCATCATGGAGATCAGAGGCCCCAGAGACAAACCGAGTTAGAATCCTGGCTCTGCTGTTGACTCATTGTGAAACTTCGGACAAATTACTTAATCTCTCGGAGCCTTGGCCTTTTCTTCCTGCCGCACAGATGCCCAAACAAGGGGAAAAACAATTTCCTACCACGATGGAGAATCACAGGCAAAGCTGACAGATGGGGCATTACTGCTGAGCCCCCCCTGTGGTCCCCCTGCCCAGCATCCCCCTGCCCTCTGGCTTGTGTGTGCACGGGTGAAACAGGTGACACCAAGACAACACGGAGACTGAGTGTTCTCTGAGTTAGCAGCACCGACACCTGGCCAGGCCAAGATCCCCCAGTCCCAGCAGGTCCCCGAGCACGGACACTAATGACCCAGACAGCAGACCGCCCTGCCCCCACCTGCAGACACAGAACTGCATGGCAGAGCGCGCGCGCGCGCACACACACACACACACACACACACACACAGGCTCCCTCCTAGAGGGACCCAGTGCCCACAGGAGCCCCACCCCCAGCCCCAGCCAGGAAGCAGCCACTCGTGTTCTGGCAGCAGGACACGAGGCCCAGACAGCCCTACGTGCCGGCCCACACACTCAAAGCGGAGCGATGGCTGAGCAGAGAAGCAAGCAGAGAATGCCCAGGCCGCGGATGGACAGGGCAGCGTGGCCAGTGGGAGGGCAAGTTCCCCCATAGAGTCTGCGTAATAGACACGGAAAATCTTTACCGGCCTACCCATCTTGCCCCTCTTGCCAGGAACACCAGGCAGGCCCTGTAGAGGAAGAGACAGGGAAGCGGTCAGGACAGGATGCCCGCAGGGCACCCCAGCCCCAGAGCACCCACAAGAGGAAGTCACCGAGAGCCTAGCTTCCCGACCACATCCACAGTAGATACCAGCCTTGCACAGAGGGTGGATGGCCCTTGCACTCCTGGAGTTGGGGTCTGCATGGATCTGAACTGAGGAGATGGCCCCCCAAAGTACCCGGTGTTCCTGGTATTCAGCTGGTGCTCACTAAGTGCTCCTTCTGCGTTTCTAAGGTTCTCTTGTGGATGAGGTTACATTTGAGTTCCCATATATGGGCTCAGGCAGGGAGGGGATGGAGAGGAGGGTCCAGAGGCCTGTGGGCCGAACAGTCTCTGTGCTAATTACTCATCTCTGTGCCAAGAGCAGAGCAACCACAGGTGCTGCCTAAACAAATGAGCATGGCCGAGTCCAGGCCGGAGTTTGCAGACACTTGGTCTGAAATACAAAACAGGCAGATTTCTCATTTGCTGCAAGCCCTGCGGAAGCTCCCAGTGCTCTCAGAGCAGAGGCCCTTTCCTGACCTTGGCCTCTGAGTGACGTATAACGTGGCCCAGGCGCTCCCTCCAGCCTCGACTCCCCGCGGCCCCACCTTCCCACCTCGCACTCAGCGCTTGGACTGGCATGACTGCTAAACTTGCCAAGTTATCGTACGCCCCTGACTCTGCACACTCCGTTCCCTATGTCTGGAAGGCACCTGCCTTGCCTGGTCCCCTTAGAGGCCTCCCATGTAAGTCGAGGGCACCTGTCTAGAAGGGATTCCACGATGGCTCCAGGCTGGCACCTGGCAGAGGGAGTGGGTGGGGTGGGTAGGAGGTAAACAGAGAAAGCATACTCACACGCTCTCCATCGGACCCTGGCAGGCCGAAGAGCCCTGGGAGTCCAATGTAGCCCTAGGAAAGAGCAGGTGCGGGGTCAGAGGGCCGAGTGGTGGGGTGTGGCTGGCCCGACCCATCCCAGCCCCCTCGCTGCCCTCCCACGCCCGACTCTTCTTCCTGGCTGGCGGCAGTGGTGGCTCCGGCGGCTCCTCGACGACATAGGCCTTGAGGCAAGTGTATATGCCCATGGACTGCATGGTGCTGGCTTCCACGATGTAGTCCAAAGGCACATACCCTCACGCCAGGGAAGGGCGCGGGCGCTCTCGGGGGGAGGCCCGCCCCGAGCCGGGGCTCCAGGACCTGCAGGAAGGAAGCTCTCAGCTGGGTTAGATGCTAGAGTGGCACCAGGTCCTCCCCACCCCCAGGGACCCTCCTGGGCACCTGTGGCTTCTGTGGTGCCTCCTCCCAGGCCTTGAAGGTGCCCTGACCCCAAAGCTTGCCCTCTGCCTACTTCATACATATGAGGCCAGTGATGGCAGGGTTTGGAGGGCAGCTGGAATGGCCCGGCTCACCCAGGCTGCTCAGGGCCTTGTGACCCTGGACAGGGGTGAGCTGGGACCAGACCAGCTCTCTCTCTCTCTCTGTCTCTCCATGTGGCCCCAAGATGCCTCTCGCAGGGCAAACACCAAGCAGCCCAGATGCCTGTCTCTTTCCTCCTGACCTCCTGGCAGATTAGGGACCCTGTGGCAGAACTGAGAAGACCTCCCTGGGTGCAGAGGGACCCTCTGGGATTAGGGCCGAGACTGTGGCCATAAGTAGCTTTGGTTCAGGAGAGGAAGACACCTCACACCAACCTAGCCTGGCCTTGAACTGTGTGGCCCACGTGCTGAGCGTTCTCTGAGAGGCTGCGAGCCCAGCCCTGTGGACCTCTGGGTCCTCATCTTAGCTCCACCTTCACTGTGCAGTGCAAACGAGGGCCATGGGGTCTCTACCGTGAACCCAGTTTCCTTGGGTACAGAGAAGGTTCCACCAGTTCATCTTAGCCTTCCAAACTCCATTTACTTCCATTCAGTTCCCCCAGAACCTTCTCTACCGCCCACAGCTCACCCGGGAGCCGACACTGCTGGCTCCCCCTAAACACCACTTGCTTCCAAATTCCTGGTATCTCCATAACCATGCAAGAGGCAGAATGGACATCACCCCACTGTAAAGATGGGTAAACTGAGACTGCTAGCCATGCAGGGTTTGCTCCTCCTTGAAGAGGACAATAGATACTTTATCAGCCTCAGGCCTGGGCAGCATTCACCCATCCGACACCACTGGCTCCCAAAAGGGCGGTCCCCTCGCCCTCAGTCAGGAGCAGGAGAGAGGCCTCTGAGGCCTCCAACCACAGGCCAGGTGGCCTGGCTTCGTTCCCATCACGTGGGACATGCTGGAGATTGTAGCAGCTGGACCGTGGCCGAGCCCCCAGCTACTCTCCGCTGCCCAGGCTGCCTGGCCATGGCTCAGGCTTGGCTCAAAAGTCTCCCCTCACCAGGCCGTCCCGCTGTCCCTCTGCTCTCCAGAGAGCACCCAGGCGGGAGGTTGCAGCCCGACAGACACTGGGCGGAGGCCTCCCAGCCCTGCTCTCTCTCAAGCCCACCAGAGGGACAGGTAATGCCCACCCAGGGCCACCTGTATGGCACTTGCCAGGGCCCACTTACCCGGCTGCCTTTGGGACCAGGGTCTCCTACAGGTCCAGGTAACCCCTGAAACATAAAAGACGGAGGGCAAGGACATATGGAGACAGTCTACTTGCTGCCAACAACCCAGGCCTCGGCTGCTCTCTCTGTAGAATGGGAACGGGTTAGATTTGTGGCTTTCAAACTGAGCCCAGCCACCTCAGGACCCCAGGGAAGTGGCTCAAGGGGAGACTGGGTGGATCCCCACCCCCACTGCACCAGAACTGTCTCTTCCGTTCTCTTACTGAGCATCCCTGCTCTCAGGGCCTACCCAGCAGGTGCAACTCCTCGGCCCCCAGCCCACCACCTCCCTCTGCCTGGGGGCCCATGGCCATCTGCACACCACCATGGCCACAGAGCTTCCAGAAGCCATATACTGCACCTGCCTGCCAGGGTAACCTTTGGCCCCTGGGCTGCCCTCCGGTCCCGGCCGCCCCTGCAAAGGAACGGAGAGAAGCGTGAGGAAAGGAGAGACCCTGCCAGGCTCCAGGTCTGAGGGGCAGTGGGGGACTGGGGCTCACAATGGACAAAGAGGAGGGCGGGAATGCGAGATGAAATGGGAGGAAGGGGAAGCCACCGGCTGGCTGCCTGGCCCCCAAGCCCACCCCTCTGCAAAACCGGTCAGACCAGCTCGGAGGGACAAAACCCCCTGTGCCGGCCGCCCAGGCCTAAGACAGCACTGAGGAGGCCTGGCTGGCCCCCACGCTGGCAGCCACTGCTGTTTGATTTGGGCCCGGGCAGCCAAAATTCCTGCAAACCCCATGGCGGTGCGGATAATATCCCCTAACATCGCCCGGAACAGGCCAGCTATTCATGGCTCTAACCAAGCGGAGCAGCTCGTGCCAGCGCCAGGCTGGCGTGGACTCCAGGTCTCGCAGGCAGATGTGGCTGGGGGAGAGGTGGGGTGGGGTGGGGGCCCCAGGAGGTTGGGAGGCTCAACCGCCTGGCTCTAGGGCTCGTTCACGAGGCAGGGCCCAGGGAGGAGGTCAGGGACAGGCCGGGGCTGAAGCGCAGGAGCCGGCAGGGTGGGGGCTGAGGCCGTGGTCCTCACCTGTTCTCCAGGGTGCCCAGCAGGTCCAGGGTAGCCCTTGTATCCCTGTGGGGGAAGAAGCCACATCAGGCCGGGAGGCACATCTGGGCCTGTGGATGGCAGCAGCCCGGCCTCCCTGCCTGCCCTTTCAGCACCACATGCACCACGGCAGGGATGTAGTACGTGCTCAATAAACACTTGCCGAAGGGACCATGTCCATCAGGGTTAGCAGGTGCCCATGTTTTCGTCTCTGCTACTAACAGTTCTTCAACCAGAAGCATCGGGGGACTGTTCACTCCTTGGGCAGGTTTGTGAGCTGAACTGACAGCGTGTCAGTTCATTCTTTCCAAATCCAGAGAGGGTGAGACCCTCAGTTGCCAGGGTAGAGGGGTTTCTCAATGGGTGGGCGGGCTGATGAGGACCTTCAGGTCTGGGATATGCCCAACCACCCCGTGATGCTGGAACCTTCTGTCAGGACCTGCCTCCTCTCATGAGCGGGAAAAGATCTCACACACATTGACCAAGTATATTCACCAAAGGAGCCGCCTGCCTTCCTCTCGTTGGTCCCAGCAACTATTCCAAGGGGACACAGGGCGCCCACAGGCCTGATGGAGGAGTCTGGCAACATCCCAGCACCAACCTTGACCCTCTGTCCCCAGGGTCCAACTACCAGGGTTCAAGGCCAGGTCTCAGGGTCAAGAGAATCAAAATGAGCGTGTGCTTTCAGGCGGCGCTGGGGGTGACCCCTGGGTCATTTCGTAGGAGTTGGGAGCTCTGCAAAGGGAGACCCAGATGTCCTGCTTCCATTGGCTCAGGGCTGCTGTGAACTGGGACCAGGGGCTTCCAGGGCAGACAGGGCGGTTGCCCTGAGCTCCATCAGAGACCCTCACACAGGGAGCCTTGGGCTTGGCTCACACAGTGCCTCACTGACTGGGCAGCTCTGGGTGGGTTACTGCCTTCTTTCTCTGGAACTCACATGACGGGGTTTGAACTGAGGCCCCTTCTGCTCTGGCATTTGAGATCTGGAGGTGTTGGGCTCCCCTAGAGGGTTCTACACAAGACTGTAGAGTACACACACACACACACACACATACACACACACACACACAAACTCCTGCAGACCCCTTCATGCATGGCTGTTTACCCAGGACAGCACCTACCTGACTTCCTCTAGCCCTTATAGCAGCCGTAGGGAGATTATCACCTCCATGTTACAGATGAAAAAAACGGAGTCTTAGAGAACGGAAGCCACTCACCCCGAGTTGCATTGCTAAGGACCAGCAGGTTCACACTCACCACCGTGTCCTTCCGACACCAGAGGCCACACAGAGAACCTTGCAGACATCCTGGGCACCTACAGGGCATGTGCACGCACACACACACACACACACACATATAACTCAGCACCCCCGCAACCCCCCAGGAAGTGGGACTCTTAATTATGAACAGCAGAGTCGGTCTGACCCAGGAGGCTTGGGGAGTTTACAAGCATTCCTCCTGCACCTACTCATGCCTCAGACTGCTCAGTGACATGATTGCATCTCAATCCGGGGCCCGCGAGGCGGAGACAACACGGCTGGCTGAGTCTTCCACATGGGTGTGCGTGCTTTCCCCCAGAGGGCAACTGAGGCACAGGCCACAGCTCGCAGCGGGCATGCAGCCCGGCTAAGACCCCTGGGTTTAGACTGCTCGGCTTCCGCTCCTGCTTCACTGCGGGCTGGCTGTGTGACTTGGGACCACTGATGTCACCTCTCTGGGTCTTGGTTTCCACTTTACAACGGGTGGCTCATGGATTGCGTGAACAATGTGTGTAAAGCACTTAGCACAGTATCTGGCATTAATTCCAGGGCCCTGTAAAGACTGGCTGGTGTTATCAACATGATCTTCCTGTCTCATTCATTCATTCAACAAACACTATCTTAAGTTTTATGCGCCAGCACCATTCTACGTGTGGGTTGCATGAGAATACAACATCCTTTGCCTTAATGGGGTTTACAGTGCAATTAAGGAGATATAAAAAGAAGTAAATAGAAAGGATAATGTCTGGGGGAGGGGGAAGTGGGGAGTAGTTTTCATGGGGGCAGAGTTTCAGGTTTGCAAGCGTTCTGGTGACCGTTGCACAACCATGTGAATATATTTAACACAATTATAACCTTAAATATTGTTAAGATGCTAAATTTTATGTTTTTTAAAACCATAATTCAGAATAAAACTTTAAAAAGAGATCATGGGTGTAGTGACCAGTGCCTTGAAGAAAAATGAGCAGAGTTAGAGGACAGAGGGTGGCATGCGGGGAGGGCATGGCTGCAGGTGGGCAGGCAGGGAAGGCCGCTCTGAGGGGATGAATGAGCTGAGAGAGCTGGACGTGGGTCTGGCTCTCAGAGGAAAGGCGTTTTAGGCATAGGGAACAGCAAGTGCAGAAGCCCTGAGGCAAGAATGCTCACAGGTGGGTTTGAGGAAGAATGAGGTCCATATGATGAGAAACCATGGGGGGTTCCATAGAATCACCATTATTATCCTTCTCCAGTTGGAGCTTGCAGAGAAGAAAGAAAAAGCAAAACTTTTGCATGGAGCCTCGAGCTCTAGGCTGTGTGACTTGGCACAGGCGATTGCCCTCTCTGAGCCTCACTCTGTCACCCTCTGCCTACCCTGAGGGGGTTGCTGCAAAGACCCAATGCAATAACGGGGCAAAGATCCCAAGAGAAGCATGGAAGGTGCTCCCTCCGAAGCCAAAAGGAACCTTCTAGAAACCAGTGCTTTATCAGAGAAGCATCCCAGGAGGAGATTTCAAGTAAACCCTTCACTCGTGACACAGCTAAAAGGAAACGAATGATCATCAGGGACTTCACCCAGGACACACCCTAGCCTGGTTCGGCACTAACGCCTTAATGCATCAGCTCATCAACTCCTTGACATCATGCCTGGGAGGTAGAAATTACTGTGCACACTTGCCAGATGAGAACACTGAGGCTCAGAGAGGCAAAGTGACTTTCCTGGGGCCACACAGCTTCCCAAGGGAAGTGCTAGCCTGTGACTGTAATGTACACACTTACTGAGGCCGGAGGTCCACAGGGCCACCCCGGAAAGACCCCCTGTGACACCCAGCTCCCAGGACAGATCACTGCAGCACTGCTGGGCCAGGGGACAGTCACAGAACCCTAGAGTATCTGAGTTGGAAGGGACAAAGCCATCTATTTCACAGCCTCCTTTCTCACTGGGCAGGCTGAGAAACTGGCCCAGAGAGGGGAAGGGACTTGCCCAAGATCAATTAGCAAGTTACACCAAGCCTGCACTGTCCCCCAGGCTCTGGGCCGGCTGGGCTGGGCTTTGTTCAGAAGGCCACGATTCCTAGATCTGTCCCAAACAGTGGATCCTGAAGGGCCCTGAACATTGCCATGAATATCCATTTCTCCTGGCTGGATGGGAGCAGCGGACGGAGCACTGCCATGCATGGGGGTGGAGTGGGTGGGAGGCTGTATGCTCCCTGAAAGTACCTTGACCGTGTTTACCAAGCTGGGCCAGCTAAATAGCTTCAAATGACAGGGCCCCGGGACCTGCAACCATCTAAACCATTACCTTCTCCAGGGCCCAGCAATTATGGGGCAGGCGCTGACCGCAAGGTGGACCCACGGGCAGTGATTTCCCCACGTGTGAGCGGTGCCCGACTGGCAGAAGGGGAGCGCAGATGCCCCAGGATGCTCCGGGGACCCTGGAGCCTGCAGGGCCTCCAGCTGCCCGGCAGGCGGGTCTCCACAGGACCCGTGTTTATAATACAGCGCGGTCTATATTTTGATTTGGGAGCCAGATTAATCATTGCTTACAATGCACAAGGAGAAACCAGACATCACCTCACTGTTGCTGCAGACAGTCTCCCTGCCGGCTGGGATGCTATTTGGGCTTTGGGCAGGGAGAGGAGGGGGTCCTGTCCTTGCCCAGGGGTCCTGGGGACCAACATGTTCACCCAGGCTCCACCTCAGCCTGCAGGTCCTGGCTTCTCCTGCAGCGAAGTGGGACTCACCACACGTGACCAGCTTAGCATTTCCCTACCACCTCGCAGCCCACCTGCCACACGGGGGCAATCGACAGGACACTTGACAGAGAGAATCAGCAAGGAACCAACATGCCAAGAGGTAGGGGAACCCATGGCATGATGCTGGGCAAGTCCCTGCCCCTCCCGGACCTCCGTTTCCCCAGCGGCTCTCTCAGAGCATCCTGTTGGCTCAGGAACGACAGGATGCTGAGTGTGGGGCTTTTCCAAAAGCACAGTCCACCACGGCACAGCCAGGTCTCCGATGCCACACTGCTCAGTGGGCACTTGCGACGTCAGGGCAGGCCCCGTTTCTGGACGGCCCATTCATTCAGCCGTGCCAGGCACTGAGAATACACTGGTGAACCAAACAAACTCACTCCACACCTCCTCGAAGAGGTTTTGAGTATTAAATACATATTAATACACTCTCTGAGGCTCAGAGAGGGTAGACAGCCCAACAGCAGCAGGCGGCATTGTACATGGAGTTTGAAGGAAGAGCGGGTTGGAGAGCAGAGGGAACTGGACCTCAGAAATGGCAATGGGCGTGGGCCCGAGGCCCAGGGCAGCCCCACAGCAAGGGGGCCTCAGAAAGGTCTCGGTAGGGCAGCGGTTCTCAACCTGTGGGTCGTGACCCCTTTGGCGGTCGAATGACCCTTTCACAGGGATCACCTAAGACCATCCTGCATATCAGATATTTACATTACAATTCGTAACAGTAGCAACATTACAGTTATGAAGTAGCAACGAAAATAATTTTATGGTTGGGTCACAACATGAGGAACTGTATTTAAAGGGCCAGAAGGTTGAGAACCACTGCGGTAGGCGCTCTGTGTGGAACTGGGGGTGCTACATGCAGGGAGAGCGGTACGTCTGCAGAAAGGCAGGAGGCCGCCTTTGGCAGCCTCAATCACACTCCCCCAAAGCATTCCCAGATGGCCCCCTCTGCCCTCCCTTTTATTACAGCTTCTCACAGACGGTGGTCAACTCAGGTGGCAGAGGGAGGGCTCACGGGCAGGGTGAGGGCTGCAGGAGGGCGCTGGAGGAAGGAGTACCAGAGGGCATGCAGGGTTGGCTGGAGTGAGGACTTCTCAGCAGGTGCTCAGCCCCAGCACCGCTGCCCTGCGGGCTGGATCAGCACAGGGGTGGGACAGCAGGCCTGTGCTCTGTAGGACATTTAACAGCATCTCTGGCTTCTACTGGTTAGAAAAGCTAGTAGCAACCCTCTCCCAGTTGTGATGACCAAAAATGTCTCCAGACATTGCTAACTGTTCCCTGGGGCACAAAATCACCCCCGGTTGAGAAGCACCCGTCTACAGAAGAGAAGGGAGGAGGGTCAGACTAGGGACAGCACCGGACTCCACCCTCCCAGGGTGCAGGTGGTGTTCTGGTGACCTTCAGCGCTTCTCCTTCAAGATCATCATGATCATTCATTCACTCATTTAACAAATAGGTATGCAGTGCCTCCCAAGTGCCAACCCTGTATTAGGTCTTGGGGATGTAACATCTCACTGAACCCTCCCAACCAGCCTATGGAGCAACCAAGGCCACATGCCCAAGCTCACCCGCAGGAAAGGGCCAAAGCTGGCTTCCATCCAGGTGTCTGCCGTGGTCCATGCACCTGCCCAGCTCTCGGGAATTGGCTCAGCCAAGCTCCTCAGCAAGCATCGCAGGCGGATGCAGAGAAACTCGCCTCGGGCGGGGAGCCTCTTTTCTACCTGATGGACCCACTCTTATCTGAGAAGTGGTTTCATTCAATTCAGCGTAGGGGAGGGAGGGAGGGCCTGAGGGTCAGAGACCGAGGTTCAAATCCCAGCTCTGCCGCTTAGTGACCCTGAGGGGTATTTCCATTAAACCATTGACTCTGTCTTGGCTGCTCCTGAGAAGCTTGTGTCAGGGTCCCACTCGGACCAAGAGACCCCAGGATCCCTGCGGTGGGCGAGCTCCCCAGGGGTTGTAATGCAGGGTGGGGCCGGGAACCACTGCTGCAGACCTCACCCTCCTCGAGGCCTCTCGATGATCTCAATGCATTCAACACCATTGCTGGCACACGGCCTGGTATACGGGTACACGTTTGCTGAATGAATGACTGGGGGAGTGAATGACTGGTGGAATGAATGAATGAATGACTGGTGGAATGAATGAATGAGCAAAGGAATGAATGAACGCATATGAATAAATGAATGAATGAATGAATGAGACCTAGTCGGGCCTTGGCTTTCTCAGCTCTAAAGAGGCATGATACTGCCTTACCTCCTGGAGGCTATTGTGAGAGAACGATGTGATGAGGAGCAGTAACTCTTCATGCCACCTCCACTTTGCCGGACTATTTAATATGGGAGCCCTCCCAACACAAGCGCCTCTCTCTGCCTGTTTCGTCTCGTAGGCCTTTTCATCTTCTAATAAACCTTATATTTTCACTGTTTTTCTTTTTATTGTCTGCCTTTCCCCACAAGAGTAAAAGCTCTGGGGGACAAGAATTTTGTCTATTTATCCAGCTCAGTGCCCAGCATTCAATCAATTCTGTCAAATAAAAGAATGAAGAGGATTCTTGGTGTCACTCTGAGTTGACACCAATTCCACATGCTGATGAGCAAAGAGGATGCTGACCTCCCTCTTTGCCTCCGGACGTCTGCTTTCTCCCGAGGCTCCCACAAGATGAGGCAGAAAAGCCCCAACAGGACCAGGCAAAGTGGCCACATTTGTCACCAAAGATTCTTGTGGAGGAGAAACTACCTACAAACAGTGAGGATCCCAGGCAGTGACCCACCCTGTCTGTCCTTCCCCACCCCGGGGACCTGAGCTCCCCATTCTCTGCCTACCACCCTCCGTGAGCAGGTGACACAGGGCTGCCACAGACCAAACTCCTCTGTGTTTGCCTGGGCTGGCCCCGGGGTGCAAATGGCTTTGCCAAATAGTTTTTTCACCGCATGGAAGCTCTTCCTTAATTTACAAAAGACACCCCTCCCTGCTCAGGTGAGCTGGTCCATCTTGGTTGGGGGCTCTTGGCCTCCCTGGACATCTGCCGAGAGCAGGGAGCCCCGGAACCCAGGCAGGAGCCGGGCCGTCTGCTTTCCCATCTCCCGCCACCTCTGCTAGACTCCCACCGCCACGCAGAGCGAGACCACCACTGGCTGCTTTATGAGCCAGGACTGGAAGGAGACTTTCCACTCACACCTCATCCATCAGAAAGCGCTGGAGCCCGAGGGGAAGTGAGTGGGGAGAGGAAGTCCCCCTGTGTTCTCGGAGCCAGAAAATTCCACGTTTTCCCAGCTCACAGCCAGCCACAGGCTCCGGTCTGGAGAAATGGTTGAGGGGGACATGAGGCTCCAAGTCCCCTGTGCCATGGGGACCCTTGGAGCAAGGCCAGGAAGGAGCCAGGAGGCACCACAGCTGTCCAGATGAGACCCAGATGGCCCAGAGAGATGACAGCTGTGGTCACAGCTGGGAGCCAGGGTAGAAGCTTAAGACATGGAGACCTGTGCCAATGTATCTACCGGAAAACCCATCAGCAGTTGGGGGGGGGGGGGAATTTCCCTGCAAAGAAGCAGTTGACCCTTGGCCTGCATTGTCCTCCTCCTGTTTCCTGGACACCTACTATGTGCAGTCCCATGCTAGGCTCAGTAGGGAAGGCGACAAAACAAGACTTGCACGACCCGGTTGATAAGGCTGGACTCGGGGTAAAAATAACTAAGCTAAGATGGGCCAGGGGTCCTTGAGCAGCGTGGAGGCTCCTGGCCTGAAGGCTGGGGCCCCAGGGGGCCTTCCTGGAGTGGGCACAGCTAGAGTTGAGTCTGAAAGATGGGGGACCCTGGCTGGGAAACTGGGGAGAAATCCAGGGACACTGGAAGCCAGGGACCCACCGTCTAGGAAAATGGTAGACTTTCCTGCGAGGGCGTTTAGAGCAGTAACCCCCCCCACCCCGCTTGGCTGAAGCAGGGACAAGGTTGGGAGCAGCATGACAACAGCTCAGAAGGTACAGAGCACGTATTGCCTTCACAGAGCATTTGCCTCCCCTGCAGCGTACCAGGGAGGGACGAAGGTTAGACTCAGGGAGGTTCTAGACTTGCCCAAGGTCACACAGCTGGGAGACGGCGTAGCAGCAATAGATCCCAGGTCCGAGGGACCCCAGAGTCCACTCTCCCAATCTCTCTGCTGCAGGCTGACAGCCCCAGGCAGTAGGGAGTCAAGGGAGGCGGGGTTATCGCCGCCATCCAGGTGGGAGGAGGCTAGGGCTCAGGGAGGTAATACGCAGGCCCAAGGCCACTCAGCAGGTTGGAGGTGGAGCCCTGGGCCAATGCAGGCCCTCCCGGCTCTGGCAATATTCCTCCCACCGCCCGTGTATTCCTCAGAAAGGCCTCCCAGGAGTAGCTGCACCCCCAGAGGAAGGACAGCAAACCAGGGCCACTTCCTGTCACACCTCATTAACCATGGTTAGGGGAGGCCTACTCCAAGCCAAGGTGCTGCCTGCCCAGGCAAGCACAGACCCTGGCAAACCTCTCTCCCCTCCCACCAATGTTCCCTGTGCCCAGGGAGCTGGGCTGGGGCTAAGAGAGGCAGGTGCGGGGGTTGGGGCAGGCGGTTCCCAGCTCCTGCCAGATGACCCTGCTTGCTAGGAAGCCCACTGAGCAAGGCAAAGCATCGAAACCGAGGTGTACCTTTCGTCCAAGCGGTCCTGGGTCCCCAGGGAGCCCGGGCAAGCCCATGTCGCCCTGCAAGACAGAGACAAGGGGTGAGCTTGGGGGATGGGAGCAGAGACACGTGTCAAATCGAAGTGTGAGCGCTCATGGCCAGTTGTTCATGAACTGGACTCAAGGAGGCCCGGAGGCCTCAGGAGAGACTGGGGCCTCTGAGCGGAGTGAGGGCAGCCCAGTGGGCAGGGTGTCCAGCCCCTCTCCACATAACCGTCACTCCATTCAGTCACTCCATTTGATCTACAGGGTGTCCCCCAAAATGTAGACATACTTTAACAGCTGAGAGCTCAATTTTGAAAATAAAATGTATCTTAATAAGCGCTGCCTTTATCATTATTCAAAGTGTGTGCATACATTTTGGGGGAAACCCTATATTTTCTATATTGGATTTGGGAAATAGGTCCTATGCTAAATATTTGAGAACCACTGTCCCAGGGTGCATGTAATTCATCTGCCTCAATCCAATCAGCGCTCTCTCCCTCCCTTTCTCTCTCTCTCTCTCTCTCTCTCTCTCTCTCTCTCCATTCCTCATCCTTGCTGGGCATGGTGGTCACCGTAGGAGGCATTTCTGCCACCCCCATGAGACCTGAGAACAGACAACCCAGGAGCAAGAGATAAGACCTGGGTACCAATCCTGCTCTGCACCCGGCCAGCTGTGTGAGCTCCAGCAGCCACCCGCCTCCGGGGCCTCTATTTCCTCATCTGCAAGCTGGGCCCATCTGCCCTGGTTTACAAGGTTACAACGAGGAGCAGATGGGAGTGCATGTGAACATTTACACCCAGGGTAATGGATGAAAAAGAGCATCAGTGAGGATGTGAAGGGGTGAGCCTCCTGTGACTCGGGGAAACCAAAGGGAGCTGCCACTTGTATGTGCCCCAGAGGCCGGGGTGGGAAGCAGTGTTCTGCCTGTCAGGAGGGCTCCTAGGCTGAGTCCAGAGGAAGGCAGACAGACTGGGGTGTTCCCTCCAGGATTTGGAGCTCTGAGACGCTGGGGGCCTTACCTGGAGTTCTGGGGTCCCCTGTTCCCAAGGGTCCTGCACTCCCTCCAGGTCCCTTGGTTAGTGGACGGGGTGACGCCTCAGGAAGAATGCTTGTGCTTTCTCTTCCACGGGGAAACCTCTGGTCTCATCGCCCTCCCCTGGCCCGTTCCCTTCCCCCCTCCTAGACGTTCACACACCTGTCTATTAACCTCGGAGGGGACTTTGAATGTCTTTTGGAAGCTTCCTGGGCATGTGCAACCAAGAAGCTTCTGGATGCCAAGGGTCACCTAGAAGGCCCTATGGAAAGCCATGCCGCGTATTGGACAAAAGGACATTCCCCAAGAACGTCCTAGGGAAACCTTCTGTGGGTGTTATTGGCTGCAACCCCAGAAGACAGTAGGAAATGGTGTTGGGCTTGGTGTGGGGAAAGGCGGAAGGACTTCAAGGTAAAAACCAAACCAGCGCCGACCTTTCCAGACTGTCAGGCAGCAGCCCAGGAGGGCTCCCCCAGGGCCCGGCGGTTTCCCTGCTGCTCACTCCCCCTGCCCTGAGCTCGGGGGCCCTGGAAACCTACCTTGGTCCCATCGTGGGCCTTTCCTGGTGAGAGCCCCGGGTCCCCTTTCTGTCCCTGAAACAAAAACAATTCCGCTGATGTCTCCCATACACTACTCTAAGCCCTGTCCCCCGCTTAAACACCCTCCCTCCACCCCCACTCACACACTCCACTACTCCAGACCCCAACACCTTCCACGCTCCCCACTGATGGCGTGACGACAAAGTCCCAACCCCTCCTCTGGCGTCCCAAGTCTTGGGTCCCCTGGTCCCAATCATCCTACCCAGATTTGACTCTCCTTCACCAGCCACACACACAGACAGGGTCGTCTCTGCCTTCCCCAGACCACAGCCCATTCCTCAGCCATGCTCTGCACTTCCCAGCTGCCAGGCCCTCGCACAGGCGGCCACTCCCACCTAGGAAACCATTCCACAGGCCTCATTAGCCAGACATAAACATTCTTCAAGATGCAGCTTGAGTGTCCTCCCCAGTCGGGGCCTGCGTACGGGTCGCACGACCTTGCACATGGGAGTTGCTAGGACTGCCTCCCAGGTGGCTCCCCTGGGCTCTCAGGGAGCTTCTGAGACCCAGACAAGAGACGCCCCTGGTTCCATTTCCAGTTCGCTCCCCTCAGCACTGTAAGTATCCAGGGTGGGTGCCGTCATACCCACTTGCATCTGTGTACAGCCCCTCAGAGTTCGCAATATCCCTCACCTCACTAGATTCTAACAGCCCAATGCAGTGGGCAGGGGCAGTGTTATCACCCCCATAACATATTCGGGAAAACGGAGGCCAAGAGAGAAGAAAGAGACAGTCCAGGCCCCGGGATGAGGTGCTGGCCAGCTAAGATGAGAGCCCTGAAGATGAGTTAGAACTGGTAGTATTTCAGGGAGAAACAGACCAGCAGCGGGTCCTCCGTCAGAGACAAGCACCCTTTGTGTTTAGATCTGGGAGTGTCCCCATTGCAGAGTCTGGCTCCTGAGAGCTGGGCCCAGAGAAAGGGCCAGTTCACCAGCTGCGTCTCCTACAGGCTGGAAAGAGCGCTCCTGGCTGTGGGCCCGCTCATTTGGCCCAACCTGGCTAAATTACTCAGCAAACAGCCCTTTGGAAAGTCGGTCCACCCTGATGTCACCTCCAAGAGCCCCTGAGCCTGTCCCTCACTCTCACTCCCACGCTCCCGCTCCCAGCTGGACCCTGAGTCAGAAGTCCTGGGGTGATTTCACTTCTCTGGGCCCTGTCTTCTCACCTTTAAAATGGGGGCTGTGCAGCACACACAAACAGGCATGCACACACGGACACACAAACAGGCATGCACACACGGGCACACACACATGCACAAGAGCACATACAGCTGCACACACACACACACTCTCACCCAGGTGCATGCACACACTTTACACACAGGCTCATGCATGCACATGCATGCCCATAGGCTCATGCCCACATGCTCATACACCTACACACAGGTACATATATGTGCCCTTGGCATTTGCACACACGGTCACATGTGCACATGGGTGCATGCACATACACACACTTGTACACACGCACATACACCTGCCAGCTTTCCAGGTTTCTTGGCAAGGAGCCAGTGAGATAATGAATGTGACACATGGGAGGGGTGGTTTGGCCAAGTTCAATTAATTCCCATTTGGTTCTTCTCTTTGTCAGAACCCAGACCTTCCAAATTCTGACTCAATCGCTCTTCTCAAGAAATCATTGCATTCCAAACTGGATAGGGCTCTACAGAGGGAAGGGAGCAGCCTTCTACTGCCCACCCACTCCGTGCCCAACACTGTGCCAGGCTCCATTAGTCCTCTTAACACGCCCCCCCCCGCCCCCCCCGTGATGCAACTCAGAAGCAGAACCAGGGTCAGAGAGGCTGCGTCACAGCCTGGGGTGACACGCAGGTGAGAGGCCAGGTCTTACTAGGTCTGACTCATCCCCCGTCTGTCTGAGTTTTCAGCTCTTGTTTATAAATGGGAAGCCTGGGTACTTCTCCCACACCCTCCAGCTGCCCCAGGCTGAAGGGCAGCCCCTCCCTGCTAGGACCCCAACCCTCTGTTCCCCTGGGCCCCTCCAGTCACTTCTGCAGAACCTGCCCTCGGGGATCTCACACTGCGGCTGCCCCTCACTGACACTCTCCCACCCTCTGCTGCTCACAAGCCCGACTCCACTACCTTTTATGTCCATGATGCAAGGCCAGGCCCAGGGCTCCCTGGGTTTCCAGTGGCCAAAAAAGGACAGTTACTCTCCCCACCCGCCCTTGCCCACCTCAGTCTACAGCTGGTAAAGGAGCTGGGCTTACAAAGCTTTCGGAGTGGGCCTCCAGGTATCCTATTCTGTCATTTTATAAAAGGGGAAACTGAGGCCCAAAGAGATGACGCCCTTGCTCCCTTGCCAGGGGCTCTTACTGGGGCATTTTAGTTATTTATGGGATTCTCTGTGGGTTGTCAGCAGCAGCACAGTGCTTGGAATATAATCCCCGCCTGAGGACAACATCCACAGGTACAGATCCTTATGGACCATCTACTGTGAGCCAAGTCCGGCAGTGACTGCAGGGAATACCACAGTGGGGAACGAGACACAGGGATCGCCCCTGGGACGCTCTTGAGGGAGAAGCCAGAGAGACGGGTAATGGTAATAATAAGCTCAGCATCTACCGAATACACGCCTAAGCTCTCCACACATAAATCTATGTGGTGGCAACTACCCCTCTCCCGATGTCACATAGGAGGAGACTAAGGCACAGAGAAGGTAAGTAACTTGTCTAAGGTCACACAGCTAGTAAGTGGGACTTAGACGCAGGCAACCTGGTTTCAGAGCTCAAGCTCTGAACATTTCAATACTCAGCAGATAACACGTAGAGTCCAGGAGGAAGTTGAGAACTGAGGGCTAAATCCCTAACAGGAGTTACAGCTAAGCTAAGGCTGGAGGAAGACGAGGAGGGAGCCAATGAAGTTAAAGCTCAAGAGATGCTCCAGGCACCTTGGTCAGGGGAAGGTGTGACTTCCACGATGGAAAAGGCTAGACATCTTCCCAGCCATACTCCTGCCAATTCCCCAGTAAGAGACATAAGGAAGATATAAACTTTAATTCATTGTTTACACCCTGGTGAGGACAAGAACCTGGTCACCAACCCAGCTCTCCAGTCCAAGAGCCTGTGTAACCTTGGACAAACTGCTTTTCTTCTCTGTGTAGGGAACTGCCTGGGCTCGTGAACAGAGCCTTGAACAACTAGAAGGTGGATGGGAAGGCGAATCCTAAATACAAACACAGTAGGAATGGGAACTGTGTTGAGCCCCTGTCCTGTGGGTAGGGTGGGAGGTGAAGAGATCTGATCTAGCCGCAGGCCTGGAACCTCCTCTGAAGATTCACTGGACTTTCCACTATCACTACTACTATTTTGTGTGTTTAGAGTTCTGACCAATGCAATAAGGCAGGAAAAACAAATAAGACTACTAACCTTTGAGGAAAAGGAGACAAAAATATTTCCTTCTTTGCAAAAAAATAAAAGATGAGTGCCTGTCTAGAAAAATCTAGGAGAACTAACTGAAATACTGTCAGAATTAATAAGATAATTCAGTAAAAAGCATGTTTATAAAATAAACACAAAAAGTGCAAAAATACAAAAGTCAACAGTTCTCTTCAATAGCTGAGAGCCAAGATAGAAAATATAATGAGGAAGATATTCCATTCATAACAACAACAAAATATAAAATTCCCAACTATAAACTTAATAAGAATTGTGCAGGGCTTATGCAATAAAAACAATAAAAGTTACTAAGAGACATTTAAAAAAACTCAACTAAATGGGAAGACTTAATATTTTAAAGATGTTGATTCTTCATAAATTAATATGCACATTTAATATAATTCCAATAAAACCCCAAGAGGGTTTTATAAGGAAATTATTAAGAGGAGCATACTAAAGTACATCTGACAGAATAAATAGCCAGAAATATTTTAAAAGAACAGGGGCGGGAAGACACACAGTATAAAGACAGTAAATGTCATAATATAAAATGGCACTTTACTAACATAAAAATATAAATAGCAATGAAACATACTTCAGTGGACTGAAACAGACTCTGATCTATCATACAGTAATGAGTGGAGGAAAGTTTATTTAATAAACGGTTAACTATTGGAGGGAAAATAAAGTTAGAGCCCTACCTCATATTGTCCTCTTATTGAAAATCAATTCCAGATGGTTTAAACTTTTTTAGTACAAATGATATTATGAAATAACTAGAAATATAAGTGAATACCTATCTGATCTTAGGATGGGAAAGAAATGTGTAAGAATAAAAGTAAATAACCATGCATTTCACATATGGTGGAGCCCTCTCCAAACTGACATGTTTTAAGTTCCTAATCAGTGTTAGCGATTATTGTTAGTAAAATATATATATAAAAAACACTTTGATTTGTGAAAATCATCATGAATACTCTTAGCAGGCAAACAGTAAATTAGAAAATATTTATAAGGTAGATGAACTCTTAATAATCTTAATATATAAACATAATTTCTACAAACCATCAGCCAGGCCCTGCTTCCCGAGCTGCCTGAGTAGCCTTTACAAACCTCATCTGATCGTGTCACTTCTGCTGCAAATCTTTGCATGGCTTCCTGCTGCTCTTTGGATAAAGTCCAAAAGTCTTACCACCACCTACAGGCCTGCTGCCCTCCGCAGCCTTCTCCTGCCCCTTTGCCTAGTTACCTGCAGCACTTCAGACCTCAGTTCAACCTCCCCATCCTCTGGGAAGACCTGTCTCACCTCCCAGACCAGACAGATACATTCCTGAGCAAACCTGGCCATTCAAAACAGCTGCTGATCTCAGCATCCTGGTGTACCCCATGACCTGGGAGACCTGAGGCTGCTACAAAGCAGAAGTCTCCCAAGGAGGTCCCCTCTGGAGCGGAGAAGCAGGTCCTCCCAGGGGACAGTGTCTTCATCTGCTGGAGCCTCAGTTTCCCCATCCGTAAATGGGTACAGTATCTCCACCCACCTCATAGATCTTTGTGGGGATCAATTGAGATAAGCTACATAAAGAGTGTGTGCAGTGTTCAGTGCACAGTAAGGGCCCAATATATGGTAGATATTATCATCAGTGTTTGCCTTGTTAAAACCCAGAGCCCCTCTGGGCAGCTGCTAGGCGCTGGGCATCTGATGCTCCCATGCACACCTTCCAAGGAAGGACCCAGCCCAGCCTGGCCATAGAGTCATGGACCCACAGGGGCTGAGGCTGGTGCTCCTGCACCAGCATTCTGGTGCCATATGTTCACATATCCAGGTCTACCTGTGTATGACCTTTGCCCCAAACTCCCCGACAAGCTGGGAGCCAGAGTTCTGCTCCAGGAGTCAGGACTGGCCTCCAGAGGCAGCCAGCTGTCACTCACTGCCCAACCTGGGTTAATCAGTTAATGGCTGACTTCAGCCACTCAACCTTGACAGTAGGGTTAACAAAGAATGACCTTGCACCAGAGAGGTTCTTCACCTGGCCGCCCCTAGATGATAGTCTGGGCTGAGCGGCGTCCTAACCAGGAGTCCCTCTGCCCTTCCCAGCCTGCCCTGAGCTGCTTCAGCCCGGTCGCTGAGCTCTTGGCTTCCCTGGCCTTGCATCTTCCTCCCCCTCCTCCCATTGCCCCGGCCATTCCTCCACACTTCTCCCTGTGACCTAAATTTCACTGGTCTGGCACTCCTCTTGGCGCCCTCGCTTCTCACTCCACCCACCGCCCTGACAACCCTGTTCTCCCACCACACCCCAGGAATGGACCCAGGCTCCCCAGGCTGGAATTCCCCACAGCCCTCGGAGCACCAGTCACTCTGGTCTCTGTGGGCTCATCTAGAAGTTAACCGGGCCATTTCCAGCAGCTCCCTGGGGAAGGTGGCATCTGTGTGCCAGCCATCCCCCAAGGTCCTATCGCCAGCTCAGAACTTTCCTGAGTCTTAGAGTGTTTTTTGTCCATGAATCGTCTCCACCTGGCTGGACTACAGGTTCCAAACACAACATCATCTTCGTCCTTCTCCCTGGTTCCCAGGTTCCGTCTCTAACACCGGGGAGCCACGACCTCTCACCTCTCATCCAGTCCTCCCTACTCTATTTCCGCATTGTGAATACACCCACTCCCCCTCCCCCCACGGCCCCAAGCTGGCCCAGGCTAGCCTCCTCTCTCCCCTGGACCACCAGGTCTCTCTGCCTCTGCTCTGGTCCCCATCCCAGTCCCTCTTCCACATGTCATCCAGGGATCTTCCTCACACACGATCTTCCCACACCCCTCCCCAGCTCAAAAGCGGACCTGCGTCCCCTGGTCAGACACTCCGGGCCCTCCCTCTTTAGCATCAAATGATCTTTCCTCCTACGCCCTTTGAGGGCTCTGGGTTCCAGGGGTCCTTCCCTCCGAAGTCCCTCCAACCAGAGGCTAAGCTCCTCACTCCTCACTGTGTCCCCAGCCTGGCACAAGGCCTGGCGCTCAGGGAGTGCCGGGGGCCGGTGGAGCCGAGGACCTCCCACCAGGAGCCCCTAGGAAACGCTCCAATGTGGGCCTCACTTCAGCACCCACTCCATGGCCCAATCTCAGATCCCACAGCAAATACTCACTTTGGCTCCGGGAGGGCCGGGGAGGCCTGGATTTCCGTGAGGCCCAGGAGGACCCTGAAAAAGAAGTAAACACAGAGGTGAGGGGAGCCGGGGCCCTTCCACTTCCTACAGCAGTGCCTTCTCCCCTCACCACGTCGGAGCAGCATTGCTCCTGGGGTCTCACCTCAGGGCTCAGCCTGAACCAGGCAGAGGCTGGGCAGGGAGAATGTTTGAGAGGGGCCCCTACGTCTTCTCTCTCCACCAAGTCTGCACAGCATTGCGACGGGCCGCCTGGATGCCTGGCCCTGTGCTAAGCACTTTCCACTCACGATCCCATTTTACCCACTAACCCACGAGGTCGGGGCTATCATTATTCCTATTTTGGAGACGAGGAAGCTGGTGTTCAGAGGTTTATCACTTTCTCAGGTCACCCAGCTGCTCAGGGACAAGAGCTAGATCTCAACCTCAGATGTGACTTCAGAGGACAAGCCCTTAACAGCTGAATTTTACCCCCTTTTTCTATCCAGCTGGCTGCCTCAGCCCTTCCCAGCTGGCTTCCTCGAGCTCCAAGCACACTCAGCTGTTTGCTTCCCTGCTCTGGGCCCGGGACTTTCTCCCCTCACCGCCTCTGCCATGTTGTTCCCATCATCTGGCATGCCTATGCCATCCAACCCCTCCAGCTGAAACCCAACCCATCCTTCAAGACCTGGCTCAAAGGCCACCTCCTCCCGGGAGCCTTTGGGGACTCCTCCTGCCTAAAGGACACATCCACCCTTCAGCCTCCAGCTGGACTGTTGTATGAGCCCTTGGAGTTGAGGGTTCAATGAAGGGCATCCTGAGCCTCTTTGGACCAAAGGCACAGCCCCCCTGTGGCCACAGAGTCAGCGCTCCCCCTTGGATTCCTACAGGCTCCGAGCTTACAGCGCCCTCCAGGGTCCACGGAACAGCTGGGAAGCCTGGGCCCAGAGAGTCAAAGAGTCTTGGCCAACGTCACACAGTAGAGTCGTGGCCAAGCGAGGGCCGGAACCAGGCCCGTTGGCCTCAAGTCCAGGGCTTATTCATGGCACTGGATTTTCCCAGGCCATATCCAAATCCGCTACAGCAGCTGGGTCCAGTTACGTCCACTTTCTCCAGCAAGGGCCTGGACTACAGCCTTGCAGCCCAGTGATAAAAACAGGGCCCCAGGAGTCAGGTAATTCCTGAGGGTCTTTGTCCGGGAGGCATACTCTGGGACGATGGGGGTGGGGAGAGGCACCTCAAGAGGCCCCACCGTGCCCCCCACCGCACCAGCCTCCAGACACACTGCCCTGTCCCTGCCCCCTCTTGACCCATCTGGCTGGCTGTGTATGAACTCGCTGCCTTCCTCCCTGTCCGAGGCCAACCTCCCAGCTGCAGCCTGTCACATTCCAACCGAGGCACCTCCCTCTTCCTCGATGTCTGAACTGGAACTCTCCCCGTCTCTGAAAACATCTAGAAAGAACGGTGTTTAGAAGCTCACTAAGCCTGGGGGGCTTATCACGGTGTCAGGGATGAGGCTCCCTCTACAACAATCAGTCCCTCCCAACATCCTACCTAATACTGTCTGCTGGCACCGGCTAGGACCACTCTGAGCCTCCCCGCCCCCAGCCTCAGGCTCCCGTCTGTTCCATCAATGACCGGGACCCAGCTGTCTCTAAGGAATCTGGAAGACTCCGATGTTCATCCCAGCCCAGGCTCCTGGGGTCTAACCTCCGACCTCAGCCTGAACTGGGCAACGGTTGGGTGGGGGGAATGTTTTAGGAGGGGCCCCTGACCAGCACCCCAGAACCAGGCGTGAGCCATGCGAGGTCAAGGGTGGCTACTTCTCCCCAGTTGTGCCCCTAGCAGCTCCAAAGATGGTGGGTTGGAGCACTCAGCTACCCCCGCTCTGCAGCTCGTGAAGGTGGGGGCTTCCTGCTTCCCTGCCCCCACCTCCCCACCCCTCTCCAGCCACGGCCTTGCTTAGAAACGAAGCACATAGTTGAGTGGGAGCCAAGCAGACCGATTCTATAAATGCTGCAGCCCAGAAAGGCGGGTGGGGGCAGGGCCCAGGGATTCCCCAACGTCCCTCCCTGGATGGGCGGATGGTGGATGGGCGGATGGTGGATGGGCGGATGGGCTGCGGGACTATGTGAAGGTGGGAAGGGGCATGCCACTGACCTCAGATGAGGCCCCACCCTCCCCTAAACCCCAGAGCCACCATCTGTGCCGAGGAGCTGGGATTGTTTAATCCCAGCATTCTATCATCTTTGGAATTTTATGATCTATGGAATTTGTAGTCTAGAAACAGAACGATGAGGGGTGTGTTGGGGGGGTGGGTGCTGGGGCATACGAGAGACAGAGGATGTCAGGAGAGTCATTCACTCACTTGTGGGATTTCAGAGCTGGGAGGAACCTTAGGAATGCCTCACTACGATCCCATGTTTTATAGATGGGACAACTAAGGCCCAGAGAAGGGAAAGCACTTGGCTAAGATCACACAACTTCTTCGTGGAAATGTTCACGACTCCCAGACTAGAACTCATCAGCAACCATTTCCCAGCACCTGCTGCATGCAGGGCACTGTGCGAGGGGTCGTGGAAGGAAAAGAGGGTCAGCAGGCTGTCTCTGGCCCAGAGGGGCTCAGCCGAATAGATAGAAAATTAGCACCTGGATGGTTAAAACCACAGGCTCTGGACTCAGACCATCCGGGTTAAATCCCGGTTCTGGATTTACCTGATGTTTGACTTTATTCAAAGTCACCGGACCTTTCTGAGCCTCAGTTTCTTTACCTCTAAAATGTGGATAATATTGCTACTTATTTGTCAGGGCGGCTGGGAAGATGCAATGAGATCACACATATGCAGCTCAGTAAAGGGAGATCAGTGGTCGATGTGGGATTTGGAAAGTGATCCGTGCCATCCCCAGAGGGGAGGTCATCAGCAAAGGAGCTGGCGTGCGATCTGAGCCATGGATGGAGGAGGAGTTTGCAGAAGAGGGTGTGTCCGGCGGAGAGCACAGCCTGAGCAATAGCTCAGAGGCCGGAGGGCTCAGGAGGAGTACGGGGCAGGGGCAGGCTGCCTGCGCCTGGAATGCTAGGTCAGCGGGCCTCATCCTGGGCCCAGGCTGCAAGGTCAAGGCCAGCAGTGTCCATGACACCCCTGTGGTCCTAAGCTCTGGGCATGTGCTCCATGGAGACTCCAAATCCAGGAGGAAACGCTGCTGCTGACAGCAGATTCCAGAGCCCTGGGCCCGGGAGCACAGGGCCAGTTCTAGAGGGAACTAGGGCTCGAGTAATTGCATAACCAGAACCATCCGCTGGGCTCAGAGCTAAAAATATGCCCCAGGCAGCTACCTCTGCCTGGGCTTCGCCAGGCACCCAGCGTGGGAAAGGTTGATTCAGCCTGGGCACAGATGCCAGGCGCCATGGGTCTGAGTCCTCTTGGGAAGGGGGCAGATTCCCCTCCAAGAGGGAGGGCCCAGCATAGGGTTAAGAGCCTGGGTTCTAGTCCCAGCTCTGCCATTCATTAGATGCTTGGCTTCTTCATTCCTAAAAGGAGAGTGACCCTACTGACCCATGGCGGTCCTGGGGAAGAAGGGATCAGATAAGGCAGCATGAAGTGATGTGCCAGGCACATAGGAGCTATTTTTCACTCAGAGGCTTGGGCTAGCTCACATCAGCCACCTCGGCCCTGCCAAGCCACCCTCCAGCCTCCGGTGAACCTCTCAGCACTGGAGCTCACCTACTCCCTGGCATGGCCCATCTAGCAGCCTATGTCAGCATCCCCCCCACAGGATGGTCCTGTTGATATAGGAAGATGGGTGTAAGGGCCGTGTCCTCCCAAGTCAGCTTTCTTCCTGGACAAACACCAAAGCCCATTGGCTCAAGGGAAACCCCTTCTCCACCCCAGGCTGCAAGAGTCATACCTACAATAGGCCGGAGACCCTGTCCCATGCCATGTCTGTCCCATGCCATGTCTGTCCACATAGTGGCCCTAAGAGCCCTAGGTCCATTCCACTGGACAAAGTGGAAGGTGAGTGCCAGGGAAGGGCAGGGAGTAGCCTGAGGATACACAGCAGAGCTTGGACTCCAGGGCATGCAGGCCAGAGAGCCGACCAGGGCTCCACAGGATGGTGTGCGATCACTTACCCGAGGTCCCCGTGCACCGGGGGGTCCAGGGAGCCCAGGCAGCCCAGGGGGGCCCTGAAGAGAAAGCAATAGCATCAGTGACCAGTGGCATGATGAGAGAATGGGTGCAAGCATTCATTCGACAAACCTGCCGCAGAACTCTGCCCACGGCTAAGGAGCGTGGTTCCCTGAGGGCCCTGCCTGAGGAACTCCTGCTCTTCGGAGCTTCCGGGCCTTTGCTGCTGTGATTTCTCAGCCTTTTACACTCTCAGCTTTTATTATTCCGCTAACTTAGTTAGGCTGCCACCTTCTCCAGGAAACCTCCCCTGACCCCTCCTCCAATCTGGGCCATGGTTCCCTCTGTCCCTCTAGTTTAAAGGCCGCTATACTATTCAAGGAACTGTCTGCTTAGAAGCCTGTTTCTCCCACCAGACCCGAGTCTCCTCAAAGGAACTAATGGGATATGAGTCATCTCTCTCTGCCCAGGGCTCAGCCAAATGTTTGATAAAATAATACAGCAACAGACCTCTGAGCTCAGCCAAGTTGTCTGCAGAGGCAGAGCAGAGAAGGGACTTGCCCAAGGTCACACCAAGCATCTTCACACCACGGAGATGCAGTGGAGCATAAAGGGCAGACGCATCAGAAAGGCCTGGGTTCACGTCCCAGTGCTGCCACTTACCAGCTAGGTTTGGGCAAGTTCCTTAACCAGCCTATGCCTATAAAATGGGGACAAGAATACCCTCCTCACAGTATTATCTCGAGGATGAAATGCGAGGCAGTAAATGTGTGAGTAGGGTATTATTGTAAGCCACCGTCATTCAAATGTCTCATCTATTTCAGTGGCCACAGCCTGGCCCAGCCTTCATCACAGCCCCTTCTGCCTCTGCCTTCTCCCTGCCTCACCCTTCCCGCCTCTCCAGTCCTCCACACAGTCTGGGTTCACCTTCCCACGGGACGCCCCTGCTCAACAACACTTAATAGCTCCCCATTTCCTCTAGGAGAATGGCCTAACCCTGCCACGGGGTACTCAGGGAGCACCTGTGTGGCCTCACCCCTCTTTCCTTCACACAGGAAGGGGGACAGCCGGGCAGACTTACTACACCACGTGCTGGCCTTTGTGTAAATCCTGGTGTTGCCACTTGATACTGGAGACTCTGTGCAAGCCCTGCAGCCTGTCTGCTCTCCGCTGCTCCCCTTTGCAAAGCGCCCAATAGCGCCTGTCCCGTCTGCCCCGAAGGAGCGAGTGAGGATCAACCGAGTGCCTGCTCTGAAGGGCTGAACACGGAGCCTTCGGAGGAAGCCAGGCTTTCGAGGATGTGTGAGGCCTGGGGAATTCATTTGTTTCAAATAACCATCAACAGCAGAGATTCCAGGTTTCCTGCCCGGAGTTAAAATCAGTGTTGAAAACCCAGTCCGGTTTGGCTGGTAATTAATCCAGACCTCACGCTGGGCAGCCTCAGTGCACAGTGCTGGCCTGTGAACGCCACGTGCTTTCTCATCCATGAGTGAAAATCAGAAGACAGATCCAGACGGGCGGACGGGGGCCCCAGGGCCCCGGGGTCACTGAAAAGAGCTAGCACTTGCCGGAGGTCACACAAGAGTCCCCCCAGGGTGGAGAGAGGGGGACTCGTGTGTGATCTCAGGCAAGTTCCAGCCGTCTCTGAGCCTCCAAGCTGGCGACAGTCTCCCATGCAGAGCCCGGGGGTTGAAGGGACGGTCTCCAGTCCTAGGTCCAGTTCTGTAGGTTTGCGATCCAGGGCCAGTCTACTCCCTGCTGCTCCCCAGTGTAAGACTGGGGCCCTGGGTTCACACTGAGCATCCTCACTGACTAGGTCTGTGGCTCCGGGCAAGCCACTTCCAGTCTCCAAAGCTTCATTCCTTAACTACAAAATAAGATACAACAGCATCTAGCTGACAGATAATCTATAAAAAGTGCTAATCCCGGTGCCTGGCACACAGTGAACGCCCCAAAAGTTAGCTGTTGTTTCTGCAAAGCAAGCTGCTGGAACCTCCCCAGTGTGAAATTTTAAGCCACCCTCCTCGACATCTGTTTTTCAGGAAGAGCAAAGGATTTCCTTTCCTAGAAGGCCCTCCTTGGCCCTATTCTTTCACGCGACCCAGAGTTAAAGGGAAATGCAGGGGCTAGGGCTAAGCATTACTGTAGGTGTTGTTGTCATCACCAAGCCCCTTTAACAGATGAGAGATCAAAGAGAGGCTCAGAGAGGCAAAGCCACCTGCCCAAGGCTGCACAGCTAACAGGCAGAACCTGGATTCAACCCCAAACCACTTGACATGTTCTCCTCCCCTGCGCAACTTCCACGCAGAAAACCTTGGCCAGGTGTTCGGACTGGCTGTGCAAACGTGGATAATTCCCCTCCCTTCCGTGGGCATGTGTCAAATGAACATCCCGCAGGCTTCCCAACGCCGGCACTTCCTGAATTGCAGGGTGGTGGTGATTTCCTCCTCTAGGTTATCTAGCAGAAGAGGAAAAGTGAGACCATGCCCGTCTCCCAGAGAAGAAGGCAAGGCCCGGAGGGGTGAAGGGCTGGTGCAGGGCCCCAGGACGGGACAATCTGTGGGTGGAGTTCCCTCATGACCCTGGAGGGCTGCCACTGCAGAGGGCCTGGACACTCCCTCTTGGCGTTTATTCTGCCCCAGAAACGGGGGCATCCAAGCTGGGACCTGACCTCATTCACAACATCTGCACAGCAGACTCTAAGTGCCAGCTGGGACCCACGGCCCGGCCTGGTGATGTCAGACCACAGCCTGACTCCTTGACATGGCAGCCCAGCCCCCAGCGGCAGGCCCGGCCGGCCCTGCTCTACCCACCTGGGCTGGGCCACCCCGCGCCCAGCTACAGCCACAGGCCTGGCCCTCCCCCACTCAGCGATCACTTTGTTAGTGGGTGAGTGAGGGGGGCGCCCCTCTCTCCGGATCCGAGACCCTGCCTGTTCTCCGTGCAGTGGAAAAACGCTGCCATTTCTTTCCAGGGCTGAAGCCTGAGCGGGTGACTCTGGGATGATTCACAGGGCCGGGGTGGGATTTTCCACTCCACGATGCAAACAACGGGGCCTCTGAGAGGGCCCGGAGCTGGGGGGAGGGGAGCGGGGGCCGCTGGCCTATCTGCGGGAGGTGGACGAGGCCCGGGCTCAGGGCTCATGCAAACAGAGCCATGGAAACAAGCAAACCCCCACTCTGGGCTTTCCCCAAGGGTCCTGGCCTCCGGCAGCCAGACCTAGGGGAACCCCATCCGATGGAACAAGTCCATCCTTGTGTCCAGCTGCAAGGGCCCGCCTGCCAAGCCTCGCAGAGAGAAGTTAGCTCTGGCTGGCATGGCCCCTGGCGGCAAGCAAGGAGAGGTTTCACAGGCCTGGGATCTGGGAGACCTGAGTCCAACCCTGTGTGCTGCTAACTGCCGGGAGACCCTTAGCAATGAACTCTCAGTCTCTGGACCTCTGCTCGGTGCTTAAAGCCTGAGGGGGAGAAGTCAGGGAATCTCAAAGGGCCTTCCTATCTCTATCTGAGCTCCCGATTATTCCCAAGAATGGCGCACAGGGTGCCCAGTCTCTGTCCTAGGGAAGGGCCTACTGGGACAGGGCTTCTCTGTGTAGCCTTGAGCAAGTTCTCTCCTTATGCCTTCGGGCCTCAGTTTGTCTGGCTGTAAAATGGGGGCATAATCCTCATCTTCCAAAATCACGTGTGTGTGCTGGTTACTCTCCCTTTGCTCCCAAGATCCACTCTGTGCCCTGGGAAGCTGCTCCTACAGGCTGCACCCACAGGCTTCCTTGCTCTCTGCTCTGGCTGGGTTTGGCCGAGAGGAGGCCACTGCAGAAGGAGAGAGTGGGCAGGGTATTTCTCTCCCTGCTCCCTCCCTGCTGTGCTGTAGTTTGGCCCCAACTCCTGTCAAAGAACCCTGGTCATGTTTTAACCCTGCTGGGCTCTGGTAACGCCTGCCCCTCCCCTTGTACCTTCAGGTTGGATTCCTGTGCGATGCCAGCCCCTGTAGGTTCCTTTGATGCTGCCCATAGCTCTGCAAATAGTCCCTTCCCGAAACTCTCCTCAATTACCCTCTTCCCCTCCCCTAGAGTCGCAGGATACACCATGCAGATTGCTTAGCACGGAGCTAGGCACACAGGAGCTCCAAAGCATATGGTAAAGACAGCAAAACACCCCTCCATTCTCCTGGGTGCTAGGTTGTACTAACGAAAGGGGTGAATTTCTCAAGGTCTAGTTCCAATTCCTAACCGTCAACAGTAGGAAGGTCCTCCTGTGCCCAAACCCTCCTGGTTCTCTTAGTGTAACAATACCCCCACCTCACCAATCAGCACATCGGCCACAGCAATCTGCTGGGACTCCGATTCTAGTGCTGGGTGCATCTCACTCCATCCACACAACAACCCTGGGAAGGCACATGGTACCATACTCACATTTTACAGAGGCAGAAACCGAAGCTCAGAGAGGCTAAGTGACTTGCCAAAGGTCACACAGCACCAGACACCAAGAAGGCACTCAATCAACGTTCGTTGAAAGAAGGAAAGGACGGCTGGATAAGGGAATGGTTCAAACCCAGGTCATTCCAAATCTAGTCTGTAGGCCTTTGCATTCCGTGCAGCCTCCTTATCCCACCACCAGCAAAGATCTGGGGAACCTCAAGCAACCCAGCCCGTGAGTCAAGACAACCTGTTTTTTTTGTGTGTATGTTTTTTTTTTTTTGCGAGGATCACATTCCTTCATTTACAGATAGTCATGGAGCGTCTGCTGTGGGCCAGGCCCTCAGCCGGGTCTCCCCGAGGTGACGCCTGCAAAAAGTACATGCGCGTGCAAATGCCAGCGGCCCGCGAGTGAATAAATAAGGCCTTGACTCGCCTCCTCCCAGGCGTGGGGCTTCTGTGCAGCTTCTGTGCAGCCTCTGAACCACAGCCTCCCCGCCCCTCCCCAGCCCAGGCCAGTCAGCTTTTCCATGCTCCCCCCGCTCCTGGGGCTCCCACAGAGCTTCCTCGCTCAGTGGCTACAACTCCTGGCAGGCCCAGGCCTAGCGCTCGGTCCCAGCCTCCCTCAGCCCGTCCCATGTCCCTGGGGAGCCATGCAGAACCCGCCCCACACACCCTCCCAGGCTCTGAAAGGTCCCACAGTCATTTCTAAGGAGGAAGCTCTTCCAATGTCGTGTCACAGGAGGAGACAGTTCCAGAGAGAGGAGAGCAGTGTCCCACGTCACCCAGCGAACTAGATCTCCAAGGCGGCCCTGGAGAGCATCCAGCCTGCTTCCTCACAGGAGCTGGCAGCTCTGTCTGACATTCTGCAGAAGCTGAGGCTGAGGGGGAGTCAGGGCCACAGAGCTCGTAAGCGGTGGGGCCGGGATTCGAACCCAGGTCTGCATGATCCCCGTCTGGGGACAGTTAAGCCCCATGTCCCAGGCAGCACCGCTTCTGCTCTGCTGAGACTCGATTCTGAATGTATAGGGAGGTTGGGGGCAGAGAAGAGAGGACGGAAGGAACAAGAGTTCCTGTCGCGACTCAAAGATGCCACTCTGATTTAATAATTTCTGGCATCTGGTGACATACAAATGACCAGTCTGCTCCCTGCCACACCGAGGACTGGCCAAAGCTTCCGGGTCCTATTGGAGTGAGTCCAGACTCCAAGATGGGGAGGGTGGGATTAGGGAGAGCATGGGGCTGTAGGCGGGATGGCACCTGTCCTGTCCCCCCTCTTGCCCTCATCAGTTTGGGGCTGGAGGAGCAGGAAGGGCCATGGCATCCTGGCCCCTGTAAGAACATGCCGAGAGCCCTTGGCCAAGTCTTTTGTCCCTCTCCCCCTCGTGTCCTCTTTGGTAGAGCAGGGATTAACACACACATCCTGCCCCTCCTGAACCAGTCCCTGGGAGGCGCTAAAGGGAAGCGCACACATGTGGAAGTAACTCATATACATGGTGGGAGAGAAACAGAAGTCTCAGCATGAGCTCTTCCTTGGAGGCCAAGGACAGCTCCTGACACATCTTCTGAAACCCCCCAGCCTCCCAGCTCTAGGCCCTGGGGTCTTAGAGTGGACATTCATGAGGGGGGGATGTTTTGCCCTGGAGTCTGGAGTCTGGAGCTGAGGCATAAACTTCAACTCTGCCTCCTACGTGCTGTGTGCCCTTGGGCAAGTCCTGGCCCTCTCTGGGCACAGTCTCCAGGCTCTTCCCCTGCCCACTGAGGAGAGTTGAACTGGAATGAGGCCTAAGCACCCATCCACGGTACAGGACATGCCAGCACCTTCTTCGGTCACCGGGAAGCTCCAGGCGATCTGGAAGGAGGCCTCACCTCCTGCTGACCCACATCACCAGACCCAGGAGGCAAGTGTGTGGCTCAGGCATCCACCGGCCCCAAAGACAGATGCTACACCCGGAAAGTCCATTCCTGCTGCGGTTCTGGCTCGGACACGGCCTCTTTCCACACCGTACACAGCTCGGGAGGCAGGGTTCTTCCTCCACCAGGCAGAGTGGACACCCTGCACCTCACTGCCCTCTGTCAGAGGGAGACAATTCACCCCCTTTCAACCTCACAGCCAGCGAGCCGGCGCCCCTGCAGCCTGGGAGCTGAGCTGTCAGGGCCCCAGGCACCTGGGGCCTGAGTCGGACCGGGTCACCTGGAGGATTCCTCATTTCCTCAGCTCCCAACGCTCTACCCTGCCCATTGCAGAACTCGGGGACTTGAGCAGAATGTTGACATAATCACAAAGCAATGCATGTAATTTCCATACGTTCTACAATATGGTTATAATAAAAATGGGCCCTCAGTCCTCTTGCAGAGAGGCTGAATAAATATTATTCCTAATGATTATTAAAAATAATCAAGTGTGTTTGGTAAGGCCCGGGAATTCCCAGCATCTGCCACTGTCTCCGCATTGTAAGGAGCCCTAATGTCAAATACAGAGCCCAGAAGGAGGGAACCACATGGTGCTCATCACCGAGGCAGGAGAACAGAGCCGAGGCCCAGGCTTCCTGGAAACTCCATCCCATCACTCCCTGCCTGCAGGAATTGGCCTCCGGCAGCAGAAAGGCCGTTGCCCCTGGAGACAGTCCCAGGCAAGCCAGGGGCATTGACCCTGAGAATGTCTCCTGCACCAGGAATGTTCTTTCTCCTGCTTGGGTCCACTCTGACCCTCCTCACCCCAAACTCCTCTACCAGGCGCCACACTTCGAGTGTCTAGCTGCGGTTCTCAACCTGTGGGTCGCGACCCCTTTGGCGGTCGAACGACCCTTTCACAGGGGTCGCCTAAGACCATCCTGCCTATCAGATATTTACATGACGATTCATAACAGTAGCAACATTACAGTTATGAAGTAGCAACGAAAATCATTTTATGGTTGGGTCACAACATGAGGAACGGTATTTAAAGGGCCAGAAGGTTGAGAACCACTGGGACTCTACAGGATTCAGGCAAGTAACATACATGGGTGATTGGAAGACCCAATCGGGAGATGCGGGGACAGGCACAGACAGGAGCGGGCCGGGCCTGTCTAAAGGGGCCACCCTGACCTGGCTGCAGCCCAGGGCCCCTGCATCTCCGCCACTTCCAAGAGAGGCTGGTCACTGGGTCTTTTCTAAGAAATCTCTCATTTTTAAAATGTGAGTCACTTATTAAAAATGTTTAAACCATGTTGCATGCGCCAAACAAAACATCAGGGCTACCCACGTGGGACTCCCAGGCAAGCTGATGGCCCTCGGAGCCCTGCCCTCGGAGTCAGGAGCTGCCTTGAGGCTGTGTGACCCGGGCCACCAGTTCATGGCTCTCCTTAAGCCACTTGACCTTTATAGCTGGAGCAGCAAAGAATGACCTGGGGCCTGGGCCAACCAAAGCCCAAGGGGGCTCTCCACCTGACCGGAGTCTGGCTCAGTGGGTCATGAATCCAGAGCAGGACTTACACCCATGAACACAGCCGAGGTGGAGGAGTGGGGGACGCATCAAGACGGCTCATCAGCAGCTCCCTGCTCTAAGCCGCTTCTGTTCCTCCGCCCTTGCCAGGAACAAGCACTGGACCAAACTGCCCCCGCTACCCGCTCGAGCTCCTGGCAACACGCGCACCTCGCCCATTCTTACCGGAAAACCACAGTCTCCCTTCGGCCCCGGAGGTCCCATCAGCAGCGGGAAAGGCGTGGGTCCCACCAGATGAAAGAACGAATAGCCACTGCTCGTGGGCCAGGGGCTGGAGGACAGGAATCGCGCCGGGGCCAACGCTGGGGCCGGGGTGGTCTGCCGGCCGGGCCGGGGCTGGCTGGGGCTGGGCCCCGTGGTCGGATCACTGATGGGGACATCCCTGGCTGCCTTCCCGGGTCTGAGGGGGACGGGCTTCTTGGGTCTGGCCTTCTTTGTGGCTTCTGATCCAGTGGGTTTCTTGCTTCCAGTGGGGACTGAACCAGGAGTGAGGGTGGGAGGCATCGCTGTGGCTAGAGGCCGAGTGGTCCTGGTAGAGCCAGGCCTGGGGGCAGGTGAGGGGGGCAAAACAGTGGGTTGGGGAGGTCTGTGTGTGCTGGTGCGGGCGGGAGCTGGCTCACTGGCACGGCTGCTCATCTTGGCCTCTGTCTGGACAACGGGGAGGAAGGGCTTTTTAGAGGCACCGGCAGCGGGGGGCAGGGGCCGGGCGCTGGCAGGTGGGGGTCGGGGCGTCACAGGGTTCCTCTGGACCGGCTTCCCTGTGGGACGGGACACTTGGGCAGGGACTGGGGGGAGAGTGGGTGGCACTGGCTTCTTGGTGGGAGGGGCTGACTTTCTGGAGGAAGGGAGAGCTGCCTTCTGGGCGGGGCGGGGGCTTTTGACAGGGGCAATGGGAGGAGAAGGGGCTGCAGGCTTGGTTGGGTGGCTCTTGGGGGTTTTGGTGGCTGTGCTCTTCTGCAAGGACTGGACAGGTGTGGGGGGGCTGGCAGGAGAGGCTCGGGGCACGGGAGGAAGCACTTGGCTCGCTGACAGCTTGGCAGGTGGCAGTGGGGTCCGGGCTGGGCCTCCCACTGAGACACGCCTGTGAGGGTCTGTGGTGCTAGTCCTTAGGGGCTTGGTAGGTGTGGGGGGCACCACCGTCCCTCTGGATCCCCTGCCTGCTGGCCGCGAGCCCAGGGCTGGCATGGCAGTGGTCAGGTTCCCCAGGCCGAGCAGGGCTAGGTCAGTCTGGAAGGCAAAGGGTGCGCCCGAGTCCCGGGGGAGGAGGGGTCCCGGCTGGGGCCGGTACATGTCGGCCTGTCCACACGGCCGCCTCAGGTGGGTGCAGTAATTGTGAGCGACCTGCGTCACAGGGTAGATACTGAACTGGCACAGGGCGCCTTCGAACTGGACCGCGTGCGGGCTCATCCTCCCAAAGAGGAAGGAGCCCTCGGGGTCCAGCGCGGGGTCCCTGTGGAAAGCCAGCGGGACAGGCACCCGGCGCTGCCCGCAGGCCGTCACCAGCGTGACCGTGCGGCCACGGAGCTCCAGGGCCAGGTGGTGCCAGCGCCCGTCGTGCACGTCCAGGTCGAAGGCCACGGAACGCCGGGGTCCCAGGTGGACGACCGTCTTGCCGGGGAGGAACTGCAGGCCCAGCTGCAGCTTGTGCTTCCGGCTGCGGACGGCGAAGAGGAAGGCATGGTTCACCCGATGGGAGCAGAGGCTCAGCACCAGCGCCAGCTCTGTGCCCAGGGCGGCAGGGATGATGGCGGTCGTGGGGGCCTGGAGCCGGGCCCGCTGCGTAACGATGAAGCCCGACTGGAATGGGATGACCCCTGGGGGTGGGGGGCTCCGGCCGCCCGCTGCCTTGGTCCAGCTGAGGCCCAGCCGCTGGAGGACGTCCACATCTGGAGAGGGAGGGCGGAGGGGAGAGGGCACGGTCAGGGCCTGCTCCAGCCCAGACCCCTGCAGGTGCGCGGGCAGTGAGGACCATCGGCCTCCGCTGCCCGCTGCCCCATGGGTGTGGCTGAGAGTGCGGAGCTGGAACCGGTTCCTTGTCTGGCTGCATGATCTTGCACATGGTGGCAGAAAACACAGCCTCTGGAGCCAAACGTCCTAAGTTCAAATACCAGCTCCATCATGACTAGCCCTGTGGCTCTAGTGCCTTGGTCTTCCCATCTGTTAAATGGGATAAGAGCAGCAACACACTCAGAAGGATGCTGTGAGGATTAAATGAGCTAATACACTTGGGGGAAAAAAAAGTGCCTGGCACAAAGTAAGTATTTTTAAACAATAGCTATTGATATTAAAAATAATGATCATCACCAAATGCTAGCGCTGAGTATCAGAGACTGTGCTCAATGTGACATGTTTCCCTTTCTCTCTGCCTCAAAGGGTGTCTCCTCCAGGAAGCAGGCCCACAAGTGAGGGAGCGGGGTGACAGGAATGGACATGCCACTGGAGTTGGGTCTGGATGTCCACCTTAGGAACCTACTGAGTCCCTCCCACGCCCGAGGTCTCTGTCTGGCTGGAGCAGGCGCCGGGGAGCTTCTCTCTGCACGGGAGGGAGAGGACAGTTCCAATGTCGCCGCCCTCGCTGTGTGGCTCTGGAGAGAGCCGGGGAAGTCATTGAGGCACCCCTGCAGCCTCTGTCCTCTGGCCAGGTCACATCCGCCCGGTAATTACGGCGGCGGGGCTCGCGGCGGCGGGGCTCGCCAGAGCAAGAGGAGGCTTCCAGGGTGTTTATGGAAAGGCGACCTGAACTTGCCTCTCACAAGCCATTCAGCCGCTTTCAGTCAGCTGGGCTGCCAGTGTCTGCAGACTGGCTCTGAGCTGTCTTGGCCGGCAGAGAGGCCGCCCCCGGAATTGGGGTCTGGGTCAGTCCTCAGGGCCCCTACCCTGAGCTCAGCTAGCCCCTGAGTGTGGAATGCTCTCTCACTACCCAGTGGGACGGGTATACATTGGGCCGAATGCGGCACTCAGCGCTTAGTAGGCCCTCAATTGACAACTGAGGTGGATGAACAGGTGGATGGGTAGATGGGCAGCTGGACAGGTTGGGAGAAACGGAGAACCTGGGTGCTGGCAACAGGGCAGCATAATGGCTGCACAGCAGGCTCTGGAGGCAGAAGGCCAGACCTTAAAGCCAGACAAGACCACCATGAGTCTGGACTGAGTCTCAGTTTCCCCCTCTGTAAAGAGGGGCTACAAGACGTGCCTCCATCATAGGGTTGCTGGGAGATGCAATGGTAGTCTTCCCCATCTCCTCCCCCTCGCCCTGCACCAGGGAACTCTGGCCCAGGCTCTTCCTGACGCCCAGGCCTCAGTTTCCCTGCCTGTAAGACGAGGGACACGAGACCTGGAGATGGCCCTGTTCTAAGAGCTCTGTAGCTTCAGGCTGCTGTTTCAGCCACTTGCATTGAAGACCTTTATTCCTCCCTGGGACCTGAGGGCCTTCATTTCACTTCACATTCCTCCTCTCTCCCACCTCTGTTGGCCCCCAGGTCCTAAGCTAAACCAAACTGCTCAGGGTTCTCTGAGTAGTAGTATATTTTACGTTTTAATCACTGAAAACTGCTTCATTATCACAAAGTATTATTCACTATAAACAACTTAAAATGGAGGAGCCACTTGTTGGGGAGCCACTTGTTCCCCCTCGGCAGCCCCAGGAGGCCCCCGGGCCTGCACCCATCTCCCCCCGGAAAACCGCAGCTTGCAGCCACTTGCACTCGCCCAGGGAAACGGACAACCGGCTGGGCCAGGCGGCACTGATGGGGTTTCCCTCATCATCCTGCCAAGGCAGGTTTCAGCACCGACACCAACCAGTCTCCAAGCCTCCCCCGCGGGCAGAGCCCTGAACTCTCACTCCTGGGGCGGAGGTGGTCACCGCTGAGCTTCCGGAGCCTCTGATCCCTGTGGGCTCCACCGCGGAGAGAGAGGGGCTGTTCTTGCCCGAACTTTCGGGTAAACAATGTCGTTAATAATAACGAACATTTACCGAGCCCGTACTCTGTACCAAGTGCCTGACATGCCTTATCTCTACTGACTCTCTCAATCACCTATGAAGCAGGTACTGTTCGTTATTCCCACTTTATAGATGAGGGTCAGGAAAGTTCCTATAATAACTTGCCCAAGGTCATGGAGCGTATAACAAAAGGCTCAGCTGAAGTTGGAACCCTGACCGCTTGGCTTCAGGGTCTTTGTTCTTAGCCACGATGCTCTCCTGTGCTGGAGGCCCTCAGACAGGCTGGAACGCAGGGTGGAGACACATCCAGAATCCCATCAGAGCTGAGGAGCTAGCGGACAGGGGAATGAAGGCAGCCCAACGCCAAGATGGAAGGGCCCAGCCAGCTGGCCGCAGCGAGATCCTTTATTACATAAACCTGGCTCCACACAGCTCCAGCCTCTCCCCAACCCCCAGCGCCTGACTCAGGACTCTGGACAGCTGTTCACCTACTTTGTGGGGGAAACAGCAAGCTCGGAAAATGTGACATTTGCACAAAATGTTGCCGGGCAGCAGCAGGAGTCTCTTCCGGGCATGGCCCTCCCCTCCCAGGGGCCCAATCCCTGCCCAGCGGCCAGGTCAGGCCACAGGGGCCCTGGGAGTGCCCGGCGGCCTGCCCTGCACACGGCGGGTGTGGAGAAGGGGGAAGGGCTGCTATTTTAAGAGGCCTTGTGGCCGCTTGACAAACAGATGTGGGAGAGGTTTCAGTTTCACCGGGCAGCTGTGTAGCCAGCCCACTGCCGCCCTGGCCCCCTGGACAGCTCCTCAGGGATCGCTGGGAAAAGCAGGATCTCACGGCAAGGGGAGGGCCGGCGACAGGCTTGGGCAATGATAGCCCTGGCCTTCATGTCTCCTTTCAGCAGTTGTCCCAGGACAAATAGAGGCAACTGAGGCTGACTGGTCCAAAGTGGCCGACCCACACTGTGCCCCGGAGAGGAACGAAAGGCTCCCCCCTCCACATTTCTGCACTGAGCCCTTCCTACCCCTTACAAAACATCAAACATGTTTCTCTCATGACCAGAGAGGATTTGCCAGCGATCAACTCCATTCTACTGATGAGAAAACCGAGGCATCGAGTTCCAATTCGGGGCACGGATGTCTCCTACCCCTGCATTCTCCCGTCCCTTCTGTCCCCCCATCCTCCCCTGGACAAAGAGAAGGGAGAGTTACCTTCAGGAGCTCCTTGGGTGGAGGCCAGGTGACAGGCGAATGAGACTAAGATCCAGGTGAAGAGAAACCCCCTAGAGACCAGGAGACACAAGCAGAGGCGGCATCAGCTTCCACCCCTCGGCCCAGATCCGGCTGGGGAGTTGGGAGTGGGTCGTCCAGCCCCGCCCACCCCAGTGTCGCCCAGGGGGGCTGGGAGGCAAGGTGCAGGCTCTAGGACCCTATCAGAATAATCCACGCTCCCGGGTCTCTAGGTACAGCCTCTGGGGACAGGAGCTGCTTATATGGTACACATACAACCCTGCTTTTTTACAGAATGATAAACCAAGGCCATTGGGCAAGAAGCTCTGCCCTGGGTGTCAGGAGACCCAGGGTCCAGTTCAAAATCTGCCGCCAACTCACTGGGGGACAAGGAGCCAGCCCCTGCCCTTCCCCCTTTCTGGGCATCAGTCTCCCCGTGGTACTACGGCCCTATGATATTGAGGCCCGATGGGTAGTACAGCCAGAGCTGAAAGTTCGACAGGAAGACCAGTCTGGTCTGTTGGGATGGCCATCATCCTCAAAGGGCTAGAGAGATAAACACTCACTGTCCAGGCCCAAGGCAAGGAGAAGACCCCTTAACCAGGACCAGGGTGCGCTCAGGAAGCTGCCCAGCTGGCTTCCCGCTGATAGAAAATGGGAGGAGAAAAGAGAGGAGACGATGGGGAGTCAGGCAGACTCAGGTGCAACCGGCCCCCTTGCGTACCAGCTGTGTGACCCTGGTCGAGTCACTCAGCCTCCCTGAGCCTGTCTCCTCTGAAACATGGCTGGCATGGCCAGGCGTGAGGATTAAATGAGCTCATGCATGTCAAGGGCCTGGCCTGCCACCAGCCATGCCAGTGCCCCTTAGACGGTCTCTGCTGCCCTTGCACTCCGGGGACTGGAAGGGTTAATGCTCTGCTCAGTGGCTCCTGCCAAGATGGGCAGAGGCAGTGATCTGATTTCACCTTCCTGTGGGAGCAGCCACTGGTGATACCCGAAGCTACCTGGGGCATCTGATCCTCGAGCAGGCAAAGGGGAGGGCGGCACGTGGCCAGAGATGGCTGGCCAGGATGCAGGCCAAGCAGGGATGGCTGGCCAGGATGCAGGCCAAGAGAGCTGTGACGGGGGCGGAGCGGGGGGAGGAGAGGGGGGGCCAAGGCTGGGACACACAGGCTGGGATCCACTCATCTCCAGCAACGACTAAAGGTCAGAGTGCCTAGCTGCCCCGGAGAGAAGGGCACAGGCTGGCCTTCTGGTATGATCTGCCCACTTGAATCAAATGGCAGCTCCATCATCCCTGAAAAGAAATAATAGGCATCTTTGTTTGACAAAAACGGAGGCTTAGGGAGGGCAGGTACTTCCTCAAGGTCACCCTGGGCAGGCTCTGGGTCAAAATTCTCTCGTCCATCCACCAGGTGGACGTTACAGGAAACTGGCCAGATATATTGGGGAAGAACTGTCTCCTGTATCCCCGTCTTGGCAGGTCCCATAGCACAACCGCACACCAAGGGCTCCGAGAAGTCCTGGAATAAATTGACTGCACATTTTGTCACTCAGCTAGACCACGGAACTCGTTTTTTCTGAGAAGGCTCCCTCAGGAGACGCTGCCCCTCACTTTCCAGTGTTCCTGAAACCTCACTAGTTTCCATTCCGTTTCCTTCCAGCCCCCTCTCTTCCCAGCTCTCCCCAGGCACCAGCCCTCACTCCTCGAGTCGCACTGTGTTAAGTCTAACACTTGTGTTAGTATGTTTCCCCAGCTGCTCCAGAGAGGCCAGAGAGAATTTGCCAATGATCAGAGAGAAGGTGCAGCAAGCACACATGGCACTCCCGGTCAGCTCTTCCTGCTGTGTGTGATGCCAAGGTGACTACTCTGTAGAGAATAAGAGGGTAAATTAGGGGGGGAGGGAATGTTTTTAATCTCCAAAGTTCAAGAGAAAGAAGACTTGCAGGGGAGAGAGGGCAGCTAGGATCAGAATCTGTTGCAAAAAGTATCTGTCATCGTCCCGTTCCCCCGCCCCCCGCTGGTCCATTCACCTTGACAAATGCCACTGACCACGTCAGACCTGGATTCTGTGTGCACTTGACCCATAAACTTCCAAAGCATAATGCGGGAGTACAGAGTGGGAGAAGGCCCTTTGAGTTCCTCTAGAGTCAGATTCTAGTCCCATCTCTTTATTGCAGAGATGGACAACTGAGGCCCAGAGAGGGGAAGTGACTTGCCCAAAGCTACACAGCACGTCAGTGACCCTATCCTCTGACTCCACTGCTCAACGCACAGTCCTTTTCACTGGACTTGCCTCCCATGGAGAAGGCGGAGACTTACAGGGACTTGTCAGAGACCAGAGTCCCAGCCTTCACCAACAGGAACAGAGATGTAGCCGGGGAGCCAACAGCCCTCTAAGTGAGCTCCAGGCCTGGAAAGTTGGCTCCCGGAGGGAGGCCCTGCCGATCCTTTTGCTCCCGTTCCAATCCTGCGTAGGCTACTGCTCGTAATGTTTTGTGCCTGTGCTGGCTCAGGGCTTTGTTCTTCTAGACTTCTATTTTCACCACTGACTCGTGGGCCTTGGCTCGGTGAAGCCGGGGCTCCAGCATGTCGGGGAGACCAGAGCATAGGGGCCAGAGCGGGCAGGAGGCCGCCGAAACTGGAGCCACGCGTTAGGTGCCTGACCTTGGAGACACAGCCTGGCCACACGGCCCTCCAAGCAGGAAACCCAGGCGGTCATTTCCCCTGAGAAAAGCCCTCTGCCAGTACATCACTGTGGCTACTCCTGGACCACCAGGCTGCTGGAAGGTGTAGCTGGCTTGCATGGTTTTCCTCCATCCTCGTTTCCTGGGAACATCCAGGATCTTGGAGACCCATACCAGCTTGAACACCCACTGAAAGCTCAGAGCTGAGACTCAGGGTTCTGGGACCCCGAAACACACAAGGAAAGGGGCCCCGAGGCCCCTGGGCTTGGCTGTGCTCTCAAGGGGTGAGATGGGAAAGAAGCTGCCCAGAGGACACAGAACAGCAAAGGGCGATAGGCCTGTTCCACCTGCCTCCATGGACTAGCCAGGCCCCATGTGGCCAGACAGTCCCACCCAGGCTCCTTCCTTCACACCTTCTACCTCTTCCATGGGAAAACAGATGGGTCATCTGTCTGGACAGGATGAAGCCCAGAATTTTCCAGTTGACTCACACATCCATTGAAGATGAGGTGAATAATAATACAAACAACAGCTGCTGTTTACTGAGCACTTACTATAAGCCAGGCACTGTTCTACACCCTTTATAAGCACAGTCCCTGTAATCCTCACAACCCCCACCGTCCAGCTGCTGGTTGGGAATGAAGATGCCCGTATTGTGGGTGAGAAAAACAAGAAGCAGAAAGGCTTGCCCAAGCTCCCAGGGCCGTGTCAGGATTCTGTCACAGCCCCTGGAGGCAGTGCCCTCTCTGCCCTGCAGCCTGCCTCCCACCGGTGTGAGTCCTCCGCCACCCACTGAGATGGCACTTCAGTGGTCTGGGGAGAGGTGTGGAGGAGCAAGGCTGGCAGGCACACCGGGACCAGAGGGCACAGGATCTGGGGCCCTGTAGTGGTGAGGGAGGCAGAAAGACAGGAGCAAGCAGAGGCTGGGCCTCCATGCAGCATGACTGCCCACTTGCCCAAAGCTTGGGCCCCACTATAGGGTGCTCGCCTGGCACCACTTTTCTACCCAACCACTGGCATCTGCCCTGGCACGGGGTCTTCTGGAGAAAATGAGTCAGCAGTGTGCTTACTGGTGCCGTGTGCGCGTGCGTGTGCGTGTGTGTGTGTGTGTGTGTGTGTGTGTGTGTGGTGCGGTGGGGGGCGGGGGATCGCAGCCAGCCTTCTTTTTCCAAGACATGGGAAAGAAGGGGGGCCGTCCTCCTCCATTCCAGCTCAGAGGGGCAGGGCATGGAGGGGGGCGGAGCTACCGCCCGGACCAGCCTCTTGGGAGTGTCCTCCGGTCCTGGGGGCAGGACAGAAAGCCAGCAAGTTCTGTGCTTCCCTGGGCAGAGAGCATGAGCCACAGTCCATAAAGCCCCAGGGGCTGCTCCCTTCCACGCTAGCTCCCCGCCACACTCACGCCCAGGGCAGCGACTGGCTCTCACACGCGCTTCCTCTCTCACAGCTCCTACTGCACAGGCGGGACTCAGAGCCCCTGGGTCCCAGCTCTCCTAGCCCCTCCTAGGAATTCCCTGTCCCTCCCGGGCCCTCCCTCCTCCAGTCCCCGCATCTGCATGTACAGCGAGGGCTTCCACCGGGTGCTCTCCCAGGGCCCTTTCCGCTCGGACATGCTGGCTCTCACTTTCTCTCTCTCACACGCGGGAAAGCAACAGGAACGGAGACCCCACCCCCCACCCCAGAGAAGCAGGGAAACACGGAGACACAAACCCAAACAGACTTGACACACACGCGAAGATTTCCAGAAACCGGGGACGTGCAAAGACACACACACAGACACAGACAGGAGCAGAAGCCCAGGCGTGGAAACCTAGAAACTTGGGGGCAGTTACCCAGGAACAGCCAGAAACGAGACTTACAGGCTGGGGACCTGACGACGGGGCACACCGAGACAGCAGAATGGGAGACCCCTCCGCCCCCAAGCAGCCAAAAGCCCCCCTCCAGGCGCCACCACCACCCCCAATTCCGACCCCGGGCAGGCTCTTCACCGACCCTCCCCGGCTCGGCCCCCGCCCCAGCGCGGATGGGGCCGGCCAGGCAGCGCCGAGCAGGGAGCGCTCGCCAACCCTGGGGCCGCCAGCCCTGGGGCCGGGGGCGCAGCCTGGTTTAACCCCTGGGCCGCCCGCCTCTAAGGGACGCAGGAAGTGAGAGTAAAGTTGACGATCCCCCTGGAAGCTTCCGGGCCAGAAGGGAAACCCCAGATCTTTTCCCTGGGATTAGAATAGCTGGAAGCGGTGTGAGGCGGGCGTCCCCAAAGCATCATAGTTCATCAATAGGTCGCAGACATCAACAGCATGCAAAGCAGATTCTTATCGGGCTCCCCTCAGGGAAGTCCGGGTCATATGGGGTTCCCCAACTTTATGCTCCC